CATTTCTTCCTTACATAATGTAATTGAATTCCGTGTAGCATGATATGTAAACGTTAATTATAAAATTAATGAATGTGATGATAGGCAGGGAGTAAAGAGATTCATCTCTTGTACATACTTGTGGCCAGTTTATTAAAATAATATTTACTCAAAAGCTATATAAATGTATCTTGTTAAAAACACAAACTGTCAGAAATACTAATATTTATGAAGTGTTGAAACTACTTAGAAAGCGGCAAGAAGATGTACGTCTCTGAAGTAATTTCTCTAATGTTCGGGTTTTAAAGAATAAGTACACAGCGGTTAATTAGGAGCTTTTGCACTTAGCCGCACGTTTAATAGATCTCTCTTACATTCTTCATGCCTCGGAACGTGTGTTGTGGTTAGATATTATCTGAGTAGTACGCGTTTCCGGTGGCATGGGTTACGTAAACAGTCGCAGGAACAGAGAGTGCGCATAAAGTTGACAATGCATGCAGGTGCCATGCCCTTTAACCTTTCGCCTCTTGTGCAATCCGTTTTGAACAATCCACTTGGTTAATTTTCAAAAAACAAATCTATTACTTTTTGCGTTTCCTCGACTTATGCTATCCGCGCGAATACGAAACGCTGCTATCAGAAGTACCACTTATGTAACCACACACTTGACACGGAAAGCTTATATTGTTCTCATTAGATGAACAACTTCAATAGATGCCAGTTACATGATATCCATTTTACATAAAGTAACACAATTTTAAATGTGTAGTACGTTTTCAACTAGATTAAGTAATAACATTTGTTTTATACATACCCAATTTAATAATATTTAATTAATTAATTAATTAAACAATAATTAATAAAAAAAAAACCTAATTCAAGTACCATCATCGTTCGTTTAACGTACATAATGTGCACAATAATTTTTCCGTCCATACAGTAGCGTACGCTTAATCAATTAATAATAATTAAACTACATGAAAAAAATAACTTTGTTCGCACGAACGTACACAACTTTCATTTTTGTTTTAGTCAAATCGTGAGGTTATTTTTTTTTAAAGAGTTATTATAAAATAATAGAGAAGGCTTCAATGATGTACAATTTCCAACCAGATTATCCTGGTTGGAAATTGTTACAATAAAATAGATACATAAACCCTAATATCATTAAAAGTAGAAACATTATTTTGTCATATTAAATAAATATTATGATGTTTTTTTTTTATTATTTCATGTTTTTTTTTTTGTAGAATTGGTTATTATTCATGTTTTCTTAGATATTCGATGATTGTGTCTGAAGTTGTATTTGTTTTGTTTGTTTACTACGAGACACGTATCAAATAAGTGTATTTCCGCTACTGTTTACCAACGGTAAATACAATTTCCCGAGAATAAAATAATAAGGATACCACGGTGTTCCGGCACGTGCTAAATTTTATTAGTTCTTAGTTGCTCGCAATCTCACGGAGGAAATTAATTTCAAGAGGGAGAGAGAGAGAAATGCTTTACTACAAGGGAGTTCTTTTGATGCTGATCATCTTCAGGATAAAGTACTCCATCTTAAATTTGGAAGGGTGGTAGGGGGTGACCAAAATAATAATAAATGGTCCTCACGGTTAATCTTGCTGTGCGGCTTCCCTGTTGTGTTCAAAACAATTTGATGGGCTTCGTTCGAATCCATACATACACACAGTGGGGATCAAAGCTTTGTGGAATCATTGCTTTGAGCCTCCCCTTCGTGGTGGTTTAATATATTTACGAAGATCATTTTGCTTGTAAATATTATTACAATATTCTTAGGATCAGATCAATGGCATTTTTGCGTTTTCAACCATTACCAACCCCCCAATTAAGAATCAAGTCATTAGTTCGCTCTCGTCGTCTGTGTATTCACTTAGGGGTGGCAATCTGGGAACAGGATTAGTCGGCTTTATGCGCCAGAGATATATTTGTACCCTAACGGACACACTCTCGAATTATAATTGCCAAACTTTCTGTCACTAATGACTGAATATGCTACAGAAGATCAACTGGGGAACTTAATTAACACTAAGTTTAATTAATGTATTCTAATCGACGGTCGGGGATGAGCAGACCTGCTCCCCGATGTTTATGTCGTCAATTCATCCACAACATGAATCTTTATAATGGATGCGTATTATATTAAGTTCCCTATACTATATATAAATTACCGTTTAAATCACCAACATCTGCCGTCAAGCGGACCACATTTTTCGTATTCAAAAAAAAGTATATTCATATTATGTACGTATTAACGAACGCATATTCTAAAGATGTACGTATTATCAAATGTATATTAAAATGATGTACGTTAATTAAAACAGACCTTTATTTTATTTACAAATATTTATTTCTATAAAAAGTTTATCAACAAAAATCTTTCTGTAATTTTTTTTAACAAATATTTTTTAAAAAATATTATAATTATAATTCCGTTTGCAATGTTTCCATTATCTTGTATAAATGTATTTGAATAGGTTTGACTTTGATTAAGACAATGAACGTGTATCAGTCTAAATTGCGTAACGATTCGCTGGATGGTATAAATTGTGTAAGAGCAGTGCGAATAGAATATACGGTTGGGGGAGATGTAGGGAGGAGAAAGCTGGAGATGAGAAAAGAAGCAAGTACACTCAGCATTCTTGTGCGAATGTATGTATATATATTAAATCATTTCAGCATGTAGAAATTTCCCTCGCATTTCTATCTAAATGGAAATTTCATAGCATAAACACGTTTTGAAATATTGCATTCGCTTTCTCATATCCCACTTGGATATTTACGATAAAGGAAGCAAATAATTAGCCGTATTGTACAGAATTCCGATGAAAGTAGGCAGATGTAACTCAACCCATATTTTTTTTTACATAATTAAAGAGCAATTATAAAATATAATAATTAGTATATTATGTCAGGATCTGACGCCGAAGTGTACGTTCTTATTAACATATCTTTGAACTAATACACATTGGAAACACATGTATAAAAAAAATGTAATTATCCGCTTAACGTACATTTGCTTATACATTGTGTTAAATACGAACAGACTGTACATTGATGTAAATTGAATGTTTTAACTAGTTTCAGAAAATATTGAAATATGTGTATTATACCTAAGACTGACATCAAAGTGTACGTTCTTATGAATGTCGAGTACTTTCGTGCATACGGAAATGTATATGGTTTATCATCCTATTAGAGTTAGCTCGATTAGCGTATGGTAATTTAGATCAAATTATGTACGTTAACCGAGTAAGGGAATATTATGCGGCAAGTGTACGTTCATGTGATTGTTGAGTACTTTTATACCAACAAAAATATATGAATGCAAGAAATATAGCAAATGCATATCAATTGTCCTATTAACGTTTATCCGATTAACGTACAGTAATTTTGTACGTTAATCTATTTGTAGACTCTAATCAGGTTTTTTATTAAAAATATTTAATTGTAGTGCTTGATCCAAGCACCTGGTTCGAAACGAATCCCATTTAAACGAAATTAATTTTAATTCATACAAATTTTAAACGGTTCGAAATTCGAATATGAATCCTTTGAAATAACTCCGTGGACCGTAAATTGGTTAGGACTGGAAGGGGGGAAGAGCCCTCTACTTTTATTCTCCGGTTTAAATTTTGCATGTAAATAGTTTTAATTATCCACTGAAATTCGACTCTGATCTGTATTTAACTCGGATGTTTATAACAGGACGTCTATTCCGGAAATTACGGAACAACTCTGCTTTGTGAAAGCCATATTAATAATAGACAAATTCAATCGTAAAATTGTTTGTGAAACTTTACACAATTCACATTTACAAATAATCAAATAAAATATTTATTAATAATAATATGTAGTAATACCAAAGGATTGATTGGAATGTCAGTTCCAGTTTTTGCAAAGCAGTACATGCAAAGTGCATACAGAATATTCGGTCAGCTCTATGAATTTATATCTGAAAATGTCAACATTTCAATTTATCATATTTCCAGGAAACAAATAACTTTGTCACGAGCTTTGCTCACGAAGGATTTGACAATTCGAATCAAACCTTCGTCAGGGTGAAGTGATGTATAAAGAAACGGATTATTTTCTCTCTGCGACAGAAGAGAGAGAAAAAAAAATAGATACGAGAAGTGGAAAGTGCACGAAATGAAATTGGATCAGGCAACGAACAGGATTGTATAACCAACGAGGAAAACCATGCACGTTTTTTAAATTTATATTCGGCCACCTTCGATTCCGCAAAAAAAGTATTGATTCTAAATCAATAATAGATTGTATTACCCGTCTTCTGATCAATATGACAATAATGCAAGTAATAGATATTTTTTTTATTATTTTTTTGGTTGGTTGAGGGGATTTTGCTTACCCACGTTAAATTGAAAACAATTGAAACAGAAGTTTCCCAATATTACAACCGTATTGCCAGAGGGATTCGCAGAAATGAAGTAAATCAAATACGTTACAATAATGAATTCGATGTAAGAAAACAAAGCAATGCTCGTATGTACAAGATCTACAAAATAGCATAATATCATTTTTATATAGATATGAAAAAAATATCTTATAAAAGCATGAATTGAAATCGTTATTTTCAATTGAATAATGTTCGTTGTCGTTGAAGGAAAATAAGATTTTTTTCCCGGGAATTCTCGGGCGGGAAACCTAACATTTTAATTGCTATCAAGTCTACAACAATGTTTATTTGGAAGTGATTACCTCAAAATAGTGTTATTCAAATCGTGTAAAAAAAGCGTATTATCTAAAAGATACCTTATATACGATTTGAATAACACGATTCTGAATTGTATTTCTTACTATAAGAAGAATCTTTATTTTGATTTTTTTAATTAAATTTTATTTTTTCTTGAAATTTTTAAACCAGACTATAGTGAAACCGAACTATGTGAGGTATAATTTCATAATTTAAATCTTAAAATGTTGGTTATTATATCTAGTTTATATTGTGTAAGTTTAAGTTGTTTATTTCGTTTCAGGTCAGATAGATCTATGGACAAAGGAGGCTAAAGGATGTCCATGTCCATGGGATGCCAGCAATCGGCAATGCGCTTGCTGCGTGGCAGATGGTGGATGCCACTGTGGGAAAGACGCTCCAAATCGATGCACACAGTGTGGCTTGGAGCAGCACTGCAACCACAGTGAGTTTAGTTCAGATCAACGAGGAAATCGCAATGGCAACAAACCAAACACGACAATTAGTCCAATGAATATCCTTAGATATTAACATAACACATTTACTGGGGCTTAATGGGGATGAGACAGCTGCGCTCCGCCGTACACAATCCATGTAAACAGGGTGGACCACAACCCTCTAACAACTTTTTCAAAACCCTAAAAGACATAAGACAATAGACGAAGTCATTACTATTCATTCAAATGATGAAAGAAAAAAAACAATAGCTCATCTCTATAGAATCCAGACAATATGCATTACTATCAACGCTCCCCCCATGACCCAATCACGAAAACATAATTACAACCCTGAACCGCATCTCGAATTCAAATCATACGCCATTTTCTGCAGAAAGCCAATTTTCGCACGTCATAGTCACAGGACAATTATTTGAAATGGTTTCACTTAACAAACAAATCTAATTCTCTCAAGTAGCAGCAGTTCGGCAACTCCAAACTCGTTAATGACCGGTGGCTAGGCTGTTTAAGGAACAAATGTAATTATAGTTATTCCATAATAACCATTGCATAACGCGATATACACAATTATAACTACTTGAACTATGCGTCCTTGGAATCATCATACTATTGCTATTGATATACAAAATATTTTATCTATTGGATTGTAATTACATAATAAAGAGAAACCATAAATTTCTTATTTGTTTTTCTCAATTTAAAATTTGCTGGAAATTGTCTCAATGAAAAAATATTTGTCCAATGTTGAAAATATAATGTCCATTTATTATAAAACTGTTAAATTGTTAAATTTAACTATAAATTTAAAAAACTAAAACAAATTTTGAAAAGTTTAATTAATTAAATTGAGAAATTTTGTAAAAATTGTCTCATTTTACATTTTTTTTAAATTTCTATCATAAAAAAAACAAAATTCAGTCTTAATGTGTTCATAATTTTAATTATTGATTTTGAAAAAAAAAATCATAATCAGACATCATCAATATTTCCAAATTAAAGCAGTTTAAATGGAATTTAATGTAATTAGTTTTGACCTTGGAAATTGATCTTTGAAATGATGTTCAACCTTCGAACCGAGTTTTCCTTGTACTTATTGATCTCATGACTAAAGAGCTCTGAAGGATTCTCCAGTCAATGCTCGAGATAGCTTTTCAATAGAATGGGTATAAAAATATCTAAAATACATTAGTTATGTATGAAAGTGGCAGGCAAAGGTGAACTCTTTTATAAACGTGGTTTATTCAAAATTTAACGACAGTTCTTTTAGCATTTATATTAAAAAAAAATACAGAATTTGATAAAGTTAATAATTTATATTTTTAGGCAGAAATACGTTGGTAATTAAGAAATTAATTACAGTATTTGTGATTAAATTTAATAATATTGACTGTGAAATTTGTATAAAATGTATTTACAAACTTTGAGACTTAGTTATTATCAAAGCTCGTTAAAAGTGTAATATCCTCGTTGAAAGTTACAATGTCACTAGTCGTAAGAGCAATGAACTACCTTTCGGGAAAACTATGAACTATATAGAAGTTTTGTTGTTACATTTAACAATGTTACTAGATCATTTATTACCTAGTATAAAGGGACTTTTGAAGTCTTAATCCAATTACAAATATTTTCTATTTAATCCCCAAGGATCAGATCATGTCCACAGATGATCTGTATTCATATTTCCTCCGTTTTATTTCTTCATAAATATAAATACGATTTAGTTTCAAACCTGCAATAAACGGTGCCATTAAATTTGTCATCTGGGAATACTTTATCAAATCTCCACTGAAGTATCTAACGAAATAACTGATCGATTTTATAAAACGAAATCTAAATTGTCAGTATATAAATCGAGTGATATACTTGTTTTATTTATATTTATTTATTTTGTAATAAATTTCAGTTAAGTGGAATGAAATGAAAAAAACTACCGAACAAAAGGCAAATGCATTAAAGGAATCCTTTATCTGTGTAATTCTCTGCATTAGCCATCAAAGAAATTCATTACAGAACGCCAACATCCCTAAAAACATACGAAAGACATAACAGAATAAGGAACAAAGTTGACAGTAATGAGTATCTTTAGTGGTCCGTGCATAAAGCGTAACAAGAGGTGCATCAACTGAAAACTACCGACATTAACTTTATACGAGACGTACAAAGGCTGTGGCGCTTTCATATCCTCTTCTTTCTTTTGTTTTTATTTTTATTTATATGTACTAACTGTACAGAGATCGATATGTCGATACAATACGGTTAGATTCGAATTTATTTTCCTTTTGTATCTCCGAAGGACTAACAATCAGTATTTCTGTGGATTGGAAAGCAATTCCCAAGAATATATAACAAAGGAAAATACATTATTTTACCTTTGTAAATGCAATCAAGGAGTAGTAGAAAACTTCTTCAAATATTTTTTTTTTATTTTTGTTTCAATAAAAAAAAATTATTGAAATTTTCAATAAGTAATTACGAATTTATTAAAAAAAAAAACAGTAATGAAAATGTTTAAATCTAAATTTATTAAGAAACTAAACAAATCTAAAATTATTTTTAATTATCAAAAAAAAATATTATTTCTTAATTAATTAATTAATTTTCAATATTAACGTTCAATTTTTTTAAATATTTGTTTGATGATACGTACATGATTATTTATGGACTTTTTATGTACACATTATTCTTACAAATTGTCTGATAGCATTTCAGTTAAATGTTATCAACAAATGTCAGTTTATGTACGCATTGTGTACGTTAACCGAACACTGACTGTATCATTTCTAAATGTAATAATGGGAGTTTTGCTATTATATAAATCAAATATTTCGAAATTATACGTATTATACAATAAAGGTTATTTTTCTACTACTAAAAAATCCAAATATTTATGTAATAATTATTTTATGACCTTAGGTTTCAAAATCACAGGGACCTCCACATGTACACTGTTAAGAGTGAAATTCCCAACACCCTCGACCTCACCTTTAGAAACTAAAAATTTGTTTTCTTGTCCATCACAGTGATTATTTTTATTTAAGTTTCAGAGTGTCGTCAAAATCAATTTTTAGTTGAGTTGTTATCAATAAATTATTTTTTTGTTAAATTTATATTTGTTTATAGGAAGATTTCTGGTGGGAAATCGTTCCGCTCAATGCCTATTTATTTTGTTTTTTCTGTTTTTATTTTCTTTTTTTGTCTATACCAAAAACTGTTTAACTCATTGTCATTATTGTGACAGATTGTGAATGATTAAAAGTAAAAGTTTTAAAATATTTATCTAATATTCATTACATCATCATTATTCATAAAAAAAAGTATGCCTTTGACGTAAAATATTTTACATTGTCAAAGGAATATATTCATCATTTTTTCTATAATAATCAAAGCTGAAAGTATCGAATTAGCATGAGATTACAACGGCTTGCGTGTTTCTATCGGACTTTATACATTAATACTCTGAGTCCATGGGGACTAAAATACATGTATGCGTGTCATAGGTAAATTTCAAGTACGCTTTTCAACTTAATTACTTCTTAAGCCCACAAACAGAAACCTCTTTACTGTTCATATAATACCTAACATCACATTTGTAATTACTTAGTAATTTTATCTTCATTACCCATATTAATAAATATTCATAGATTTTCCAAACTTTCACAAATTTTGAAAATCATATATTTTTTGTCCTAGGTCAAAGATGCTTTTTATTTTGGTATAATTTTAAACTTTTGGTCTAATTTATTATTTTTTTAAATAAAATAATATTTTCTAAAAAAAAATAAATTAATTTTTTGTTTAGTTTTTGTGTGAAAATAGAATTGTTTTGTTATTTAATAAATTTGTATGTATTTTACGTTGTCTAAGACAACTCCAAGCACTGTATGTAATTTCATTTAATTTATTTCTCCCGGAATAAAGAATCTGAAATACTTACATCTGACAAAGAAACAGGAAATTGTTCAAACAAACAAACAAACAAAAAAAAAATTGAGCTGCAGGCACGGATTTATTTGCTAAAGCTAACTGAATAAAGCTTGCTTAAACACCGCACTAAAAGTCCATTAACAACTTTGTGGATTTTGACCGCAACTTCATTTAACTTTTAAGAAAAATAATTGTATGAAATCATTAAAACTCAACAAATTTCAATTTTCTTCTTTGTTTAATTTACATCTCGATTAAATTACCAATTACCAAAGTGACTTTTCCGATAGTAAATCTGAGAAGTTCAAATTACAAACAATATAAAGTTAACGTACAAAATGACACTTGTAATTTTTGTTCACACGAACGTACTTCAATTTCCAGGATATTGACGGAATCTTAGTATTAGGATTAGATTTATGTACATGATTGTGAATATTTCAGAAGATTTTTTTTTTTATTAGAAACAGAAAAATTCAAGGGATTATAAATTAATTAAGTGTTCAATATTTTTTCTCCCTAATAATTTCAAATTAAAAATGTACATTATTTGAATATACAAACAAACGAACAAAAAAAGGGTTGCTTTTTCCCATCGTATAAAATTGAATACTTTGGAAATTTAAATTTCTAATTAACAGATATTCAATACAAGCTTGTACAAATATTGCGAGATTTTTTTACAGTTCTCTTGTGTTACTAAAAATATTTTACGAAATATAAAATTAAAATCAGATTGGCCTGGGGTTAGCAACTCAATTTTCCACGCGCACTGTGCATAATAAACACGCGTGTTCATCCCCCTATTTTTTTTCTTTCTCTCTCTCTATTTCTCCCTTAGTCTCGATGAAATTGAGGCTCAGCCATCCGAAAGAAAACGAGAAACAACGCCGTGCCTCGTGCCCAGGGATGCATTATATAAGCCTGATCAAAATTGTAAAGTGTTGAGGCATCCTGAGTTCGGTGAAGAAAGTTTCGTTAAACGTTTTCATGACAACCATATTGATCAAGGCTTATACTTCGAAACGAATTCTACTCTCGAACCGGAAGTTTCGAAATCACATACCCAATTTTTTTTTCTGATCCCTGAATATTCTGGCGTGAGTTTTAAACAAAAATGTATACTTTTACTTATCGGTAAGGTTTATTCCTTTCTCGCTGAAGTTTATAGTATTTATACAAATTGAGTTTTCGCGAAATAAATCTCTTACATATATAGGAACACCTCGCATAGTCCGGTTTTTAAAGTATTATATCAAAATATCAAAGAATCATAATTATCAAAGCATCAATATTTACTGTTAATATCCTTCAGCAGAAGTAATGTGATACACTTATCACTCGTTTTACACGGTTTAAAAAATTACTTATTCCTTGTTTTACCCAGTATTCCTAAATTCTGAAGTTACATGTTATAATAATTTGTTATTATTTAATAAAAATCTTTTATTCTTGCAATAAAATAATTTCTATAGTCTGTTATTGATAATACATATTTAGAGTGTGTATATTTGGATTTCGATGAAATTGGGAATGTATGCATTGACAACATTACGCTTATATTGTATGTTAAAATTGATTTTCTTCGGACACATTTCTATCTCGCAGCTGGCTTTTATGTTACCGAAACATTTGGCTTTATGTCTCATGGACAGACTGTTGATCGTATTGTTACGAAACGTTTCTAAAAATGCAGCACATAAGCCATTATTGTTTGCAATTGAAAATAAAAAATATATTTATATAAAGCAATTGAATGGTATAAAGTTGTTACAATAACATCATATTATAGTATGAATATCTTTATATTTCTTCAATACGTATTACTTTACCATACAGATTTTTAGTAAAAAAAAAAATATTAATTTAAAATTAATATAAAAAGTAGTTATTTTTTGATAATTGCTTTTTTGTAAACAAAACAAATGGAAATTTAATTAATTATGTATAATTAAAAAAAATATCAAATATTTCCCAAAATTTGTCCACATTTTACTTAATCCTATTTTTTTTATTTACACATTTTTTATTGGTTCTGATTTGGATCAAATGAGATAATACTAAATTATTTGATAGTTATTGTTCTTATAATAATATTATTTTTGATGATACTTTGAAATAAACTAAAAAAAAATATTTTTTTTGTGAAAAATCGCGTATTTAAAAATGTAAATATTTGATAAAGTATAATGATTAATTGATTTCTATAAATGCAGTAAAATTGTTTACTAAATAAGTTACATCTGGTTGGATAAGTTCCGTTGTGACATCTGGCTTTTATGTTTTGGAAACAATTGAAACATTAACAAGAGTCGTTGGAGTGGCACCGCAACAGAGTTGGTACACTTTGTCTAATAGCTTTATTAGTTGAGCTTTAGCATTCGACTGCAAATCGTAAGGGTTTTGATTAAGCTTTTTATTCGAGGAAAGGACCGAACTTCCGGTTTCGTTTTGCGCACTGGGATGATTGCACCGATTTTACACTCTGCGGCAATGGAGTAAATGGGACCAGAATTTCCATACATGTGCATTAACTTTTTCCCTGATTCATGGCGCCGTTTGTTGGTGCAATTAGGATCTCGTTAATTATATCTTGGAGATAAATGAACACCTTAATGGCGGGTCAAGCGTACAGAGCAAAAAAAAAGTAATATGGAATGGGGGTTGAATGTGCCAAGCGACGGTGCAAATTAAATTAAGTCTAATTGCATCTAGGAACGCAGCAACGTGTTTGTTCTGATTAAGGATTAGCGGATCCTGCGGCGTGCACTCCTGTTCTTCTAGGTTTCACAGCCTGGGAAAAAATAGCAGGAAACAAGTGATAAATGTAACATTTTTATTCTAAGAATTATATAAAAACATAGATTTTGATAAAATAAACCGGTTTTCAAAATTCATTATTTCTAATACCGGTTTACGAATATTTATAAATAAAACGCCTCAATTGAACAAATCTCAAATCTACTGACATCATTGTACGTTTGTACGGACAAAACAATCAATTTTCTATTATCGAACGTTCCTTAAAATGAATGCGAATTGAAAATGTAAAAAAAAATTGAGTATTTCTAAAACCAGTTTTCGAATATTTACAAATGTCTTTCATATTATACCAGACAGATACTAAATTTCCTATGAATCCGCACTATGTGAGTTATTTTTTTTTTAATTTGATAACATTTGTTTTATCCTGATTGTCTTTTTTGGTTATAAATTTACTGATAACATAATTGTATTTAGATATTTTATTAATTAGATTTTAATACTGAAACTACGTTTTGCTCAGAATAAAAAGGGCAGTAAGCGTATTATTTTCAAAGTGCGAAGCGTCCACTATTCCTCTCTCTTTTTTTTGTTTACTCGCGCGGGTGTATGTATGTATATTCGGAAAATCAATCTATGCAGACATTCTTTCGGACAAGCGCACCTCCGACGATCCTTTGTTTATCCAAGATTCTGTCTAGGTCAAATTTCTGGTTAGTTCTGGATGGTTGCAATTGCACAGACAATTTCCCTTACATTTTAGCAAGACGCAAAAGCTCACGGCTTGACCTTTGACCTTTTTAAAATCAATAGAATTTTGGCATGCCATTTGTTACACAATAAAATAATACAAATACAGACTATTCCCAATATTCATAACAAATGACGTGGATTTTGGTCGATAATCCTGTGGGCCCAAAAAATAATAGTAATTCACATGTGAATGTGAAATTCATGCTGAAATATAAAAACAAAATACCAATACAGAACATTCTTAATATTTATATAAAAAAAATGTATTTGTTGAACATAACATAACGTTGGTAAATTTGGGTTAATTGAGGGTTAATGTAAGTCTATGACCTTCAAATACTATTAGTCGAGGCCCCCAATGTTAAAGGTCTGCTCTTGTTTTTTGAAAATTGTAAACACATGTAGACATACGTAAAACGCAATAGAAATATTTCAAAAGTTTGTGATTCTGTTCAGAGTAGAAAAGGCAATGCAAACATCAAAATAAATACGTATTGTCTGTGAACGAACATGATATGAACATCATGAGCGCAGTTAAAAATTGTAATGCCGAGATAAAACAACAGGAAATTGTCATCTGCAGCTAATTAATGAAGGCTAATGTGCATATTGATACGCATCGATTATAGCAAAATTGTTATGAGCTAATGTTTGCATTGGTAAAGCGTTTGTTAAAATTGGGAATATAATTCCATACATGACGTTGGCCGTGCAGTTGTAAAACAATTTGAATTGAACAATCGCTGGGTGCGCATTAATTAATTCCGAATTTCAGTTAATTTCAATATTAATTAGGATTTATTGGTAAACTCTACGTTTTCGTTTTCAGTGTGCAACTTGACTCTATCAGCAGCCGATCTTCAAACGAAGTCCGGAAAACACTTTGGACAAATCAAGTCGCCGTCTCTTCAAGGACCAAGCATGTGCTGGTATACGTTTTTACCATCGCAGAATCAGAGGGTCGAAATCCAGGTCTACCGTCTAGTCAACACTGGAAAATTCAATGGAACCAGGTAATGTTAAATACTAATATTACAATATTCACTTTTTTATGTATTCCGGGAAAATTCATTTTTTAATTACCGTTTCCCGGGAACAAAAAAACGGGAAATATTTTTTTTTTCTGCTATTACACTCAATATTGATCACACATTTCCAAGACGTACCTATGGAAGGAACGGATTAAATTACTACTGCTCTAAAGCCGAATCCATAGTAAATGAAATCACGACTCATTCAAATAAAATTCAAAAGGAAGACTCACATATAGTATTGCATCATCATCCTCTGTACAAATTATCTCATGTGTAAGATTTTTTTTTAATTAAAAATTAATTTGCTTTAATTATGATATACGAAAATAATTACGTTTTTTTTTTGGCATATACAATAAATAACCATGGAAAGTCCATTTGATCCGCAGGGGTTGAGGAAACATAAAACAAAATTAAAGAAACTAATAAAATTGATGCAATTTTGTGAAATAAAAATTGCAATTTTTTTAATTTTGTCAATGAAGAATAAAAATAATTATATGGAAGAAGCTTTGCTTTGTTTTCGTAATAAAAACATAATGATAAAATAACTAAATGCAATGTGTTTTAGTAACTCATGTGGCGCAGCTGGTTCTGTTATTCAGCAAGTGGATTCTAATTTGGCCGAGTGATTTCCCTCCATGCACGAGTGAACTTGAAACAATTATACAGTCAGCATAAAAAAAGGAAAACAAATTTAATTAATTAACAGGGTTAATTAATGAAACTTGTTACGTTAGTGGCGCTTGCGTAACAAAGGAAATGTGCGCCATAAATAATATAAGATACTAAGTAGATTCGAACTTAATACTGATTAAAGATCTGTTTAAGGCGTGCTCTCATCATGGACGTAAAGTGTTTTGTGTTCGAGCAGTTGATGACCCATAAATCTTTATGGAGAGCTCATTTAGCTGATTGGTCGGCATCTTCACAAAGTAAACCCCCGAAAACATATTTGGCAAAGTTAGGGGAAAAACTTGATGGAAACGAAAACAATCAACATAAAAAGCCGTTCTTCTAATTTTCCCTAAATGTTTATGAAACACGATTGGCAATACACTTCAAATGAGAATTTCAATTTTTTAACACACATGATATTTCCATATAAGCATATAGTTTTGAATATTTATGAAAATATTGATTTACTTTAATAATCTTTTTTTTCAACATTTTTTTTTTGTAGAAAAAAGGAAAATGAAAAATAAATATTTCTTATATCGGTGATTTTGCAAACATAATTAGAAACGTACAAGTGTCGTCATTTATTATTACTAGACGTTTGTACGTTTCAACGGATATTAAGTATCATGAATAATTACGTACGTATTATTGAACGTATTTTAAATAAGTGGCAATCATTCATTCCTCAATACTTTAATTATACTATAATAATTACGTCATTGTACGTTCGCTCGGATTAGTACCATACATAGACAAGCACGTTTTATCAAACGTATGTTAAAAAAATGTACGTTATTTGAACGCCACTGTATACAATTAGTATATAAAATAATAATTTTGTATGTTTCACATTCATTGACACAATTATTTTTTATTACTACTGATTATAATTCCACAAATTTGTATCTCTAATCCTGCTGGACATGAAATGTAAATACTATTGCGTTGACAGCTTTTAAATTGAGCCGCAAAACGACAGCAATGAAAATATTACAATAAAATAAAGCATTCCTGTTATTGTCGACAATTAATCACATCAATTCAATAACAAATATATTTTAATCCTTTGCTCGTGTAAACGAATTCTTAAAAAAATATATATAAAAAGCACGTCGCAAACAAATTTCTAATGCAAAACCAAAACAAGACAAATACGTGTATTAAAAAACAAAAATTTCAATGATTTCAGCACGTTCTGAAATCCAATTAAATAATTAAAATCACGTACACATTAAATCGGATAATCGCGTTGAAAACGAATTACGAAATGTACAGGGTCTGTCTGCACGTTGGAAAACCCGAGGAGATTTTGGATCCCCTGTCATTCGGCATCTTCTTACATCCACGGATTACATTCTAAGCTCCACACAATCTATATATTTGAAAATACGTTTTCCTACGTTCTAAACGCACTTTATTTTTTTATAATTTATTAACATTTTCAAAGAAGTTTACAATATTAAATACATATTATTATATAGTAGGGCCTCATCAAGGTTGTCGTGGGCCCTAAAAAACGTATAGGCCCTAAACACTGTTCCTAGTGCAGGAAAATTGACCGGGGCCCACGGGCCCCACAGACCTTATTTTAATCAACAATACAGACGATTTGAAACCGTTTGCAAACATCAGACCTTTTAAAAAGTAGACTCGTCACCAGTCTGTTGTTTACATGACAAATAAGTATTATTATAAGCTAGCCAGTGGAGACGCAGTTAGCGCAGAGTGCGATATGAAATTCAATTAATTTTGTTTTTCTTATTATAGTTCTTCTATACATATGTTCCTTTCTTGTTTCTATTAAAAATTTAAAAAAATATTTGTATATTCACTTTTTTTATTTACTGGGGGCCCACCTCAATATTTATGCAAGGGGCCTCAAAATCCAAAAGATTGCACTGGCCCAGTGTGTCTAATTAATAAGACGGAAATAGGGGCCCACGGGCCGCATACAGCCTACAACGACTATAAATGCGGTTTATTTCGATTTCACTAAGCGGGGCATTGCTGTATATCTAAAGAAATGAGAAAGGTTATATGTAAATTGTATATACTATGTATTTTAGGTTATATGTGTATATATGGAATTGATGCCGTAGTTTAGCCGGAAACAAATTTAATTACAGAGCGAATACAAGAATTCTCGTCGTCATTTCTCACCATCAAACGCAGATACATAGATGGATGGCCGCAATAAAAAGGCACTAACCGGTATTGGAGTGTGCAGACTGCGGAGCCAAACAATTATTCTATTCGCATTAAGGACGATTGCGCAATCCAGCGCGGCGTCACGTAACAAGGATGTTTTCGCGAGGATTACAAAAATGCGGAATTTAATTTCGCTGCGCGTAAAACCTCCTCCCTTCTCTTTTTTTTTTGTTTTTGATCTCCATGAAAAATTATGTAAATCGACGTGTTATTCGCTAAACGTCCCCATTTCATCGAGTTAAATTGCTTTCAATTAAAAACGATACTTTATACACTTACAACTAATTTATCAAATTTACGTGAAATTACGTAGATTTTATACTTTTCTTTTAAAACGTAATATTTTATTTGTTTTGTATACATTATATAAACGGTGTTATTTTATTGGGCCCACGCATTTTTTTTAAACCGGCCCCGCGCAATTTTTGTCTTTCGTGTAAAATAATTACTTCGTTATATAAATTTATTTAGAAGTAAGTTTAGTGGTTAGATGAAACTCATTTTCCGCCCATCTTATCCTCTCCGTGTTTTACTTTTATAATACGAAAACAACTTTATAATTTCATTACGTTTTGTGAACGAAAATTACTGCAAACTTAACCCTTAACCCTTAATCTTACCAACTCTATAAGATATTTATACTTACTTGTATATTTAATACAATAATTATTCGCCAATTTAAACACAATTATTAATTCAAAATTTAATCAATAATTAAAACCTATTTTATCATTAATTATATCAGAAAGTGTTTATAAATAAATTTCCAAAATCTTCAAAACGTATTCTAATTTCTTGGATGATTTTTCTTTTAGTACAATTTCTAATATTTTTTTTCTTGAAAATGCAGACTTTGTTATATCGAAGCTTCGTTAATAGAGGTAACATTAACTAAGGTGTGATTGTAGCTAATTATACATGAAGTATTCCAAAAGTAAAAAAAAAATGTATTGCTTCAATCTATGTTATACGACAAAATACTCAAACATTTGCTCTGTTGTAAATCGACTTTGCGATGAAGGACATTAAAGGGCCAGGGCATCAAACGTTAAAAGTAATTTCCTATGATGCGTTACACAACGGACTTTCCATGACCCTTTGATATCTCGCGGTTTATTAATCGGATTTTCGGTGGCTTTGACGTGAACCATGCAACGAAAATAATTCGCCCACTTGATGCATAATCACTTGTACCAAATTCCTAAATCAAACAGGTGAATCGTGCTATATCCATACATAGCTTAATTGATTAAATCCATAAACATTTTTTACAGTTCTTGGTCAAAAAAAAAACTTAAATAAATGATTTAATATTATCATCTATTATATAGGATCATAGAGTATTATACTATATTTTTTCGATGAAAAATCTTTAATTACACCAAGACGATTATTAAAGTCGGAATCCGAGAAACTTGCAAAAAATCTGGTAATAATTATCTTAGGATTTATGCGTTATGTAAGCTGTATATTTTTATTACTTGAATATGTTGAATTTCCTTATGTTGGTGAAATAGATTAAGGAAGCGACCTATATACACTAGGATTCAAAAAGCGTTAGACTTCGATTCACACTTATTACAACTAACGAGCGTTTTATGTACCTCTTAAAAAGAAAATATCTTCAAGCTCATTACAGTTTTTCCTATTTCCGTTATTACACTCTAAAAGTCCACTTAAAACTTAATGGCATATACTAACTAAGGTATGACTCGAATAGATAGAAGTAAATTTATGTTAAATCTATAATGAACTAACTGTAAGTTATTACATCAAATTATATAATAATTATTTAATATCTGACATCTCTTAACGAAAAATGCATTTATTTTGAAGTATAAAATATCTTAGGCACTTTGAAGAAAATGATTTTTTTCATTGATTTTATAGTTAAGCTTTAAATTTTCCTTTTAAATAACTATACTATTGATAAATCTGATGTGGAAGTAAGATATATAAGGTTGTATATAACTGGTGTCGGGATTTTGATATAGTCGGGATTATGGTTGTTGGAATTTTTATATAATCGGGATTTCGATATAGACCCATCACAATATTATTCTCAAGTCTTATATGCATTTCCTCATAGTTTCACAAAGTTCCATTTGTTTATAATATTAGTAATTTTATTAATAACTACTTTTAATTAAAGATATAAAGTACAGTTAACGCACTTTTAACATACGTTCGATAATACGTACATCAAATAAAGTTCCTTGGTATATGTACGTTACGTGAACTTTCCAAATATGTTATATCCGGTTCTATATCGAAATCCCGACTGTATTGAAATTCCGATTATATAAAAATTCCAAATGGAACTTTGTGAAACTATGAGGAAATGAATATAAGACTTGAGAATAATATTGTGATGTATGCGGAAATTATTATTTTATAGTATATGTCTTTGTGCGAGTAAAGATTTTTAAGATTAAAATTGATTTCAGCTGCGTCGGAGGGCATCTTCAGCTGATGAGTGGCACAGAGCCCCTTTACAGCCACCACGAGAACCAACTTTGCGGCACGAACGAGCGCTACTCACCCCCAGTCGTCTTTTTCTCTGACAACGGCGTCGCGACGCTACTATTCGAGTATGTATATTATTATTATTTTTTTACCCCCTATTTTCTTCTCTCTTAAGGGCACTGGGTGTGTAAGACAGCGGGGAGAGGGTGCAAGAGCTGGGGTGAAAAAGCACGCGACACGGCAAGAGGGAAGATAAAAAAAAAACGAAGAAGAAGCATACAAATATATACCCAAGGGATGTTGTTGTTGCTGCCGCATGTATTTTCTTTCTTTCTTTATCCTTTTTTTTCCTTCTCTCGTTCCGCCTATATATCCTTTCGCGGATTTCCTTCGGCGATTAATTTTCATTTCCCTTAGGCGGTCCTTAAATATTTGCCTGCTTTGTATGGGGCAGGTTAAACAATTAATCACAGCTTAAAGTTTCGGGAAGAAAGTTTAACGTTCAGATAAGCGAACGTCGCGGCATTTAATTCTTTTAAACCACCCCCACCAACCCTTCAAACCTATTTTTTTTTTCTTCCTCTTCGGTGTCGTGTGTTTTATTTTTATTTTGTTCTTTGGCATTTATATATGTTACAGTTAAAGAGTAAATCTACTCTTTTTTTCGACTAATTCTGATACTATTTAGGTTTTTTTTATAAATATACAAATTAGTTATTTTATGGTCAAAATTAGCTAGATGAGTCTAAGTAAATTGAGTTAGCTTATGTTAACTTTCATATTAGATTATCTTGGTTATCTTGTGTAATGTTTAGTTAAATCAGTTTAACTTCAGGTTACTATGGATTAGGTTAACTTATTTTCTTTTTTTTTCATGTAATGAGATAAATAAGAATCTCTAAAACTAATTTTAAGTATTTCGAAATGTATTAAAAGTTTAACATTTGTAGATTGAGTATTCCCAAATGTTTTATATTAAGTTTAATATACATGTGTGTGTACGGAAATGTATACATGATTAGCAAATACTCACCGATATTTGCACAACCGTATACAAGTTTTCGGTTCTTGTTTGAGTAAGTTACGGACAGCAATCGACGGAGGACGTAACTTCCGGTTAGCGCCTCTACCGCCATCCGAACTTTTAATTGGAATTCCGAAATCCAATCGCATAAACAATATTGCGTTTAAATCGGATGCGGCTTCAATATTAATAAAACATTTGAAACGTATTTTAATTTACCTGCTCACTGCACCTAATATTCATTGATGATTCATGCTTTTCCATTTACATAATGCAACGATCAATACATTTTTTTTTAAATAGTATTTTAATTTTTCAATGGAATATTATTTCCATTTGCATGATTTCAAAAAAAAAACGACGCAAAAAAAAACAAAATTATTTTACAATATTTTTATGAAAATAAACTTTTTTCAACAAAGCAAAAGACATTTTTGTATAAAACATAATTTTATGAACAAATTCAAATTGTACTATAGTGAATCCGCACTGTGCGAGGTATTGCTGTACATAATGAAAATTATATATAAATTGATAATGAAAAAAAAGTAATATGTTATTTGTTTTAATCTATATATTTTAAGAATTATAAATTAATCTAAAAGGTTTCAGTAGTTTAAATGAAATTGCAGGGATTAAATAATTCAGTGAATGATAACTGGGACTGATTGACGTACAACATGATGCAATCATTTTGATGATTTGATTGATTTACGTTTTATTTTCGTTCGTTTCTAGTAATGACATCAAGGGCCACCAGTCGTGTCATGCAATATGGGGACGGATTTCAATGTTTGTTATATATACATTTCAATTCGATCGTTACGATCAATTTCATTATTATATAACATTCATAGTTCTAAACATCATCACCCACAAATATATTATATAAACTTATTGTTTCACTTATGAGCGTCTATACCAGAAGAATAGGGAGCCGCAATTACTCATCCAAAGAGGCCCCTGAGCCGCAGGTTGCCGACCACTGATCTATATCAATTATGAATGGAATTAATGTATGGAATTTACTGCAGTTTCTTTATTGACAATTCTGGATATTTGAATATATTCTTCTTACATGAAAATATATTTATATTAATGACATTTATCACAAAAGTTACATAAGACATGTTATATAATACAGCAATAACTCGTACAGTGCGGCTTCGTTGATCTTCGTTTTTTTGTATAATAATCAACTTATCAAATTTATTATCTTTTATCCTTACAATGCAATTAAATAATGTAATGAAAGATATTGAAATTTCATGAAAATGTAAATAATTTATTTAAAAAAATCAATAAAGTGTGAAGTTCTTGTGAGTACAAAAATAAATATATTCTATTTGCGTAGCTCGTAATTAAAATGCCAAACTTTTGTCGACTTCCAGTGTTTATCGAAGGAAGGGCACCGCGAAGGTCCTTAATACAAATTCGTTGCCCTCGTGCGGCTTTCTTTCCACTATGGAGACATCGAAATTGTTTTAAATTTGAATGTCATTTTGGGTTGTCAAAGGGAGAATTTGCATTTAGGCCAGCGCCTTCCGATTATTTATTCGAGCCACCCCTCATCATTGGAAGATGACTGAATGAATGGCCGCGCGATACCAACTCTCACCCTCATTCGCGAGGGTTGCAAAGATTATGTTTATTCATAAATGTCCTTTCACATTATTTTTGCCCTTTTGTGTTCCAGGATCACGGAAGAAACAAGCAGATCCCAATTTTTAGCGTACTTTAGTTTCTCGGATGTGAACGCAACCGATGGTGTTGGTTTCCAGCCACGAGGAGGAATGCCCTTACAGAACACAGGTAAACCCATAAATTCCCTTCAAAGATAGTAGACAGTCGGACTTGCTCTTGGAAAGCCCATCGCCTCTGGTGATGGATGCATTCGAGTGCAGCGTAAACACCCACTAGGTTTTCGTCCTTTCTTTCTGTACGTTTTCGTTGCGGCTGTTGCCCTCGGCCATTGGCCATCACCGGATATTGTCGCACCGAAAGTTCAGTACTGAACAACGAAAGAGCATACATTTACCATAGTCCCCTTATCTGAAAATTCTCGATTCCAGACTGCGATTGGCTCTACCAGGACTCGTGCGAGAAACAAGGTCAATGTGTATTAGCGAGTCCTGGTTATCCAGGGATATATCCTCCGAATAGACAATGCAGGTATCATATAAGAACCGGAAGTAGCGAGCGCACACACGTCAAGATTACTTTCACTTCCCTTTTGTTGCCGCCTGAGTAAGTACAACGTAAAAGCGAAATGATTTTCGAGGGAAGGATTAAATTGCCGCAATGGTTGCGCGCGGGAAAGGATCTGGATCCTGCCGCTCGGGTTTTCAGGTCGATCGCAGGACGAAACGATTTAACAGATCGCGGTTTCTACGCTGCTACTTTGTTACATTTTTTTACTGTTTTCTCAAGCGATTTAACATCGATTTTTAATTAGATATTTTAAGAAATACTAAAGCTATTTCATACCGTTTCCAACTTACGTAATTGTTGTACGAAATTATAATTACAAGACGTAATTATCAAATTATAACCTCAAGTATTAATATTTACATTCTATCAAAGTTTTAATTAACAAATGCAGACCAAATAATACAATAAACATTCACTTAACGTACATTTTCATGAACGAATATAATATCATACAATAATACGAAAATTCTCAAAGTGTATGTTAGTATAATAATCGTAGTACGTTAGTATGAAAGTTAAGTACGTTCATACGAACGAGTTAACAAAGCCAAGGGTGAATCAAAGAGCCATTTTTAACATATTTTCAGTTAAAAAATTTGTGATTCCGCACGTAACACTTTTTGTGCATCAAATGAGGAGCCGCCAGTTTCCGACCCAAAGTTTAAGCCAATCCCGAAATTAACGTTTTTTCAGCTTAATCTTCATTAAATCATCATCATCTAATCATTTAACTATTGTTCAATTTAACATTTTCCTTTTCTTTATAATTTTTTATACTTTTATAAAATTTAAATATTCAGCCACAATTTGTAAAACTCATTTCAAATATCAGTTAAAATCAAGTTTACGTATATTGTATTTGTAAATACTGTTATTTTTACCATTTTTTTTTTCATTCAATACACTTGATTGAGCTGATGAAGTTAAACTCTTCGATACATGTTTGATTAAAAATAAAAAAATAAATACATATTTACTGACCTGTTTGCCGATGGAAATTAAAATAGAAAAGGCAAACAGAACGATATTTGCTAAATAAAAATATTAGTCAATAAACGTTCGCGCCATATTTCCAGACGACAGACAGAACAGGATATAAAAAAAACGTACACACACACATATTTTGTAAACAAGACCTTGAAGTCGTTGACTCATATGAGGAAAACATGTGCGATTCTCACAGACAATTTTTTTTATAAATCTATTTAAATGATATTCAAATTTATATTACTTTATTCTTCAGATTTAATACGCAGCATTACCTCTCATAGTACGGCTTTTTACAGTGCTTAAAAAAGTTTAAAACAAACTAAATTTCATATAAAAAAAATAGTATAAAAATTATAGTTTATACATGAATGAAAATTATACAATTTTAAAGGCCTCGATTAGTGCGGTTTCGACCAGGCGGATTCGTTATTTGCTAATCAAATTTTAAGGAAATTGTAGTTTTCTTAATAAATTTGCGGGTAATTAAAAAAAAAACTTTGTACAAATAGTTTTCATTTTACTATGTACCATGATTTAATTATAACTGCAAAGTATTTTTAATTACACCTTATTCGCTGGAAATGAGCGCGTTAATTAAAATTATTATTCATATATAAATATATTAATTTTTCGGCTTTTACAATTTCTTCCCGGAAAACACGTAATTATACACATTCTAAAAATATAATTAATTTACGAAAAACATATAATTAAAATTTATTCCTCTACAAAATCTACAGCAACGATTGCCAAACTTGTATACATTTCACATTCTTATTGAAAAAAAAAACAAACTTCAAATTTAGATATTCGAATGAATCAAATTTTCATGAATAAAAAAAATAATATCGGAGTTACCTATGATCAGATGAATGAGAAACATAACTATAACATTAAATTATTTATATTTGTTAAATTTGTAACGGTGTAAAAAGGTTAAAGAACGTTACACGATCTACAAGTTACATGTACATATTACATAACTAATAGAATTTATGTTTGATTTGACGTACAAGTATTTAGATAATAGATACATAAGAAATCGCATTGATTTTCGTGACAATTTCGATTTGTTTAAGCCTGTGATTCGTCGTGACACAGAGCGTTTTAAAACCATACAAGGCAATTTTTCGATAATGACTTCAATTTCATTACGTTTTAAAACTTTTAATTGGATTAAAATTGAACTGTTTAGAAGTGCCATGATTGTATATATAAAAATACATGAACAATTCCTATTAAAGCAGAAATTGAAATAAATTAATTTAATTGAAATAAAATAATAATGTAGTAATTAAATTGAGTTTGTCATTCGTATTAGTGTTTTCAATAAATAATATTGTTCATAACAAATGTATAATATAATTATATTCGATTAATATATAATGAAACGTGAAACATATTTTGAATTCTATAAAATTTAAAATAAAGGAGTTGAATTATATCAGGAAATAATTGGAAAATTATTTATTTCAATGTATTCATATTAAAATTTAATTATACAAAATATATTTGTGGTAGGTACAGAATTTTGCATTACTGAAGTGATTATTTTTAAGTGGATTCAGTAAATTTTTTCAAAAGCAGTTCATTTTTTTTTGTATTTCCGATTTACACGCTAAAGAAAAACGTTTAAATCGAAACATGTAATTGATTTTTTTATAATCCGTGTAAAAGCGAGGGATATGTTATTTTCAATATTTATTTTTTAATTGTTTTCTTTAAAATAAAAATAAAGTAGTTTTTCAAATAACAACAATACTTTTCTTTAATTTTCATACTTAAAAGTACACCTATTCCCCGATTTACACGGTAGATAAACGTGTAAGTTGAAGTTGTAACTATTCGAATGTGAAACCGTGTAAATCGAAACGTTTTAATGTTTTTTTTGATCCGTTTAAAAACGAAAACGTGTAAAGAAAGTACCGTGTAAAACGAGAAATAAATTATTTTCAACATTTATTTTTTAAATAGTGTAAAAGCGAAAACGTGTAAAGAAAGTATATTTTATTTGGATTTGATCATGGGATGAAACATAGAAGTAAACCGAATTAAGATGTAACAGCTTCACGTACACCTAGTTATTATATAATATTCAATCTAATTATATCAATTTCTTTAATATTATTAAAGTGAATGATCTAAATTTGAAATAGTTCGGTGATGAGAATGATTGCGATTACGAAAGTTTGAAATTGTTTGAAAACATTTTAAAAGTTCCGCGTTGAAAGTTGGCATCGGTTTTGCGGTGGATCAGAGCAACCGTTGCGGCAATCGACATCCTTTTTGCACAGATTAATAATATAATAAATACCGAACAGACGATGCAACACCTCGGATTATGTAGCTATATATAAAGCGGTGGCAATCCCGGAGAATTTATTGGGTACACTATGCGGTAATCAGCGGAAGATGTTCGAATTCGCTGGATCCAACCTCTTGATAGAATTTAGGTAAGCCTTTCGAAGATAAAAACCGCAATGCGATTGGCAATTTATATATTTGATTCTATTTTGTTTTCCTCTTCATCGTTCGTCCTTCACCTGGAATATAACATACAAAAGGACTGGAACGCAACATCCGCCCTTCGAGTATAATGGCTTTGTCGCAACACTCGACTTCTACAAGAAAACGACCACGCCACTTCCTACGACTCTGCCGACGGTTGTACACAGGGTCTCTACTAATTTAATAAGTAAACTTTGCCCTCCCGTTGTTTACCCAGGAGCAATCATTACAAGAACCATTCATGTCCTCAGCTCACGAAGTCACAACGGCGGCTCCAAATTTCACGGGATGCGATATATTAATTTCCGGGAACAACACGAGGTCCGGCCAATTCGACACGCGGGAATACGACTGGTATCCAATATGTAGGATTACGTTTAGAGGTAGACCCAGCGACGTCGTCCACATATCTTTCTTCAACTTGCGTCTAAGGTAGGCATTGCACGCGTAAAGCAATACAGAAAATGTTGTCTGACGGTGTCTCTGTCTGCAAATAGATCGCCATCCTGCAGGACTGTCGTTGAGGTCTTTGATGGAGCTTTGGAAATCCGTAAGAATATGCTTGAGAGGCTTTGCAGTCCACAGGTCAAGCAGTCACGCGACCCTGATGATCTACACAGCAAGAGGTTGCTGTCATCCAGAAATGAGATGGTGATCTTCTTCCAAAGACCAAACGCTCCTTTGGGTACGAACGAAGCAGAATTCCTCGCTGGACGTTACTTCTTCCACGATGGTAAGCAAAGCAAACTTTTCGGAATCCTCCACTCTACATCTCAACCAACTGTTTAGAGCAAATTAGTGGAACCGTGCTACCAGCTGGTATGTGTGATGTGATATACAAAGGAAGCACTAGTCCATCAGCAGGCATGATTGATAATCCTAGTACTCAACATTTATATTGGAACATGGAAGGTCCTCTATTGTGCACCCAGAAGTTCGTACCTGCAGCCAACCAAAGCATCACTCTCAAAGTTATAAGCTTAGAGCAAATGGTCAAGGAACCAGCTTGTGTCACACAATGTGGTGACCACGGCTGTAGGTGCGTTTCCAGTAGTCCCATTTCCAAAATCGATCACGTCCTTATAGTCAATGATGACACGTGGAAAGTTGCCTGTCTTTGCGGAAGCTACCAGCATGAGTGGCTTCCAGTTAGTGTTAGATCTTGGGCTTCTCTAACGCTCGTCTACTCCGTCGCTCATTATACTTGGAAGAAGAAGGGCTTTGACATCTCGGCCTCTTATACTTTCAACATGGACACCGTTTGCGGAGAGCAGGTTTACACACTGCACACAGGTGTGTAATCGCCGGTTCTAGGTGAGAGTAACTGATTAATTGAATGAAAAATTAATGATGCAGGCGAGATCGTGCTGAATAATTTAACTCCCACCGAGAATCTGAACCATTTCTACGAGCAAAGTTGCACTTGGACCCTACACTCGAACGTCGAGCGCCAATTAGAGCTTGACATAAGCTCCAGCCAGAATCGTAAATATAACCAATACATTAATATCTTAGCGTAACATTTACTGCCGTTATCGATCTACACCAATATCGCATGACTGATTTTCTTAGATTTCGCCAATTTGAAGATTATACAATCAGTGCTCAGTTAACGTACATAATGCACACACTAATTAACGTACATTAATTACTGTACCCTAATTACCGTACACTAATCGAATATAAATTAATCGGACATTGATTTCCTATATCAACGTATGCATTTTTTTTGTAAACAAACATCCAAGTTCATAGGAAAGTACATCATCCACATTTATTATGAAAAATTATCCAATTTGTTAATAATTTATCCTAAACCAACTAATCCAACTCATTGTCTCTTCATACAAAAATGTAGTAATTATGTACGTATTATCTAACATACGTTAATTAACTCAAAAAAGATAAATTGCATGAAAAAAACGTCAAGCTTTTAATTAGATACATAATAATAACTATATGCTTATATCATTAATTAAATTGAATTATCTGTTTAATAACACATATTTATCAAATAATCATATGATATAAAGACTTAATGAATTTTTCAATTTGTACTCTTGACAGATAATTATTACATTGCAGATTTAGTTTTAAATAACCACAAATTATATACACATAAGTATTATATGCATATATTAATGTAATAACTTCGCAATATATTTTCCAGTATAATTAATAATGTTTCAGTATAAACGTAGTAAAAAAATTCTCATATTTAAAATTGCTATGTAATATATAACTGTGATTAATTACTACTACTATATATCTGCAATAATTCATTAAAATACTTAACACATAATGTACTAAATATTTCTATTGATTGAAAGCAATATTTATTTTTTTTATCGACTTAATGTTCATCCCTATGGTTTTCATATAATTGCGTAACTCCTCCAGGCAATATATTCAGGATTATCCAATCCATACGCTCAAATTAGAAGTAAAGTAGATATAAGTGCACAGCAATTTAATCTGATACTAAGTGTATCGTATTACTACTAATTATTAATAAACCGACGTTAACCTTCAAGACTAATTATGCTATGATCTACTTCCATTGTATATTCATAACTGTACGTTTTAATTGATAAGTTTTCATTCAAATACGAGTATACAATAATGATTTATTAATGAAAGAAAAAAATATATGTATGAACTATAATTTGTATTTACACTTTAAGTTTACTGTTAATTTTCTATTTACGACTATTCGCACTTACGACGTAAATAAATTAAGTAACTTTTCGAGTTAAGACTGTTCAAAATTAAGACAGTTTGTGTACTTTCAGTGGCTGTGTTTTAAGACTTGCTTTTTAGCTATGAATATAATGTATTGTTTACTAATGATTGCATAATTTTTGGTCAATTGATGCATGGTAGATATATAGTAGGTCAAAGAACAAGACACGATTACATCATTTTCCAGGGCCATGCGCTGCGTGGAACGTGAGCATACACGAATATTCAGCAAGTTCGAGTTACAAACACTTGGGCGAAGTCTTGCATACTTTCTGCTCGCGAGACGCCCATAAGGTATATCTGCTGCCGTGGAAAGTTTCCACCGTCATAGTTAGGTGATTTCGGTTTGCTCGAGTGCATCAAATTTCCCGGAGATAATGACTTATTATTTCAGATTACGTACATTAAGCAGGACTTTGCCCCAATTTAAGGTGAAATGGAGATCGCACGTAGTCAGGGCGAACACGCGATTCGGAGGCGCACCGACTCCCGCCCCCAACGCGGATTCCACCTCATCCGCAGGAACGCTCGCCGCCTCCCTCATCATCATCATGATGTTACTCTGTTTTAGATAAATCCTCGCAACGATCTTCTACATTGTAGAATCTACAACGACAACCAGAATTTAAAAGAAAAGAAAAAACAATATGAAGAAGTGGCGAGAATATTTTTTAGATGGATATCCAATATCAATTATATGTACTTACTTGTCCAAGAGAGAAAAGAACCCTAAAACTATTATATGTATATATATATATTTGTATTGAAGCTCATCGTCATGTTTATTTTAAACATCTGCTCAACAATTGTTTCAACAAAAGTCATTTAAACACTCAATGACGATCTTACCACAAGAAACGTCAAATCCGACGAAATATCAAAATCGTCGGATGAATTAAGGACCTTCATTCTTGCTAGTCATCTATCTGTGATAATATTGTTCGATACTGAAAGAAAACCTTAAGGAAAAAAAAAACAATGAGAAATGAATGGAAAAAAAAACACGACACGTTCGAATTTCTCACAGTTAATAAGAGTTGATTGATTAGCATTGAAACGGATTAATTATATATATTAAAAAATAATAATAGTTAAATAATTATTTCAAAGTTGTTACATGTTTCTACGGTGTTAGCATAAACGAAACTATATGTATATGTGCGCAGCCCGTAGGCTGCGAAATCCTCTACCATAGGTAACGAATATGAGAAAAAAAAAACAATGTAATTCCTTCTATGTTAACTGTTTACTAAGAGACGTGGATAAGTAATTTACGTAATCAAAACAAAAAAATAATAATAATATGAGAACTAACGAAAAAAAAAATCTTTCATGTGTAATGAGTCAATAACATTATTGCAGCTTTAACATATCTTTTTAGTGCCACGTTGGATATATCTATATATTATTGAGCCCTTTGCGTCTTAGTCGAAATACAAAATATATTCGCTGTTTACTGTTTAAAATGCACTAATTGTTACACCTCCCAGAACTATAATTTCGGCGCGCACCCCTAAAACACCATCCCCCCCCCCAGACTACTCGACCCATCTTACGTAACTCTTGGGTCGCCCGGATTCGTGCGAACCTCCACCACCTAATTGTGCAACTCTTTGTTGGTTCTGTTGTCTTATGTTTGCGTTGGGCCGAACCGTTGTTTTCCCTCTGTTATCGATTAGTTGGCGATGTAAATATCCTAATTCGAAATAAATCCTAAGTGTAATAATAATAATAATAAGCTCTGTGTCTCTTCTTATTTTTTCTCTCCTAGTATCCATAACTCTTACCAATCGATCCGTTGTTATAGACTTTCATTCCCATCGGCGCTTGATTAATTATTCAATTATGAATGAGTATGAGCCAACGCGTATCTGTTAATTGGGTAAGCGTAAAAGTGTCAATCATGGGATAAATGCATTTATCTCGATACACGTATCTAATGAAAATTGTAACCGTATTTTAAGCAATTATCATTAAAATGTTCGCTTTTACGTACAGTAAATGAATTTATCCGTAAAGTAAGAAATTATTTCATTTTAACATTAGTTCATTAATACGTACATCTCTATCCAATCCAACGTACAAATACAAATATCTATACTAACGTACACTGTGTTAAATACCAATGCACATTTATTATTACTGTTTTCGATTTTACGTAGTCTTTTATACTTTATGAACAAATAATCAAACTGATAAAATTTAAATCTCACGATTTCCTTAAGGTACTGTACTTTATTTAAAAGTCGATAAACAATAAAATTCTTAAAGACAACAAAACGAGGTAAGTAATTTTTTTACATAATTAAAGTTTAAGAATTTACATCAAATTTTGCATATAAAGGTCACTTTTAAATTGATAATTAGTATCGTATTTACTTATGTTTTATATTTGTATAAACTTAAGTATAATTATTTAAAATTAAAGAGTATGAAGTAATATTGAATACTAGGCTTGTCTTTATTTCTACTGTATGAAAATTGTGTATCAATTTTATGGATCCAGTTGTTTACTACTCCACATATAATATAATAGAGTATGAAGAACTCCTGATTGCAATGCACTTTCGCATCAGTAGGAAAGTTGAAGCCTTAAACTTTATAATGCCGAGCTCAAATCCGGAAACTTCAACCAACATCCACATATAATACCCAACTACATGTAGGTAAGTAATAGTTTCAACACTCATAGCTCCTCATTGATATAATTACATTTATCTCATACTCGTTCCAATTCATACAACCAACAAATAAAGTTCATTGAAAAAAATAATAATTTTGCAAATTGATTTATATGAATAAAAAAAATAGTAAACATTTTTTTTTTATTGAGTTAAGTCTCTTTTTGTGCTTCAGAACCGGTTATCCGCACTATGCGAGGTATTTTACAAATTTACAAAAAAATCTAATATTAAAAGACTAATAACTTTATAGAATATGAAAATAAATAAAATAATAAAATGCAAATGTGTATTACGTGCATTTGCAAAGTTACGTGATTCATATTTACTGAAGGTGCGATTTAGACGACAGATATTAAATTTACATAGATGCAGAAGAGCGAATATACCCAAGGCAACATGAAAAATGCATATGTATAATGCATGTGGTTTTTATTTGTCTCCAGCGGATATTTAAATACACTAGAAGAAAGAAAATAAGGAAAGTTTTGGAAACTCAGCTGTACTGCATGTTGCGATAATAATAGCTCTCCACTGTATAGTTGCCGGAACTTTGAAAAGTTCAAACATATAAACGCTGGATCGATCAGTGTTCGCTTCAGACGCTCTCCTTTTATCCTTAGTTTTCGTTTGAAACCAAAAAAAAAAATGTAGTCATAAATCTTCATATGTCTTCTATTTTCACTTATACGTGAAATTGAATTCTATAAAGTTGGCTGAAGTACAGAATTTGCGTTACACTACAGACATCTTTTATGGTAATAATTAAATATTCTATTAATTAATAATTATTAATTAATAGATATCTATTCATAACCGTGGGTTCTATGCACCAATTAAGTAAATGAATAAAATATATATTCTAGAATTATAATACAAATAATAGTTATGCCTCCTAGACCCTAGACACTGTGTCTAATTACCGCTTTATGGTAATACCAATTTGATGCATTTATATAGAAAGACAACATATACAATAAATTATACAAGTTTTATACTTTTTAATACAAGTTTCAAGAGCAACAAGTTCTATTCGCAGTAAGGTATTAACACGTTTCAGAATAGTGAACATAACAATTATAAAGTTTAATTATATTCTGTTTTGCAAATTAAACAATATTTATTTCAAATATATATTTGGAAAATTATCTTGCGGTTAGCAATTCTAGGAAAGTGCTCAAGGCAATTTCATGTTGTATTAACAATGTTCAAATGTTCTTAATGGATGGCTTAGTTAACGTATTATGTACTAGTGACCAAACATAAAGTGAATGCACATAGAATTTCTAATTATTTGGTACAAACGTTCACAAGAACATACTTGAATATAACGTACACACCGTCTTTTCTAGAATATAAATGTCTCTTTCAAACTTTATTGTCTAAACAAAATAATAAAATGTAAACGTAACATTTTTTAATGAAACAGATAGTATTACAGGTTTGGAATGAAAGAACAAAAGAAATTCTTAGGGAGTAATAAAAATCCATGTGTAATCGGCATGTAAAACGCATCTAACGCATGAAAGAATGTCTTTTAGTGTGAAATGAACGGTATGTATATATTATGAAAGGTTGAGTGATTTGATACGTGTAATATAATATATAAGGATTATTGAAAACCGAATCTTCAAATATATGTGTATTCATTCAATTATTTGTTCCACTTAGCGTGTTGTAACATACATAATTTTACCATCGTCAATCGAATATTTTTTAAATTACTTACGTAATGTTTTAATATAGGCAACCAAATGCATACGCCTTTTGAATACACCTTTATAACACTCACTTTAGAACTTCATCAAGAGATGAACTTTTTTTTATATATATCTTAAAGGGCGAAAATTCACGAAAATTAGAAAAAAAAACTTCTTTTCCTGTTACGTAACGAACATTATGTAACTTTCGTTTCATAGAAAGGTGCGTAAAGGTTGGGCCCATATTACGCAATCATGAAATGCAACAAAAGTTACGTAATTTTCGTGTAATTAAGAATAAGGTGAAAACTCAAAGAAGCAGCGATTTTTAAGAAAATCCTATTCAGTTTTTTTTTTGATTGTCAAAGTGTGGGTCGCAAAAAATTAAGAACAGATCAATTTTGGTTGTTTTTCTACGAGTATCTAGAAACTTTCCAGGGGTCGCAGAAACTTTTTATGTCCAAAAAGTTTGAAAATCACTGAAGTAGTTGATTCAACTCTTCTCTGTTTCAATATAATTTCTATATTGCATACATTATATTAATGGAGAAATCAATGCTACGTACGTTAATTATATTACAATACTAATAGCCTTCCGAACTAACTTACAAATACCTATTCGAAGGTACTATGATGTAAATCGGTATAACAGCAAATAGAAAAGGAGATTTTCAGTAACATAGGTAAGTGGTATAAGCACTATTTGGCAGACATAGGGCCGTAATCATATAAAAGTAAAACATAGTTCTCCACCTAAAGTAAGCATTGTACCCTAATATTTTTAAATAATTTAAATCATTATGTTTGTTTAATAATTAAATACGAATATAAACAAAGTCAAAGAAATGTTAACTATGTTTTTAAAATATTTTGCTGAAATACTTGTAGGACCGCCGCTGGACCTTCGCTTGCATATGCGCGTTGCATAGCTTTTCTTCACTTATTTACTCTACGTACAGCTAAATCCAGCATTTTCCATAAACCTTTGTTCGTAGTGGTACATCCGTTTTGAGCATCCCTCCAATTCTGCTACTTCAGCAACAACTATAACTCAACCAGCTGCAGTTCCTTGTGGAACATACAGCTATGCATACCTTGGCCATTCTACTCTTGGTGATGCTTCTAATGGTACTTTTTATGCTGCTGGTTATTTTAATTAATCTAATTATGCTCTTACCACTTCTAAGATAATCTATCCCAAAGATATAAATCAATGATTATTAAATAATCATCATAAATAAATGTTTGTGTCTATATATGTTACTGTGACATTAATTTATAGATTGTATTTCTTGTTATTGTTGGATTGTAGATGTATATGTTTATTGTATTAACAAATTTGTTTTTATAAGTTAATATCTGTAAATTTTTATTTGAAAGTTTTAAGCAAATAAATGTTTCAACCTTAATAAAGTTTTGTTTCAATTATCAAAATTTCTGATGACAAATTGAAAACAAGTTAAATATTATGTTTAATGGTTATAATCCCAACTGGTGAAATCCAGTCATAATGTTACTTTTTGAAAATATTATTTCCATAAGAAGTAACAGGTAAAATGACTACTTGATTGTAACAATTTTTATTAAGTATTACATAAATCTTAAAAACATATAGTTAAACTGGTAGCAAATTAAATAGGTCAGATCAATAATTAATTTATTATTTTACATATAGTCAAATGAAAACGTTGCATTTTACTTGCATGGTTATGCAAGCAACATCACACATGAACAAAATTATCAAGAAGTACACAACGTAAAGTAAAAACATGATTAAAATATTTATATTTTTATGTTATAAACATATTTTTTGATTCTTTACTAAATTTTATACAAATATATAAGATAAATATTCTACAATTTACCTATAGACATGTTTTTGTCCATTTTAATAAGAATGTTTACTCCATATTTTGTCAATATCTTTCATTCAAAATTTCTTTCGCACTTCTTGTTAATTGTCCAATGCTACTGAATGCTACCACCTAGCGATATTTTTCAACATGACACCACGTGTGTTTGGCTCCAAAAGTCGTTAAGCAGATGTTCTTTACTCAAGGCTGCAAGCTTTATAAAGCCAACACATTCTACAAAGCAAAGAACACCATTCAAAATCTGAGAAAATTGTCTCAGACTAAGTCTATTACAGGAGATGGTAGCCACCAGGACGAAATAAAGATTATCTTATTATTTGCATACTTCTTTTCAGAATACATTTGTCCTGTGTCTCTAGACAGCCTCAATTGTTAATTTTAGGAATTTTTAAAAATGTTTGTATAAAAATTACAGTATATATATTATCAAACTAGTGTATTTGTTTTATAGTGATCAATAGAAAAGTTCAAAGTAAATTGTAACAATTAAATATTTTATATAATTGTTTTATGCAAATCTCTCAAATTTGATTCGCATTTACGCCCATGAACAATAAATTAGTATAACTAATAATAATACTTAACTGAAATCAATGTGAAGAGAAACCTCATGCTTAATTTTAAACAGTATATTAAGCTCATGATTACCGTCTTAGTTGTACTTTTGGTCAAAACTAATCAGGGGTGGATTGTAACATGGTTTATATGGGCTGCAGCATAACTCCAAGCAGTGTTAGTTGAGGGCCCCAATGTTAATCAAGGGCCCTCAAATATTGTTATCAGAGCTCAAAAAGTAAATGGTCTGATACTAATGATTACATGTAAAAACCTATCAGATGTAGATTTGATACAGTTTAGGTAAAAATTAATTTCGTTTGTTATCAAGTAAAAATAGCATGCCAGAGTAAAGCAACGTTGATTGGAAAAAGTGTTTATTTTGGTGGGAAAAAATGAACTATTAAAGGAGTTGGATAAATGCAGAGTAATGTTAGTAACAAAGCACACATCGATATTACATTTATGATATATAGACTTAGTTTACTGAAAGTATAAAATTACATACCAGATTATGCGTTTTTTTTATATCAAATCAATCCCTAATTTAACACTCAAGGTGTAAATTTAAACTGAATTTACATTTACGTGACTACACTTACGATATATTAGTGTATTATTATGATATAAAGTATTATATGAAAAGAAAGTTTCTTAAGTGTTACACAATTGTTTTTTTTTTTATAAATGCTCGATATTAGTATACATGCTAAAGTGAAGAAGTAAAGTTTACCTAATGATTATTACTTAAAATTGCCAGACAAGGTATTGCCTTTTGGATTTTATTCATGTGAAAAAAATAATATATGTATAAACCAAAGCTTGAAATATTTACATAATATCTGCTTACTTCCACATACCAATCATTAAATATTCGTTTAGCCGCAGAGACATTCCTTTTCGAGTAAAAAGCAAGGAAATAGATAATAATAAAGTATTCGAAAATGTGTTGATATCAGCTTTTAGAATAAGATGTATAAAACAATCAACGTCTTCGTTAAAAACAAAGATTCCGGTTGAAGCAATTAAAATCAGGCAAATTATGAAGAAAAAAAATAATTGTTTTAAATACAAAACACACAAAAATATGTTTAAACAAAGAAAAAAAAAACTATAAACGAACCATAAAGCCCCCTCGTATCTTTTTTTTTAAGTTTTCCTGCATTGGCGCGTAACGAAGAAAAAAAAATACTGCATCAATTCATACAGATATGAAAGTAAAGACAAATAAAAAGTAATACTAACCATAAAAGAAAATGAGGTTTTGTACAATAATCTTCTCTCATTCACACAGCCACCTTTCTGCATCACAGCCGATCAGCTAAATTGATAGGATGTGCAGTGTAAATCAAAATAATGATCATACATATTAATATGAATACATGTAGTTAGAGCTGCCCCGTTGAAAAAATAATTAATCTATATATATATATGTCTTTTACGTAAAAAATATGAAAGTAATGTGATTAAAAACATTACTAATTGATAAAAAAAAAATGAAAATGAGTATTTGTGATGGTACTTTATACTGAGATCTTATTTTTTTTTGTAGGTTCATTGCAGGACTGGGGGCATTTCGAAGGTGAAATATTTGCCATATTATATGTACAAATAGAGAACATCAAAAAATATACTCCCGCAGTATTGCAACGCCGTTTTCTTTTTTCATTTTTTCTTGTTTGCTTATAGATGATGCTTGTTTTTTTTTTTCAAGTTGTTTTGTAAATCTGGATTATAGGTGTGCAGTGTTCAACATCAATATATTGTTTACAGAATTTAAGACGATTTCTGCTCGGTGGGTTGTTTCGGGTTGCTGCGGCTCCAACTTGGGACGAATTCCGCTGCATGAGGATTCAAAGTGCTGCTCTTCGCCATCTCCTCATCTGACTTACTATTAGCGTTGTTTTGACTGAAAAAAGAATAAAACATAATTAGTTGTTATACAATAATCATTTAAGTCAAGTCTTAAAATTATACTACAATTTAGTTTAACAGAAATTAGGACATTACTAGGATTATTCACTAAATATTGTTTCTTTCTCATTATTTTAAATACAACGATCCAGAAAATACATTTCGTGACATCTAACTTAAATAGGGACAAATCCTAGAAAAATCTAATTAACATCTTAAATATATACATATTAGAACAATCTGATATTACTGGCATTGCTTCTATTAATAATGTAAACCAATTAGATGCACTTTATTTAACTTTGTCAGGTGTCCCGATCTTGTCCCAGTGTTCCAGCTATATACGTTAGTGAATAATTTGGAGCTTTGTTCCCAAAATACAATATATAATCAGTATTGTCAATACATAATTTTTATTTACTTTTTGTCCATTTCATTGTCCCAGTTTGACAACCCAGAAATTTGGCAATCCTAACATTATGTTTGCTTCATTAAATTACTTTAGTTTCCAATTTCTTTTTAGATTTTGAAAAAAATAGATATAATTTCATATAGTTAAGACATCAGGATTTGATTAGAATAATGGTAAATTTGTCACTTTCAAAATAGTGAATGTGTCCGATCTTGTCTCACTGTTCCAGCTATATACGTTCGTGAATAATTTGGAGCTTCATTCCCAAAATACAAATATATAATCAGTATTGTCAAGACATAATTTTTATTTACTTTTTGTCCATTTCATTGTCCCAGTTTGACAACTAAGAAATTTGTCAATCCTAACATTACGTTTGCTTCATTAAATTACTTTAGTTTCCAATTTCTTTTTAGATTTGAAAATAAAGATATAATTTCATATACTTAAGACATCAGGATTTGATTAGAACAATGGTAAATTTGTCACTTTCAAAATAGTTTGAACAAATCTTTTTGGTAAATTATTCTAATTATAACTATTAAAAATTTATAAAAAAAAAATTGTCCCAACTAATCTTGAAATATTTTGTATGAAAATTGTCAACACCTATTAATAATTGTAATCATCATTCGAAATATTTTCAAAGAAAAATAAACATTTCAACAGAAGTTATAAAAATATCTTTATGTAGAAGTTGAAACTGAAAATTGTCAACAACTGTATTAATAATTGTTGAAGAATTGTAATCATTCGAAATAGATATATTTATTTTCATAGGAAAATAAACATTTCAACTGAAGTTGTAAAAATATCTTTATGTACAGGTTGAAACTGAATGATTCATGCTTTATCATTGACCAAGTTCAACTTGCGTTGCAAGAACGTACCCAAACAGTGCGCTTGGCAACTTTTCAAAACTTTAAATAACATTTATTTTTTTCATCAAACAAATATATATAAAAAGAAAACATACGTATTTGTTAAGTGTAGTCGATAATAAATGTCATCCATTACTTTGTTTTACAGTTATATAAAGTTTTTGTTCTGTTAAATTTATATAAATAAATTAATTAAAATCATTGAAAATATAATTAGAAAAGTTTGATAATTATAGTTAAATTATTACGCAGTTAACAAATTTGAGCAATAAATAAGTCAACAACTGCTAATCAATCGATGTTTAATAATTGCGTAACATTTATCGTTTTCGTGCAAATTTAAATATTGGTTATGTAAAACTACAAATAAAAATGAGAATGCTATAATAATAACGTTATATTTAATTATTATATAATCTAATTTTGACTGTGTAACTATTTAGATATTTGATATTTAAAAGAAATACTATTTTTGTAAGAAGAAAGATCATGAAATTGTACGACGCACTCGAAATAGATTGATGACCTCAATTTAGGTCGCGACCCAGAAACACTGGTTTAATCGTCGTTGTGATACGATACGAACAAAAAAAATATTGTTATTAGCAAATATTTACACGTTTAAAACTTGCATAACAATAAAATTACACGCAAATAACGACTATTATAATATATATTTAATATAAACAAGTTACCATGTTGTAGATGGTGAATATTGTTGATGTATTGCTGACTTAGCTTTGTCCAACAGAGTCGAGTCCAGCTTATAATTTTTAAGTTGTTTATGAAACAAGCAACGTTTTTCATTTTATTAATAGAATTGATTGATTATAAATATAACGTGCATTAGAAATATCCTAATATTATTTAAAATATGATTAATTATTAGGTACATTGATGCAATGATTTTATTAGTTTATTGTAATTGATAACACAAAAGTTAAATATGGTTAAAAACGTAATTAACTTTGTGATAAGGTTAATCTATTAAAACATAACAATTAAATTACACATATTTAAAATAACAAATAATATTGTCGTTTAATAGACTTGAGTGTGTAAATCAATTATTGTTATGTAAATGTAATTAACAACTATAATTTAATTAATGGTTGGTGTCTAATATGTATACAACATTATATACTCGATTGCAAATAGTGATGATAAAAAAAATATGAGGAACTTAATTGTATGTAAGAAATTTGATTATATAATATTCAAAGAAGCCCAAAATAAATAAATGACTGTATAACGATGAATTAATATTTAAATTATAAATTTTGTAGGAAATTGTATGGAGTTTACTATATCAGAGGACACAATATATAAAATAGCATAAGTGGTAAGTTCTCGGAAAATATTTCACTTAACACCATAAAATTAGTAATCATGGCAATAGTAAAGGTATAATAATCATTGATTTATGAAGCAATTGATGGTAAATTTCTTTTGATTTATATGCAGTGGCAATAGTGTTGCATCATTTGCCCTTAATAAGAAGTTTCAAAATACACAAAAATTTCACTTCAAGTAGCCTTGAGGTTAAGCATTATGCATGCAAAATGCAAGTTTCAATGGAATTACAAATAATTCATAACATTGTATATATGCATGCATATGCTGGCTATGAACAAGGTGTCAGCAATTATTATGGGTTCAGGCACATGAAATTGTAGAAACTTTCTAAAAATGCATTTTGCCATGTATGTACATATGGAATTGTTCTTACTTATTTGTATTGGCAGCGGGGGTCTGGTTCTCGTTGTCTAGCATGTGCTGGAGCATACACTGTTCCATAAGCTCCTCTTCTTCTAACCTTTGCAGCACCTGGTGTTGAAAAATTAAATGAATTATATATAACATATTGTAGGGTAACGATGGATTATTGAATGATATATTAAACTTGCCTCTTTGTCGAACTCTTCCTCATTCTCCATCCACATATATTCTGAGAAATCAGTCTCCTCAGCAGGAGGTGCCGATGTGGTACCATTCCCATTTGTGGTTCCATTGGTGGTACCATTGTGTGGAGGTCCAGCTTCATTGAAATAATGCTCTTCCTCATATGTGCTATATCCATTCATGTTGTTGGATGGTACTTTCATGGTACTAAACTAGAGGAAAATATGTTAGGCCCTGGCCATCAATCCAACCACCATTTTAAGAAGTGGGCAAAAGGGGGATTTAGGCTTACCTTCGAGTTTGTCGTTCGATCTGGGCTTCCAAACGCTTTGGAATAATCGAAAAACGTTATGGCGATGGTAGTTTCTGGTAAAACGATGCTCTCAACGGCTGCAGCAAATATGTCCACTGCGACGTACGATAATAATAGCAGTACACGAGAAAAAAACTTTCTGCGAAATCACCACGAAAATTCAGCACCGAACAGCACCGACACCGTACCAAAACAGAAGTTGGTTGATTCGATTGATGGTAGATGGCCAGAGGTGCCACAAGTCGGCGTTTCCGTTTCCGCCTTACAAAAATGCAACCACTGCAACCGAAACTATAACAATTTTTGCAAAAACAAATACTTTTCTATACAATAAATTCATTAACAGAGACTTTAATTAACTTACAATTACAGTTTAAATTTAACTTCTTTAAGTTCTAATGCTACGTGGAAATCGATGATGTTTATTTTTTGAATTTGATCGGGAACTATCGGATCCGAATCAACTTATAACATATTTACATCATCGATCAATACAAGCCTACAAAAGACAATTCATACAAATGTACATTATATTTACAATAATAATAGTTATTACAATTACCCAAAATTAAATGAATTAAAAAACAACTAAAATTATTAAAATAATTGTATTATAAATTACTTATTTTGAAAATTTTATTAAGAATAATTTACATTCTCTTTTTATATAATAATTACGTCAAGTCTACGAACTAAGATGTATAAGTAAAATCTTGGTTATCTCCCACCAATGTCAAAATATCACGTGACATCCAAATATTCAATTGACCGCTGTCCATTTATACAAAATATTACAATATTTAAACGCATAAACAAATATGCATTAATTTAAATATGAAATTTCTATAATTTATAGCTTATTATCACTTTAATGATGATACTTATGTTTTTTTTATATTTTTCTCTTTCTATTCAGATAATTACCAATTATATAACGTCATGTTTACGAACTAAAATTCTGAAGTAAAGTCTTGGTTATCTTTTACAAATGTCAAAATATCACGTGGTAATTAATATTTAATTGACGTTATCCAGAAGTTAAAATGTTCAAACATACGTACAAGATCATTTAAATATACAATTTCATTAATTAACATTTATAGCTTGTTATTACTTTAGTATTTATTAATTTCATTCTATTTCTAATTAAAAATTACTTGTCTCAACCAATGTTAAAATATTAAGTGATCATTAATAATCTTCAAATATTCAATTACACCAGATGTTAAAATGTTCAAACATACGTACAAAAGTACGTTAATTTCAAAATGCAATTGCTTTAATTTACATATATAGCTTATAAACATACTTAACAAATACAGTTAGCGTACATAATGTGTAAACGAGAAACTAACGTCTAAATTTGATATAAATAGAAGTCAAATACACAATGTGATTGTAATAATAGTTGGGTCAAAGGGCAACAAATAAACATGTACATATTAAAGCACGTAATCAATTAACAACATTTTAGTTATGTAATTTTCAACTGTATATACTTACTGTATTTTTATTCACATATTATGTGACAAACATTATATTACATAAATATAGCAATTTTGATTTAAATTCCAAGTATTAAATAAACTACAGTGGAACCTCACTTAACGAGAACCTCGCATAACAAGCATTTGGCTTAACGAGCAAAATGAATTGTAAGAAAAATGACTCGCTTAACGAGCGATGTTTCGCATAACGAGTGACGAGGAGAAGACAAGTCCTAGATTGTGCGCCTGCTACATCATTTTTAAAACTTGTATATACATATTATGTGTAATTTTGAATATGTTTCACTATACGAGTATTTCACTGTACGAGTAAAAATCCGGAAATTAAGCGAGGTTCCATTGTATTACATTTATATCAAGTTTTAAAAAAACTCTTAACACAGTGATTATTACAAGCATTTTTAATTGAATTTGTATTAGTATTTCAATGTTGGTGTGGTTTGATGAATCTTATAACTGTATTTTATACGACTAAATAAGTGGTAATCAATGGAACCTAAATCTTTTATTTGATCGATAATAATCGCTGTACAATTTACAGACAACTTATTAAATATTTATAAGACAAACCAATATAATCGTATTGCCCTCCAATTATACGAACAATTTATTATACAATTAATCTGTTGAATAATCTAATTGAATGAAAACGTTAATTGAAACCTTCAAAACATTTATTCGTTCACATTAACGTACTGGTTGTTTATACGAGCGTACAATTTTCCGCCTAATTTGTTACATCATTGTACGTTTGTGTGAATGTTTATATAAAAAATGTTCACATATTTGTATATTCATAAACGTTCGCATGAATTCTGAGATTTAGAAAAGAATAGGAGATAAAGTATCAAATACATAATACGAATGGTTTCTGAACAGCAGTCAATCTGTAACATCATTGTACGTTCGTGTGAACGTCAAATATTTTGTGTGTATTTTGATAAATATATAGTATTTTGAAACACGTTTTCATGAACGTACATATTGTTAAAATTGCAAAGTGTACGTTGTCAGCGAATTTGGAAAAAAAAAATGAAACAAAAATCTACAATTATACAGAATAATCTTAATTTCTTAACGTCTTTTACGGTCTAAAACAGTTACTTTTCACGGATGTTCCGTTTTTTTTTGTTGCTACTTTTGTGTTAGTACTTACCGCCGTGTGTTACAGACTCAATTAGATATTTTGCAGACGTGTTGTATAAACAACAAACTTGGCCTGAATATTGACAAATGCAAAGTGTCGCCATGTGAATGCAGATTTATATACATACATAGTTTGTATGTGTCTGTGTGTATTTACCCTTTGTCTTATGACAATAAAGATTTTTATTTTATACACAAAAGTATATAATACTTTTATAAGCGTACATTGAATTATTAATTAAGATAACCTTCGGTTATTAAGAAATTATAAATACCAAAATCAACGTAGAAAGCATTAGGGTATATGGAACTACTTAATCAATGATGATTTTCAATAAAAAACAGTGATTGTAAATCGAAAACCATACAATTGTTACATAAAAACAATAACTATAATATAATTATAACAAAACTAATAAAAATTTACTACGTTTAATGTTAATTTGTGTCCCATTTTTAATTATTACAGGAATTAATTGAAGCTAATATTTTAATGCAATACAACAATAGTGCGGCTTTGATCAGTCCGGATTCTCTACAGTCCGGTTTGAAAAATTAAATTTTAATTATTTGTACACAAAATTATTTGTATTGCATATATTGTATTGCATTAAAGTATTGCATTAAAAAAGTTAATGCAATACAACAATAGTGCGGCTTTGATCAGTCCGGATTTTCTACAGTCCGGTTTGAAAAATTAAATTTTAATTATTTGTACACAAAATTATTTTTTATACAGTATTCAAATCATCGATTAGTCCGGTTCCAAAAATATCCAGAATATTGATTAAACAGCTTATCCGCACTATTTGAGGTATTTTTTATAAATATTAACAAATATTGAATTTATGTTCAAATTTTAATGTTAAAAGATGACAGTGAAATTAAAAGTCAGAACGGTTCAATAAATCATCAACAATGATAATGTTTTGTTTGTCAATGTTGTGGGTCACATAAATTATTGTATAAAACGGTGGTTTTATTGTACATAACTGTTGAACTATTGATGATTCTAACTGCAAAATGAGAAACTAATTTTTGGTATATTGAAGATTTTTATTGTTGCCATATTGTTCGTCCTTTTTACATACAGAATCATCGATGTTTCTTCTCCAGTTTGTGTTGTTATCCTTGAATGTTGAGTACAGCTTTTCGATTGTCCGAACAATTCTTTGAATATATACATTTTTTTTTATGAAGATAAGCTGATTGGAAGTATTGTATCAGTTCAGTGCTCTCTAGCGTTTTACTTGTTCTGGGAGAACAATTATACAGAAGAGTTTAACCACAGACAGTTAATGGTTTGCAAATAGACTTATAAATCCCGTATACTCTTTTAGCAAGAATAACTTGATTTCCTAACGTCAAGCCTCTAAAAATACTGCTTGAGGCTATTACTTTGTTGATATTGGTGTGTTCAGTAAAATTGTTTTTCGTTAAGTGTAGACAAATATTTTATATTAAATGAAAAATATATAAAAAATGAAAGTTAAGCAATGAATTGATGGATGGACAATTAGAAGTAAAAATTCTTAACAAAGTATGATTTTTTATAGTCTATTGTCCATTTATTTTTGAATTTGTATATTTTTATATAATTGTATAATAGTAAACAAAATGAAAGTTAATCAATGAATTGGTGATATTTAACTAGAAAAATATATTTGTACTTTAATAATTTGAATACTGTTTGGCAATATCTTGCAGTCAGGATAATCACTAATATTCCGGACTGTTTGAAACCGGACAAATCGAGGACTTTAAAACCGCATAATATTTAAGCTGCTCAAAGAAGATCAATAATTTTGTGTACTATTGTTTTTAGAATTTATTTGAATTTCCTCTAAAAATACTGCTTGAGGCTATTACTTTGTTGATATTGGTGTGTTCAATAAAATTATATTTTGTTAAGTGTCGACAAATATTTTAAATTTCATACATTAATCATCATAATTGAATTTTTATTAATGTATTCTTTTTGAAAAATATATAAAAAATGAAAGTTAAGTAATGAATTGATGGATAAACAATTAGAAGTAACACTTTTTAACAAAGTATGATTTTTTTATAGCTTATTGTCCATGTATTTTTGAATTTGTATATTTTTATATAATTGTATAAACCTCTAAAAATACTGTTTGAGGCTATTACTGTGTTGATATTGGTGTGTTCAATAAAATTATTTTTTGTTAAGTGTCGACAAATATTTTAAATTTCATAAATTAATCATTTTAATTGAATTTTTATTAATGTATTTTTTTTGAAAAATATATAAAAAATGAAAGTTAAGCAATGAATTGATGGATAGACAATTAGAAGTAACACTTTTTAACAAAGTATGATTTTTTTTATAGCTTATTGTCCATGTATTTTTGAATTTGTATATTTTTATATAATTGTATAAACCTCTAAAAATACTGCTTGAGGCTATTACTTTGTTGATATTGGTGTGTTCAATAAAATTATTTTTTGTTAAGTGTCGACAAATATTTTAAATTTCATAAATTAATCATTATAATTGAATTTTTATTAATGTATTCTTTTTGAAAAATATTTAAAAAATGAAAGTTAAGCAATGAATTGATGAATGGACAATTAAAAGTAAAACTCCTTAACAAAGTATGATTTTTTTTATAGCCTATTGTCATGTATTTTTGAATTTGTATATTTTTATATAATTGTATAATAGTAAACAAAATGGAAATTAAGCAATGAATTGGTGATATTTAACTAGAAAAATATATTTGTACTTTAATAATTTGAAAACTGTTCGGCAAATGTCATGGTAATCACTAATATTCCGGACTGTTTGAAACTGGACTAATCGAGGACTTGCGGTTTTAGCATAATATTTAAGCTGCTCAAAAAAGATCAATAATTTTGTGTACTATTGTTTTTAGAATTTATTTGAATTTTGCTCAGGCAAAAATTTTAATAGATATACAGAAAGCAAAACTTTTTAACAACATATTATTATTTTTAATCCATTGCATGTATTTATTAATTTGTATTTTTTTTATATAATTGTATTATAGTAAAAAAAAATGTTATTATTTTTTTTTATTTAATTTTTTTTATGAAATATCAATGAACTAATGTGAAATATCAATAGACTAATAAATAATTTGATTAATATCAGAAATTATTGTTTGGTCCATATACAGAATCCTAATTTGTATAATAGTTAATTAACATGCATGGAATCACATAATTTATCATTGATCACCTTGTAGAGATACAAATCAGACATCGCATAAACGAATAAATCAGACGTGGACAAAAAAAATAAAGATCAAAATTAATCGTTTCTGAACAACAAAAAATAAATAAATAAATAAATAAAGGAGACAACTTTCTGGATGAAATGTCATCACATGCTAATGACATTTCTCTGATAATTACATTTAATGATCCATCTTGAAAGAAGGTAATTAATTAATTGGTTCACCTTCGGTCGACACAACAACAAGTGCTATCAAATTAATGACTTTAATGAATGTTTAAGCATTAAGTCTAGATTATTGGAAGTTAAACAACAAATGGAAAGATGCAGTTAGTTCTTCAGTGGAATCCTACCATTGGGGACACAAATAGGGGCTTCAATTGCATGAGTGGCTTCATGAATACGTAACAAGCAGCATCCTCCTTTAGCAACAATCATGGTAATATATTGGAGCAACAAAAGGATACGTATTGCGTCGTTCCAATTGCATCCTCAACAAGGGTATATAACATTTGATTGCTGCGACTTAAAATATATAATGCATGCACTCTCAATAGATTAATATAAATCAAAATTGCGAGACTGAGACTATCCCCACTGAGATGTGCAATGCAACATTGATTGCATAATCCGTGTTTTTCTGCGACTGACTTCCTGTAATCATGCAATATAAAGCTCTTGGAATTCTAAGCCTATTTTCATCAACAAACGTTGGATTATTGAATAATAACAACATCAAAAAAAAACGTTTCTATTGTAGTAATACATAAATTCAAACACAAATAATTGCAGTTATTCAATATTCTATACAATATACATCAATAAATTCATCAATACCTCGCATAGTGCGGGTAATCGGACTGTTTGAAACCGCATTATACAAGGAACCATATGCATAGCAAAAATAATAAATTTTACAAAAAGAATTTGACTGTGCAAAGAAAGAACAAACGATTATTTATGTACAAAAATTGTGTACTAATTTTTTTTTATTTTATGAATAATTAGTTCAAACCAGAATCCGGATTGATCGAAGACGGACTGTGCGAGGTATTGCTGTTTATATAAATTTATAATGATAATTATTATATTAATAATTTTAGGTTTTTGTATTAAAATAACAATATTATAATTGAACAGATTGAATATTATATAACTTTACATAAAAAAAATAAATTAATTATTTCTGTTACAAATTGTTATGTAAATATTTTTTTTTAATTACTTTATAGTAATTTAATTAATTTACGTTTATTTACATAAAATCTTGTATTAAAGAAAGTTAACAAAATAATAACAAAAAATTAGTCAAATTTAAAATTAACTTAAAAATATATATTTTCAATATGATTTAAATCTGACAAAGAAATTGTTATAAATTCAATTTTAATTAAAAATAATATTGATAGTTATAGAATTTTATGCAGTATTATGGACCATAAGACGCACCCCAAATTTTTGGGACAATTTTTATATATGAAAATAAAAGTGCGTCTAATAATAAAAGAAATTTTTATTGAGACAATTATTTAATTATAATTAAATACAAAAAGAAAAATTTAAAATAAAATATCTACAAATAATTACGCATTTTACATTTGTAAAATTATAAATCTTATTCGTATTAAATTAGCAAATATTCCATTATATAATAAGTTGCGATAAAATCTCCTTTTTTTAATGGCGTAAGTAACAAATCGAATCACTTAATGGTTCATGTTTAATACATAAATAAAATGTGTAAATTTATCTTTATTATTATCCGAATAATTTATTGGGTCTTTGGTCTGCGGACGTTTCGTTTTCTGTTGTCTGCTTCTTACATTTTATTTTTTTTTGTGTTGGCTTCGTCCGGATTTTAATTTACATTCTAAGAACAGCGTTCGTGATTTGGGAATTCTAGGATCGACCTTTTAATTCACGGCACTCCAGTTATTATTATTTTTTTCGTTATGAGTGCTTATGTTGTTCTATCACCTTATGCCAATCTCGAACCAATTAAACGTATCGGTCAAACGACAAACGGGAGTACTTAGAAATTCATAAGCTTTTGATTTATATGGGCATACTGGAGGAGATAAGATGTAAATGAGCTGTATGCAAATTTTTGTATAGAAAGAGATAGATTTTGATTTTGACTTCGCGCTCGAAACGGGAATTCGGCGTGGATGCAAATAGATGGAATTCGGCGACACCCACGCACGAAGAAAAATTTGAATAAAGTAGTTTTCAACAAAAAAAAAACACAATTAAATGCGACTGCTGCCAGGAATTCCAACGAAAACAAAAACACCAACGCGGACTGACCTTTCCGAATGTTAAAGTTCCACGACTTATTTACAATTTCGCGAACGTTAAAAGTATGCGAAAATAATAATAATGATAATGAAACAGATACAGTTTATATAGATGGAAAGATGTAGAATTCGGCGAATGGATTATTTAATTTCTTTGGTGTTGGAGTAAATAAAAGATATGTGTAATAAGAAACGCGTTTTGTCTTGGGCATGGGCGTGCCTCATGAGTGGTTGTAAAGAAAAGAGACGAAGAGGAAGAAACGGAGGAAGAGGAGCACGACGGTATCTTCTTAAAATCGATTCGCGGAAAAAAAAATGGTGGTCTTCTTTGCTCCTTCTCTGCTCTCCATTTCGTTTATTTATGTTTTATTGTTTTCGTTCCGTGGGCAGCGGCGATTTGGTTGAGGTGGGGAGGGCTGGACATGGCAGCTTAATCCTTGGAGTTTAATATCCTTTGGTAACTTCTTGCAAATCGGATGGCGGAATGGTGGGGGGGAAGATGCACGGGACGTGTTTTATAAGAGCAACTTTATAGAATTTAGACATTGCGTGAGCAGAGTGTTGTGGTGTAAATGTGTTTCAGCACCCTTGAGAATGGACGGCTTTTTACGCTCTCTGATCTTCAGCCTCTTGGTGGCCAGCGTCTTGTGTATATGGCATGACGATGCCATCACCATCGAGGGTAAATAAAACAAAACTAGAAACTACCCAGATTCTTTCCATTACATTACATTACATATTATTTCCCGCGAAACGAACCAAAACAAAACTCTAACTGTTTCAACCCGAGAGGTTGGGATATGCAAATCGCTAATGAGTCAATAAACTCGCACATACCGAATCCGTACTGCTATTAATCACACGAATCGGATTTTACGATTAACGGTTCAGCGCTCTGTATCAGTCACTGCCAAGGACGCAAAGACCGTTCACCTTGTCGAACCTTGATGATCATTCGCTGTTTCAGCTGCGACGCCCAACAGAAATCCTAAGCAAATCTTCGTGAGGACCCCGGTGGTAGCCGCATACCAACCTCTCCTCTTCAATCAATTCCCGGTATCCGCGCAGGTCACGGCTGGACCATGTTTCACCAGCAAAGCCGTCTTAGGAAGATGCATGTCTTTCAGAGATTGTTACCCTTATTTCAAGCTACCGGAACTGAGTAATTGGGATGCTTGGATTTTGGGAATGTACGACACATGCAGTTTCTACACGGAACAGGGACGACAGGTAATAATTATTAAGCGTTTAAAAAGGTTTCACATTGAAATGACCCCTAGATGTTTGGAGTATGTTGCGTGAACCCTCAAACAGCAAAACCTGCAGAAGAGACGGAACCTCCAGAAACTACCGAAGAGGAGAACTCGATCAACCCAAATGCGGAAGGCGGAAAGAGGCCCAATTACAACGAAATATCCAATTGGCCTCCACCGGTTCCCACGCATCCTCCAAATCACACTATTCCACCATTACCGACGCACCCTCCATCCCCAGGTTTCCCAGGTATTATCCCGACCACCGAATCCGGATTCTCGCAGTCCTGGCCCGCCAAACCCAAACCTCCTCGTCCTACATCCAAACCATCCATGAAACCATCCTCTAAACCAACTTATAAACCTCCAACTACAACACAGCCATTTGACGCTTCGTGCGGAACTAAAAATGGTTACCAAGATCAAGAGAGGATCGTCGGAGGACATAACGCCGACATCGGGGAATGGCCTTGGATCGCAGCACTCTTCAATGGAGGAAGGCAGTTTTGCGGAGGTTCCCTCATCGATGACATCCACATCTTATCCGCCGCTCATTGCGTAGCCCAGTAAGAAAAGAAAAACAAACAAAAAAAATAAGATAATAATTTTCTTAATTAACAGCATGAGTTCCTGGGATGTGGCAAGATTGACTGTAAGATTAGGCGACCACAACATCAAGACTAACAGCGAAGTCAGACATATCGAGAAGAAAGTCAAAAGGGTCGTCCGGCATCGGGGCTTCGATCCTCGCACACTGGTAAATCAATTTCGGAATTTATACACGATGAATTTATAGAAGGCCAACGAACCGCGCGAAGACATAATAAAAAAAGCACGTAACCGTTACGAACAAAAAAAAAAAAACGAAGACGTCTGCGACGGGAAAAATGTACTTATTTTGAATATAAAATTTTGTTTTGCTGCTGAAAAGAACGAAAGCTGCGAGCAGAAGAAGCAAGAGCATATACATTATGTTAATTGCATAGCATAAAGGAATCAAGGTTTCATCTGGCCTCTCGCTATCCGGTTGTAGCGACCATCTCCGATTTGAGCTCTTCTATTTTGATTTGATTTTATTTTGTTACAGTATAACGACATTGCGATTTTAACGTTGGACAGTCCGGTGCAATTTTCGAAACAGGTTCGACCAATTTGCCTGCCAACCTACGGGTCCAAATACGAAGGGCAGACGGCTACCGTCATTGGATGGGGCAGTCTTAGAGAGAGTGAGTATACTTCTTTTTTTTTATGGGCATTCCCACCTCTAACCATTGTCTTTTGTGTACGAAGGTGGGCCGCAGCCTGCTGTCTTGCAGGAGGTCAACATTCCGATTTGGACTAACTCCGAGTGCCGTCAGAAATATGGACCTGCCGCACCTGGGGGCATCGTTGATCACATGATCTGCGCTGGACAAGCTAGCAGAGATTCTTGCAGTGTAAGATTCACTTTTTTTTGTTACCTATTTGTTATGCAACAACGTATGACCACCAACAAAGACTCAGAAAGATAGTTAATCTAGATTAAAATAACGATACAAAATATGAAAAATATACTTTTCGTGAACGAACTACTGAAAAAATGAAAGAAGAGAACAGAGAAATAAATAAGAGATTTACATAAAATCATAACACAAATAATAATAACATAATTGCAAACAAAAAAGTATGAAAAAAAAAATCACATGAATAATAATTAAAAGTGTCTCAATTTAAGAAATTATTTAATTATACATTTGCTAGTTATTTTTTTATCGTATATAATATAATTATAAGTGTTATTAAATTAATAATTATAGAGAACAGTAATAATTATACCCAAGTTACAACGGCGTTTTGTTAAGATATTATAGATCAGGGGTCGGCAACCTACGGCTCTTTTTGTGGCTATATCTTAAAATTGGCTCTTTACTCCAAAAAGATCTTATAGATATATAACATTATATACACGAGTAAACGTCAATGGATTCAAGTTACTAGTAAACATTACATGAATTGGACATTTGCATATGTTTATGTAAAATATATAACATACATTTAATAATGTAATTAAATTACGCATTTAAACGTATATACCATAAACTTGATCATGTATACTTATGATAAACACATATACATATCTTCTATATAAACAAGAAACTCAATATCATTGACCTAATTACATTTGAAATTTAGTTTAGTTCAAATTTATTTTCATTATTCTGAAATAAGTGAAATTATAATATTAACAAAAAAATAATTTCCAAATATTTTATTAATTCATTATAATTTATTAATTATCAAAGTCTTAGCAAAAACTAGAACATTTATGTCAATTATGCTTAAAAAAAATTATATTTAATAATCAATTTAAAATTATAATTTTTAAAACTATCAATTTGGTGATAAAATTTCTTGCTCCTATAGAGATTATATAATTTTATGAAATGGTCATAATTTTCTTTTGTAAATTGTAAATTCATCTACGATTGGTGTTGTGATGTTGACTTCTCAAATAATATTTCCTGTAAAATACTACAAGCATATTGAAAGAAATTTCCAAGAACTATTAAATTTACGGATGTGTTTTTTTTTTGTAGGGTGACAGTGGTGGTCCATTGATGGTCAACGATGGAAAATGGACGCAGGTCGGCGTCGTTTCTTGGGGCATAGGTTGCGGAAAAGGACAATATCCTGGAGTATATACGAGGGTGGAGAAATTCTTGCCTTGGATCAACAAGAACCTCAAATAAACGGACATTATTTATTAGAAGTCGCCCCTTTTAGGTTATTTTAATGTTTTCTATTTTTTTTTGTATGTGCGTATGTTGTCTTCGCACCTCTTCTTCCTTTTTCCCGCGCTATTTAGCAGTTAAATGAATTATCGGAATTTATTTCCCCGTAGATGTCTGCCCCTTAGAATGTGTTAATTGCTGCTGTAATTTTAGAAAGAAAGGGGCGTACACAGAACACAAAACATATCGACTCTAGTTTATTATTATTAATAAATATTCCGCATGCAGATTTTACAAAATAAATACAATTATATTATGGTATATATTATTATTATAATAATTATTATTTAATTACATTTTCGTGTTTTATTTCATTTCTATTTATGCTTTCGATATTTGGCTTTGGTTGCCCGTCTTTTGGGCGTTTGCTTTGAAATACATGACTCAGCTAGTTCGGTTTTCATGTATTGCAATTAAAGATGCAGTACAAAGAGAACAAATATAAAAATAACTTTGGTAACGAATAAAATATATAGGTGTAGGTGTATCTTGTATACAAAGAAGGGCCATCTGGCGCCGACTAAAATAGATATATTATATACATTTTGAGGAAATATCTAGAAATTAAGATATACTTCCACGTTATAAAATATACAGCCGAGTTCATCGGTGTTGTTTGTGCAGAGGCAGGCAAATAAATTATATTTATACATCCCCGGGTGCCGGTTTACAGAGTCTGCTCCTGCTTCAGTTCCAATGCCCACACGTGCTGCGGCCAACCCGTGCGCCCTTTGGCCCTTCGCGCGATTCCTCCGCCGCTGCCGTTTAACTCTTCCTGTTTACAGAAAAAAGAGGAACACTGAAAAATCTACCCTCAACAACAACAATAAAAAAACGCACAAAAACGGAAGCTATTTCATTACGGAAATCTGGACAAGATCCATCTAATTAGATTATACAACGCAATCAAATTATCAACCAGTTGTTTTTTTTCTTCTTCTCGCAGACGCATACTGTTGCGGTCTATAAATAAGCGGCTGCTATAAAACTGCTTCATTTTCTGGGGGTGTCAGCGGGACACCCCAATTTATCTGAGTACATTATGATGTCAAGCACAATTATCTTTGGGGGTGGTTGGCACGTGTTCCAATTGCATTAAGAGATCATTAAGGGGAGATAAATACTCACCGAGACGTCACTTTTCGGCGATATTTGGCCGGTCGTGCACTCGTTCACTTGGATGTGGTTTCCCGCAGATTTTCGGCCCAGAGATCCCAGCTCGGCCTTGAATCCTCCGGCAGGATCATCGGTCTCCAACACCCCAGTCAAATAGGATATGTATAGCGTGGCTAAACGCAAAGTCTTTATCTGTAACAATACAATTATCCTTAATCTATTACGTAAACAATTAAATCATGGTGTTAATAATATTGGCATGACGAGTATGCACAAAAAAACAACATTGTAAATAAAAATACACTGGAATTAATAAATGAGAAACAAATTGAATATTTAGTACTAATTATTTTGAATCGTACTAAAATATATAAAATTAAAAATAAAATTTGCACGATTTGATTGATACGTTAGTACGGTCACAGAGAATTCAATAATCACGTACGTATCATCGAACGTACGTTAAGTGAGCAATGAGTATATTTAAATAAAATTTAGTATGTTTTGAAATGTTCAAAGCGGACTATATTGAATCCGGACTGATCGAAGCCGAATGAGAAATATGTTTAATGAACAATTCTAATTATTATTTATTTATTTTCGATTCGATCCCGCCAATGTTTTGACTGTTTAAAACTGGACTAATCAAAAAATATACAAAAATATTTTGTTTGTTTTTGTTTTGTTTAATTAAAATTTAGTTTGTTTTAAAATGTTCAAATTGTATCCGGACTGATCGAAGCCGCATTATGCGAGATACTGCTGTAATTTATTTCAACTATGTTGAAATAATAGATAGATATTAATATATTAGTCATTTGCAAAAATAGAAGGTTATATAACATATGCATTTACATTGCACGAAGAACGTTAAAGTCGATGTTCTCATCGCAATACTAAACGATGCGTTATTAGGTATAATCTAAATTCTTAACCTCAATCTCAAGCATTTCAAAATCTACTTCAATAGAAAATCTTACTTTATCATTAATAAATTAACGTGATTGATCAACGTTTATGAATTTTTGTCAAAACAATATTTACTATTTCAAGTATTGCTTAACTATTGTAAACTGTCAAATGTCAATGAATCTCGTTTATTTTTCTATTGAAACTATTGTATTTTGCTAAAATACCGTCATTAATAAAATACATATCTATATTATGATTAAATTGATTAATGGGACAAGAAGACCTCAGGATATTTCTTCTTGCAAATTCAATATAATAATAAAAATTCTATATTTAAATAAATATACATTATATAAATCATGCTAAGAAGAAGTTTATATAATGAAATAATTCCCACAGTGCGGATAATCACCGTACTAATCGAGGCCTTTAAAAGCGCACAAATAATAAACAGCAAATCAAGAATAGAAACGACTGTATCTATTGAAGAGAAGAAAAAAATAATCATTTATATATAAATTAATGATTTTGTGTTTTTATAACAATCAAAATTTTGTCTTTTTTTTAAATGTTATATAATTTTTTATGATTTTTTGAAATGTCCGAAGAGAATTTTGTAACCTGCTTTATTTAGTGAGCAACCTTGATTGATCTATTTTTAATTTATGACCCGATTTCAGTTTCAGATCGACCAGTTTTCAATGTAATTAAAATTATCCGTCGGCGCAATTAAATGCAATCAAAGTTTTTTTTTGTTTGCTCTGAGAACAAGAACAAACACAAATGTAATAAGATTATTTAAGGTTAATTGAATCTGGTCAATAAATGTACTATTTTTTTTGTAACTCGATTGAAACTATGGAAATACTGAAATATTTTAGATAATAAGTTCATTCTTTTTACAACTTTTTAAATATGCAATACATTTACAATTATAGTTAGTAAAAGAGCGCATAGTGCGGTTAAACCAATATCCCGGACTGTTTGAAACAGAACTTAGGAATTAAATACATAAATCCGTAAAGGCATAATTTTATTTTCCTCAATTCAAATTCAGTTTGTCTTGAATTTTTCAAATCGGATTATAGTGAATCGTGACTAAACGAAGCTGCACTATGCGAGGCAAAGCTGTATATTACTGTGTAAATTCATTATTTAATGTTATTAACAAAATATCAAAATCAAAATTATAAGTTAATTAAATAAATTAATAATTAATTTATAATTGTATAGATAATAAAAAGATATTAATAAATTTTAAAAAACTATTCTTCAGAAATTTGTTATATTTTATTATTGCATCAATTTATATAATAACTGGTTGAATATTTGCAATTGAGAAAGGTATGGCTTAAGTATAATCAATTCCTACCTTTGATAGCTTTGTGTCAGCGGGAACGTTTGGAATGCAATCCCGAAGATCAGCGTAAGCATTGTTGATGGACTGCGTCCGCCGTCGCTCCTTCTTGTTGGCCGTCGTCCTTCTTTTCACGATCCTTACGAACGGAGCTACAGTACCCCTGCTGAAATCATACTCTGCACCGAAACGATATACATTAGTCCAAGATCATAACTTCTTCCTATTGAAACATACCTGTAGTGTATTGAGTAGTCCTGTGATCGTTCTGAGCATAGCTGATCGGAGTATAGATCTGGTAAGGTCCTACAATAGGACTCTGTGCATTTGGCGACGGCGAATTCGTCCTGGGGCTGTTCGACCAGAAGTTGGATTCCTCGTTGGGCGCAACGCTCGCACCGTCTAAGGAAGCGAATAAAACAAAACATTTTTTTATGAAGAAACTCACTTCCTAAATACACTCCAAATTCCCATATAAAAGCTGACACAGTAAATAAACAGTGCATCTTTATAATGTAAACCGTTTCATATTCAGTTACTTTACACCATTTGTTCTACGATACACTCATCTTCTCTCTCTCTCATTTTTTTTCCTCCGTTCATCTTCCTCCCAGGCCTCTTGATCTTTTCGCTTTCTTTATGATCCCCGAGCGCTTCAAAGCCTCAAGTGGTTTAGATATTAATAAATGTATTTTCTTAAGTAGTTGCGTTTTGAAATCATGCCAACACTTAAAGCTATGCAAGAACAAAGTGATTCAATTTTGTTGTTGTTGTTGTAATTATTTATTTTCTGCACCGACTTCATCTTCTCATGATGGTGATCTTTTGGATTCCGATGTTGGGCCGCCGTCGGCGACGATGATGATATTTACGTTACGAGATGAGCTTCGCTGTTTATTATCCCAAGCATTTTTGTCAAACCTAACACTTGTTTAACAAATGTTTCGTGTTTGTATACAAGACCCTCATGCACGCAACTGAATGTTAACGAAATTAACCTTGTCCTCGATATCGAGCGAGTATATAAGTTTACCAGTTTACCTGTTAGGTAGGAGTGAGCGTAATTGTTCTGGGGTGTCATGTAAGGATACTGGTACACCTCGTGGGGGTCGTTCGGGGAGCTTCCGTATGACATCGTCCTTTTGGTCCTTACTACGCAGGCACTGGTCGGAAGCAATTACTAGCCTCGGGGTGGACTGAGTGTACTGAAAATTTTCGTCAGCTAGAGGAGTCCCGGATTCTGGAACCTCATCCCGAATATATTTGGGCGGAGCTTAGACGACACGCACGCTCTAACGGCATTGGTCCTTTTCCCGTCTGCTATCCGTCCTCCAGCCAATCCTAACTCCTTTCCACAAATCTATATTTAACCGGGGTAATCGAATTATTACTCTATTTATTTTTACTCTGGCGCAGGCATCATAATCGTAAAATACCGCTACACATACTCATATATATACATACATATTTTTTTTTGTTGTTGTTGCCTCCATCCTGTATCAATATCAATTAGCTCAACTAATATCTGCCGACCAAATTGAAACATTTCAGCAGATCGATTACATTTCTCTAATCGTGAGTAATTTGTTTTCAACCATGTACAGAAAAAAATATATAATAAAGCCACTCCAACATTCAGTAATGTTTCAGTTCTGATATACAAGCACTTACATGAAAACTATACAAAACATATCACGTTGTCTCATTTATATGAATAAGTGTCACTTACATAAAAACTATACAAAATATTTCAGTTACGAAAATAATTATTCAATTTATAATTAATTCAAATTAAAAACTGAAATAATTTTACTAATTTTAAATTGTAACAATTTCGAGTAATTTGTTTTCTATAAAGAAAAAAATTCAGGTTTGATTTATGAAAACTATACAAAACATATCACGTTGTCTCATTTATATGAATAAGTGTCACTTACATAAAAACTATACAAAATATTTCAGTTACGAAAATAATTATTCAATTTATAATTAATTCAAATTAAAAACTGAAATAATTTTACTAATTTTAAATTGTAACATTTCGAGTAATTTGTTTTCTATAAAAATTCAGTTTTGATTTATAAAAACTATACAAAACATATCACATTGTCTCTATTACTTAAAAAGGTGTCATTTACATGAAAACTATACAAACATATTACACAAACATTAAATTACTTAAAAAAGTACTAAAATTTTACATTTTTTTAATATGAAATAAATATAAAAACTGAAATAATTTAACTGGTGTCAAAGTGAATATTATGTAATTCTTTAAGATTGTAACGTACTGATTACATTTTGAAAATCGTAACTAATTGGATTTCTATAAAGAAAACAAAAACAATAAAGTTTAAGGAAATTTTAGTTTCGATTTATGAAAACTATACAAAACATATCATGTTGTCTCTGTCACTTAAATAAAAACTATACAAACATATTTCACACACGTTAAGTTAATCAATATTTTTGTTTTTAAATTAATTAATTAATTAATTAATTAATTAATTGAATTATCTTAAAAAATACAATAAAATGAAAATAATATATATGATTTTATGTTAATTTTAATAATACATCTGCTATAAACATCTTACATGTACTATAAAAGCATATATTTATTTTCTATTCAAAACAAGATAATATTTTTATTCGACACATATGCTGTGCAATAGTTTTTCTATTCTTATTTATTTATTGCCATAACTCGAACCGTCAAAAACATACTAGAAAATCTACAAAAAAATGTAGTTCTATAAAACAAGTATATATTTAATTAAATAACTTATTTTTATGTAACTTTATGACTATTGTAAAATTTGTTATAAAAACTTTGTTTAAATATTTTTAATTTACATTTATTTATTTTAATGTAAAATATTTGGAAAACACAAAAAAAGTCATGTATATTTTTTATAAACGTTGTTTATTGTTACTTAAGCTTTATAAGGATTACATAATAAACTTAAATAATTAAATTAATTTTATTTTTTGTCCTAACTAAAGTTTCAAAATTTTCTCTAAAATATTCCTAATTGAAATTTGTATATTGTCTCAAATTGCAGTACTTTTTATTATTTTTAATAAATTCTTTAAATATAGAATTTTCTTGCTAAATCCGTTAACTATTCAATAAAATGACACAATTTTGTGAATGACGGTTTTTAAAGTAATTTCTTAAATAATTGATCAATTTAATTAGGAAATAATACATTTATAAAAATTATAAATATGAATAAAGTTAATCAAGAAACAAAATATTCTAGTATTTTTTCTTATATTCAATAAAGTTTTTGAATTCTGCAATTGTAGTAAATGACATTGATAAATATAATTAAGAATATAAAACTCATTATTCGAATACGAATCAAAATACAAATTTACATTACGATTAAAAAACATTAAAATATGAAAAATAATATTCTTTAAAGTAATGCACAGAATTATAAAATGAAAACCGTTTATTTACATTAATTTTATTTTCTAGTCCGACGTGATTTATTTCGTAATCACAAGAATTAAAGCCGCATTCCCATGAACCGCAGTTAAAAAAAAGATAACAAGTAGAAAATAATGTTTAGAAGAATTTTGTATACATCTTAAGAACATATTTTTTGAATTTAAAAAAACTACGTACATTGAACTGTTTTATTTTCACAATTAATATTAGCTTATCTAAATACAAAATGTTAAGTATTGTTATATTTAATTAAGTAAAATTTATTAAATTTAATATAATTATTCTCATAATGAAAATATTAAAATAATCTTTTTTTTGAATATAAATTTATTCTTAATATTTCAATGGTGGATTTCATTTTTAATCACAAAATCAAATTAAGTTTAATAAGAATCGGCAACCTTTTTGGAGCAAAAAGCCATTTCTTTATTAATTTTCCAGGTTGGGAGACGTAATTTCCCATCAAAAGAGCCAAATGCGGCTATTAAATCGACATTTTATCAAATATATTTTTTTTATTGCCGTTATTACATAATATCTTCTTGCATTTTTTACATAATAAATATTTTATATATATATATAATATAAGTTTCGATAATTTAAATCACATTTAATAATTTTTGAATTCTCGTATTTAACCTGAAGCTTTGATAATAACCAAATCGCGTGTTGTATTCTTGTTTTTGCAGCAACAGTTTAACCCGAGGATATTAACGGATAAATTTATAAATAGAAAGTGAGAAGGAATGTCGTGCAATGATTGTAGAACGAAGAATGTGTATAATTTTGTGAAAAGAACAAACTCGAAGATTAACTTAACAAATTTATAAATTAAAAAAAAAAAATACTAGCTTTTTTTGAAACCGGACTAATCGAGGTCTTTAAAATATTATAATAATATTTTATTTTTGTTTACAGTTGTGTTAATTTATGTCTTTAATTATGATAGTTTTGACGAAGCAAATGGAAAAAATTCACATGTCTAAAAGGTTGTAAATTTGATAAATTTGATTACTGTTTATTTGGGCATCTCAAGTACCTTTCCCTGAGGATACGTAAAATAAACAGTAGCATGGGAAATGGTGATTTTCAAAAATATTGATGCTGACAGATTTGCAATACTCGCCTTAATTATAATACATATTTTGTACCACAAAAAATGCTTCATGAAAGTAAATATTTTTCAATAATTTATTTACGTGTAGATATTTCAATTTATTGCAATAATAATCATAATAATAATAATATTTTTAGTTTCATCTCAAAATTTGTACAATTAAATTTATTTATATCTAATAGTAAAAAAATGTTGGACAAGAATCAATAGGATATTTACTGGTATTAATCAATATTTTGTTTCCATATTTTTTCTAATTACGTATGTAATTTGATTAATAATTACAGTTATATAGTTAAATATTAAATAAAATAATATTCTTAAGTTTTTGTACATGAAGATTTTTTTCTTTTGTTTTCATTCGGAATGTTCAAATTTTGTAGAAATGTTTGTTAAATTGTTGTGTCTTTCGTTATAAAACTGTATACTTGTCGGATTCTAAGAAAATATTTATTTGGCACCTGGCCAAAGTATGTCGAATGTAAATACCAATTAATGCTAGATTTATTAAGCAACATTTCTATGACTCAACGGAAGTTATAATATTGATGAAAGATCTAGGTCGGTGTTTATCAATAGGCCTATGGATGTGGATTAGAAAATTGTAATCAAGCAATTACGTAACTTTTAAATTACCAACAGCGTTTTGAAGAAATAAAAAGTAATTTAATATTTTTTTATAAAAAAATTAATATTAATTTAATAATTGTAATTTATCCCTATGCTAAAATATTTTTTTACTTTGATAATTTTTTTTATTAATTGGAAAAATTTAAAACGTTTTGAGTATAAAGTAGAAATTTTAATAATACTTTACTTTTATTTGATTTATTTTAAGATTTGAAACAAAATTTTCTGAAATTCAGCGAATTACATGGGAATAAATAGCCGACGGAAAACGTGTAAGTAATTATACGTGTGTATATATATATGCGTATAGTGTGGGAAAAAGTGGAAAGTACATAATGGGGCATCTCTTAAAAGGCCATTTGCCTTTATCGTGAGTAATTATGATAAAACCATGGTTGTGCCATAAATAAGAATTTCGCCGTCGCCTCTGGGAAGTCGACTTAAGACATGTTGTGCAGTTGAAGAGTCGGAGTTTGTTTATTCGGCAGAAGAGACGTCATCAAGTGCCGATGACAAGGATGGGCCGCATCCTCGAAGTCCTTCCTGATGGATACTGTGCTTTGGCTGCTGGTAAAAAGGACCTCCCGGTACTGATTAAGACACGATTAAAAGTGACTGCCATCCACTTGAGAGACAGGGCGAGGCACAGAGTAGTTTAACGGATGAAGTGAAATGAATATCGGAATGCCCTACGGTCGATGTGTAAGGGATACGCACAGTAGCCATGGGGCGAAAGGAACAAGAAAAAAAATAATGACCCCCTCTGACACCTAAAGAACAAAAGCTGCCCTGTCTGCTGCTGTCACTGTATATCAAATGCCTTCTCGAAGACACATGCAATGGAGAAGGAACCCTCATTAACTATTAATACCGTCGATAAGCAAACAAATCAAGGTCCCCGGCGGAAAAGAGGAAGGTGCGATCTTCCTGTTCTGTTACGCAACGCCACATGACTTTTGTAGCAATGAACTCTGGGATAAATCCAGTATGTGATAAAGCGGCGTTTAAATATACGCGGCGTGTATATACACACACACAGTGGCATCTGATGCTGTTGGATTGTTGCAAGGTGCAGCGTTGTAAGTGTGGATTTAGCCGAAGGTACTACAACTAGTGAGCAGCTTCTACTTAGTTGATTACATCGACGTCTGGTTTCTGTCGCGATGCCAGCCGTGACGCGAAACAGTCGAAGACAAAGACGCCGAATAGCCGAATTTACACAATCCTCGGCCCACAAATTTCATTAACTCGTCCAATTTACCACTTCGCTTCCACCCCTCGTCGCTGCTCAGCGATCGGCCACCACCCCCATTCGCAAAGCCAGAACCGCGACTACCGCAGCCCTTCGAATACCGTCCCCCAAAATGATAACAACTTGATTAAAGTAATGACTTTAAAATAACAGTCCAGCTGCCCTATATCAATATACTAGAAGATTAGAAATCATTTATATTTACTTCCAACCAAATCCCTCAAAACTATCTGATCCAAACTATAATCTGGCATTCTTCAAAATGTTTAGGTAATATATAATGCTAAAAATACTTTGTAAACAATATTATTGAATTAATAATTTATCAATGGTTTTTATCAAAAAAAATATTTGCTGCATGTTTATAAACAGTTCTTCCAAATTCAGATTGTTTGTCCTTAGTCCAACTTAATGAAACGAATAAAATAATTTATAATTTTTTTTGTTACCAAATTTTTTGAACTATAAAAATAATATATAAATAACAATAAGACACACTTCAATTCCAAGTACATTTTCTTGTATAAAAAGTTGAGTTTTGCCAAGTTAAAATTATAATATTGTACCAGTATTTGCATGTTTATGATAGAACACTGATTTATGTTATAAACCTGGTCGAAGATGTAATTTACGTCCGGGAAAAATCCCGGATGAAGGAACAAAGGTTAAGGAAATTCTTGAGCACGACATCGAGGCGCCGGTCGTAGGGCATTATCTACATATATGTTTGGGCGAAAAAATTGGTATAAATTATGCTTGGCTTGTCAAATAAATAAAATCCCGGGCGGTGGCCCTCCGAGAAGGGACTGGCGCCACAATACACATGTCCCTTCTTCGGTTCCCCGCATCCACTTGAGGCAGCCAGATAAAGGGCAAACTATAAACACTACGGGACGTCTTTAAATCCTTTTTAATAAGTGTACAAACACATGTTACGCTGACCTTTTTATTTATTTTTCCTCCGGTACAACGTTATTATCGAATCCCGTCTTCGGACTAAATCGACAGGGATCAGAGACGCTTGATGGATGTCCGATTTTATTGCGATTCCTCAGCGGGACCATTCTGTCCAGGACGTGTCGCTAATCCAGGATTTGCTCATCGGCGGGGGTTGTTATCGCTAGGACCTCCTGCAGAAAATGACGTAGACTGTGCAGTATAAAACCTGCAGGTCGGTACCAAAGATCAACATTGTCCTGCAATGGTTCGTCAAGCAATCTTCGTCCTCGCAGTTCTCATCCTCGTCGCAATCTGTCATTCGGCAGATAACGTAAGATAAAATAAAAGCGAGCAACAATTGTGTTCCATAACCATCCTTTAAACAACATTTTTAGGATGAGAGATCTATTGATTCATATTCTAAGAGGAAGATGAGCGCTCTTTGGTTCGGCCCAAGGCTGGGTAGGAAGAAGCGTAACCCTTCGAGTGATGAGCTTCTCAAGAACACAAACTTGGACCGCGAGCAACTTGTGGCTCTCTTGGAGATGCTCCAGGAATCGCCGTGGGCTGTGGTTGCTCTCAATGGTAACATTCACGTGAACTCTCGGAGTAATATTAATATCATCATTTATTTTCTAGAAGGCAAAAGACATAACAAAATGAATTTCACACCTAGGCTTGGTAGAGAATCAGGTGAAGATCTCGCTGGAAGTACAAACCCCAATGTCGGCGCAAACAGGTGGATACAGGATACTGAAATTAATGGCGATCTTATGTCTCAGCGTTCCCCGCCTTTTGCACCACGTTTAGGAAGGAGGGTTGTACCATTTTCACCTCGCCTTGGACGTGAAAATGATAGATTGTTTTAAGATTACATGAACATATTAACGTAATTCCATTATATAATGCTATAATTAATAAAATATATTAATAACCCTTAATGTGTCATTTTATAATTAATAAAATACAAATATTACCCAATTCAACAACAGAACTGAATCTCCACATCTGGAAAATTATCTATTACATCAGCGGTTTCCAACCTTTATGCTACTACGCCTCCCCGAAAAAAAAAAATTTTCGCGCCTCCCTTACCTTTTATTGTTTTAATAGATTAAATAATATAGACACGTTTTATTTAGTTCAAGATCTTATGGTATAAAAATTAATTTATGAAATAAAATTGACGCCTCCCCTGGCAATAGTCCGCGCCTCCCAGGTTGGAAACCGCTGTATTACATAAAACATGTGCAATTACTTTAAGATTTTGTGAGAAATTTTAGGATAAGCTGGATTTTTATTTACATTGCGGAATCTGACCATAACTAATTTATAATTAAAAATGTTATTAGTGTCTTTAAAATACATACAATTTATAAATACAGCAAATCAATCATATTTATTTTGAAATAGTACACAACATTATTCTGTTTTTGTGCTGTTTATTTTGATTCGGTTTTAAAGATTTCGATTTAGACGGTTTGAAACAGTGCAGGATATTAGCAGAACCATTAACATCTACTACATTCGAATACATGTGGAAATATCAATGGTTAATAAGATGTTGCAACAAATTCACTTTTTTGTTTCATATTTTATAGTTGTTGAAGTTAAGAAAATTCAATGACCATTTGATCAAATTATAGAAAAATGATAGAATACTTACCAATAAGTGAATTCTACAAAATACATATATGTAAGAAATTATTAAAAAAAATGTGAAATAATAATACACAAAATTTATTGTACAATAAAATACAAAGGAATATTGACCGTAGTATTTTCATCAATTCCAGCAATAAACCTTTTAATCTGGATTGTCCAATTTAGAGTTTTCCTTTTATAATTAAAAAAAAATACTAAGTTGTTATAGTTCACTACATTTCAAAATCATTGTATTATTTACTCAATATAAGTGTATTTAAATAAGATTATGATGATGTTATTATCCATTTATGGACATTAAATAGAATTATAATGCAATTATTCTTGTTTATTACATAAACATTTTGATGAGAGGAAAAATGATTAAGATTGTTTAAATTTTAATAGTTGACTATTATTTTATTCCCTAGATTATTTACTACATAATATAGATGGCGTTCTACTATACTTTCAATATTTATAACAGTTAAATTCCTAACAATTTTGAGTTTTATATAACAATTATTATTATAAATATCATTAGTTCTGTTTGGATTATAATTATTAATATAATTTTATAAAAAAAAATTATTTCAGCAAAATCTATATAAAAATAATAATGGTATTGAGTTTTAGTATTATTTATTGAATATCTTAGAGTAAATAATTGAAATGGACAAGTATCAAGAATGAATTACAATCGGATAAACAATTGTGATTTGAATTTCCCGCGTCTACAATTAATTGTCATCCTAATGATTTTCGGGGTGCGCCACCGTCACAACACGGTCGGAACTAATTTGTCAATATTGGATGTGGAAGGTTCTAGCTGTCAGTTGTTCCAGTTGAATGTAAATATTTTCCTGCAATATTGAGCAATAATGTCCAGCAACGAACAGAAAGCTCAGGCTTTGATCGCCGAAGCAGAGAAGAAGTTAAATTCCTCAAAAAGTTTCTTCGGTTCTCTATTTGGGTAAGTGTGTTGCAACCATCACTAGAGATCAGTAGCTGATCAATTAATCTTCCCATATACAGAGGATCGACCAAGGTTGAAGATGCAGTGGAATGCTATCAGAGAGCAGCTAACCTCTTCAAGATGGCCAAGAATTGGGCTAGCGCAGGCAGTGCCTTCTGCGAAGCTGCCAATCTCCATTCGAAAGCTGGATCCCGTCATGATGCTGCCACCAACTATGTAGATGCTGCCAATTGCTACAAGAAATCCGATATTGAAGGTAAGTTCTTCTGGTAGTTTGAAATACAATAATGATTTATTTCTTACAGAGGCTGTTAATTGTCTTCTGAGAGCCATTGAGATTTACACTGACATGGGTAGGTTTACGATGGCTGCTAAGCATCATCAAAGTATTGCTGAGATGTATGAATCCGACTGCGTTAATTTGGAGCGTGCAGTGCAGCATTACGAACAAGCTGCCGACTATTATCGTGGCGAAGAAAATAATTCTTCTGCTAATAAGTGCTTGTTAAAGGTGGCGCAATACGCTGCCCAATTAGAAAACTATGATAAAGCAATAACGATTTATCAAGACGTGGCGATGTCTTCTTTAGAAAGCTCTCTATTAAAATACAGTGCTAAGGAGTATCTCTTCAGGGCAGCCCTGTGCCACCTCTGTGTGGACATTCTAAACGCTCAACATGCGATGGAGAGATACATCCAGATGTATCCGGCTCTGCAAGACTCCCGAGAATATAAGCTTATCCAGACGCTGATCGAGCACATGGAAGACCAGAACGTCGATGGCTTCACAGATGCCGTCAAGGATTATGATTCGATATCACGCCTAGATCAATGGTACACTATGATACTGTTACGCATTAAGAAAACACTCAATGAAAACCCAGACCTCCGTTGAGTCTGCTTCGTTGCACCACGTAACTCACTTATTCGTATTAATTTTCGCAGTTATTGTTCATGATATATAAAAGTGCTATTTCGTTTCGTCAAAGGAAAAAAAAAACAAATAATTAATTATGAAATTAATCAGTTGATCTAGTCATTAATTATTGTATATATTGTTTAAACTAATGTGACTTCCTTTAGTTTGGAACAGCCTGAGCCTCAACATTTTCCCGTTTCGTTTATTCGTTTTTTTTTACATCAACAATTCTACTAACTTGGCTTTTCGGTTTCAATCCGTATATAATCATATAGACATTATATTGACATGTATACAAAACAAAAATAATACACATTTAATCTTAAATTTATAATGTTAACATTCCAAAATAAGCTTTGTGTTGAGTAGAATTTTTATAAAATTATTAATTATTAAAAAAATATATATATTAATTTATGTCCCATCGGTATAACTAAAAGTGGATTTGACTGCTTTTCCAAAGCTAATAGCACTTTCATTGTTATTATACTTAAGATGCAAGATGGTGTAGCGAAGCCATCGCACTACTGTTATATTTATAAGAATCAGTATATATATTATTATATATAGTGAACAAAAAAAAATTGTTACTGCTAAAAATGGTTAAGTGTTTTGTTTTTCTTTAATTATACTATGATTTATATGAAGGGTCTCTCGAAATTTAGACGAGATAATCAATTGGTATGCAAAATAGTTAATGTGTATGTTATCAGATTGTAATTGGTAAAGATTCAATAATAAATATTTAATGCCTAAATAATGGGTTATAATGAAATCACTGCTTTTTAATTTACATCCAATGTTTGGCTGTACGAAAATGATATCACTATGTGAATCACTGTTATAAAAATTTATGACTAAAACATCAATGAGTAAGTGAATTTTTATTGCACATGAGTCATAAACGAAGTGATTTCCATTGTTCATTACCGGTGGCAATCGCAAGCCCGACAACCGAAATCCCGATGTTCGAAATCCCGACAATCTAAAATTTAATAATTTTATTTATTGTTAATAACATAAACTAATTTTATTATAGAATATTTCTTATTCTTAAGTTTTATAATGAATAAGACAACGAAATAAAAATACAATAATAATTAATCTTATTTATTGTTATTAAGAATAAATAACAACAATTAATAATCGGGCAAAAGAGCCATCGACCTAAGTCTTAAAAGTATTTTTTTCAGTATCCGTTGTACCTATTAATATATAGTAGAATAATTTAAAAATGTTATTGTGGAAATTATAATAATAAAAGACAATGTCGGGATTTCGATACACTCGGAATTTCGAACGTCGGGATTTCGAAAGTCGGGCTTTCAATAGACGGTCTTTCGGTTGTCGGGCTTGCGAAATAGACCCTTCATTACATAGATCAGGAGTCAACATCTAGTGACTCCAGAGCCGCATCTCATACTTTTACAATAACAGACAATATTTTAGGAATGGCTTTTCGCACCCAAAAACTTGCCGACCTTTAATATATTTACATAGTTTTGAGTAAAAAATTCAATATCTTGAAAATTTATTGACTCAAAATAAAATCAAGTATTAAGGAAAGAAAAAGAATATTATTTGCAAAATGTTTTTTATTCACTCAAAAGTACATGAACAAATTGAGCTATATATAATATATATATACTTTATAGAGAATTTTCGTTTAAAATTGCACAGAATACTCCAACTACTCTAGAATATAAAAATAATAATAATAATATTAAAGTAAACAAAAATTCGGCAATAATAAATACCATTAAGTAACCAAAAAATTAAGTAACTCGCTCTTATTAACATGTATGTTGTTAACCAAGGTACCAAAATATACCTTCATACATTCTCTTCCCCAGTGGCTAGTAACTTAAAAAATATATATATAACATTAAAAATATATGATACACTTTGGTATGAAGTTTGTGTGTGAGTTTTGTTTTGTTTGTATGAAAGTTACAAATCAGTCAAGAGTAGAAAACCCAATCATTTATGATCCCGTATGGAATTGAATGAACCAAAAGGGCAATAGTATAAAAAGTGTTTTTTTTCTTGTGTGTGTGATAAAAATTAACGTGTCATCATCAGACCCAATATTGGTTTCTGCGTAACATGATGTTATTCCTGCTAGCACAGGCGGGATCTGAAGCATCACAACTGCTCCAGTCATCTATGTGTTGTTCATCGACGCCGTAAGGGTATCGAGCGTTTGTATCAAGCTCATTCCTGCTTAGAGGAGTCACTTTGCAATGTGGAAGAGTAGCTGGTATAGGCGATACGTAACCATCGGACTGCTTGAGTAACGGTGGCGATGAAGTCATCAACCTATCAGGTGGTCTCGGTAAAGGAATAGGTTGTAGGCATTGCTCTTCCTTGTTAATTTCTTCTGGATCAAATGATCTGCATTTGATTACAATAATGACAGCTACTCCTAGTATAATAACTCCAGCCACCATACTCACTAAAAATAAACAAAACATTAAAGTGAATCACTAAGTTTACTACCAATATTATTACCGATCAGGAAATAATCCCTCGTCATATTCGGACTAGCGAAATGCATCCCACCTTCATGTCCGGCGGGATCGTTAGGCCCAGCTAACGTAGAGTAAATATCATTATGTAACGATGATTTTATCGTGATTTTCAATTCAGCCACCGCCGGTTGGAAAATTGTAGCCGCCAAAACAAATTGGAGACTATCCGCAACTCCCGACCACCCTACTTCCATATCTTTGACAGCGATGTAAATCAATCCACTCTGGACTTCTTCATGTGTAAAAGTAGTGACTACAGTATCCAAGACGTTCCTGTGCTCACCGGAACTTCGGATAATTTTCTTGATTTTTCCGTTCTTCGGTGGATTAACTATGGTGTATTTTGGATTGCTGCTGGTGAGTTTCGCTAGAGGTGTTGCATCCAAAATATGCAGACTGAGCTTATTTATTTCACCAGCTAAAACCGTGCAATTGCCCATCTGCATCAATGGTTGTACTTTAACATGAATATCAACATCTCCACCGCTGGAAGTATTCCCATGGAAGATTCCCACGAAGACGCGAAAACTATCGTTGGCTGTCGTCATGTCTCTCTGCATATACATCACTTCATTTTCATCCAAATTCTCCTGGTTAAATCGATTGGATTTGCGATCTTTAACATATAACAAGCCATGCTTAGGATTGTCCCTAATCACATATTGGATGCGTTTTCTATTTATATTGGTTTCTACGTGGAACTGCTGATTCCTTAGATGAACAACGTTCATGCCTTGCTGTATGTATACTGGCAATCCTCCGGTGACATTCAAATCAATAGGTAACACCTTTATGTTAAAGACGAAGTACTCTGGTCGGAATCTTCCATCCCAAACGCGTATGTGTATGGTATCAGTAAGCACGGAACTATTATGAATGTAAATCAGTTTATTGTCATCAACGTCCGCTTGGGTGAATTGAGTAATTGCAATCATATCAGGGAGAAGTACTACTTTTCCTTCGTGCGGTCCAGAAACGGTATCGTAAATCAATTCCGCTGGAATAGTATCCAAATCTTCTGTACACAGTTCCACCTTACTGATTGTTCGACTTTCACCCTGCACCACCGTCAAATGTGGTGCTTGCGTGACCAATCTAAACGGCTGATCGTTTATGGGATTTATTATCACGGGCACAGTTATGTTGCATAACATTATATAACCTGGTATTAAATAAAGAGAGAAGTAGATGTTATCCCCTAATGAATCGGAATGATCATGCTGGTAATGAACTTGTCCCGACTCTAATTGTTGTTGTGTAAAAGTCGACAAGTTGGATTGGTTTTGCAAGAAAATCTGGCCATGGTGAGGATGCACGACGGACGCGTGGATTACAGGAGATCTTAACCCGGCGTGGTCTTCTAAGAAGACCACAACTCCAGAGAAATTCAATACTATCTTGGTCATACCGCCTTCATCTACGATTATTTTTGGAATGCTCACGTAAGCATCCAATCCGCCAGAAGAAACAGAAATCTCAATTTTCATTTTCTAAAACCAAAACAAAACGTTAGAAACAAATCAAAATTATTATAGGTATTTAATATTTACCCTATTAAAAAGAGTTTCAGCTAGGTGGCTTTTCACATTGAATACAAACGAATCATTGGCGTAGAGACCGGAAAACGGATGGACGTGTTTGTAAATTACGCGGCTTTCATTAAGATCATTTTGAGTAAATCCATTAACGATATTGAATGTTCCCTTGTCTGATTTCATCATGAGATGTCCGAGACTGGGAGGTGTAACTACATCGTAGTAAATCTCTCGTTCCGGATCCGATACTTTGGAAAGCAGATGTACTGATGTTAAATACTTTGGTTGAGATGGAAAGATGTGCAAAGGTTTATGCGTGAAAGTTAATTTAACCGGTTTCGTTTTGATGTGGAACGTATGATCGTCGGTAAAATGCAAGCCATCACTAACGTTAAAAACGAATTTAGCCTCGGACCCATCTGTAAAGAAATAGTTAAGTAAACAAGATTTATCAAACAATTAATTGGATAACTTACTTTTATGTCTGAAGACTATTTGATGTTTGTCGATCATGTCTTGCGTGAAGTTCCGAAGACCTATGTTTCGGTTTGTCGCTAATGTTATATTTCCCCACCAAGCACTACGCAGATGGTACACTAAGGAATCTTTAGGTTTATCCGCATCAAAGGCTCCTAGCATTTCTTTAGTGATTACAGCGGTTCCACCTTCCCACATGATTAGACCAGTATTGTTGACAAGCTTGGGCTTCTGGTCATTGACTGGTAAAACAGTGATATTTAATAAAACGGGAATGCTGCGCTTTTCGCCTGCTACGCCAACTAGTAAAATGCTATCTTCGAGGTTCTCGGAACCATCGTGTGAGTAAAACACGATTCCTGCAGCGAATTCCTTATGAGAGAAACCATGCAACTTGTTACATTTCCTCTGAATCTGAATGCATCCGTGTTTCGGCTCTTCTAATATAACATAATCGGATACTCTGGTCTTGAAGTATTCTGTGACGATGAACAGGTTCAGGGTGGAAATAACCGCGACTCCACCCTCGTTCACTGTCAACAAATGGCTTCCAAGATAAAGCCTTTCCGGTATTATCTGGATGTGCAAAGTCAAATCGGATAACCAAACCATGCCATTAGTGACGTTGAAAGTAACTTTATCCATAGTTTCGTTCGAAACGGATTGTATGTAGATGATTCGATTTTCATTAGTTAGAGATTGGCTGAAGGAACGCACGTTGGTGGATTGATCATCGCCGTTTTGGTTAGCTGGTAGTATACTGATATAACCATTCTCTGGTAATTCCGTGATGTGATAAATGATTGAGCTTGGTGGTACTTCTGGTTGGAAGATTTCCAAAGTGTTTTTACCGATAATGGCACTTGTCGATTCCTCAACGTAGAGAATCCGCGACGTCTTTACTTTCAGCGGCTCCCAGTAGCTAGCCGGCAACATCCATGTACCAAAATTCGCTACATTTATAGCGTCACGGCATCTGATCTTTAAACCAATCTCATCTGCACTCGAAGTAGTCACATCGTTCTGGTATGAGATTAAACCGTTGTTCACGTCGGTCTGCGTGAATTTATTAACGATTTTCGAAGAATCTGTGTAAATCAGCTTCCCAAAGCTAGGCTTCGTTGTGACTTCATACTGAACATCATCATCGGACGCGTAGAGATTAGTGTCAAAGTTCAAGTGTTCGCTGGTAACTACAGCACATTTTCCGTGCTGAATAGCGAAACGCTTGCTCATTACAGCCCGAATAAATGGAGCAGAAGCTTGAACTTCTAAAATACCAAACACGTAATACGCGCCATCCGTAACGGAGAATTTAATTTTTCCGAATTCCGGTCCTTTATGTTTGAATAACACTGACCTTTCGTTCAAATCCTTCTGACTGAACTCGCTTAAATTAACATTCGGATTTCTAGCGTCGTAAAATTCTCCATTTGGAAGGTCTCTAAATGTATACACTATGTTCATCATTTTAGTATCAATATCGACATCTGAATAACTTAAATCATCCCCGGTGAGAAGTCGCTCGCCAGCAACTACCACATGGAACATTTTATCGATTACTCTCACGAGGCTGTTATCATTCTTCAGGGAAATGACAATATTCAAAATGTTTACATATTCAAAATCCTCCTTCTTATTTGACAACACCATAAATATAAAGCTGTCACGTTCGCTTTCCGAATCATCGTGTTGGTAAAAAACTTGATTATTGATTAATTCATCCTTCGTGAAATAATCGGTGTTATTCCTTATCGAAGTTCCTTTGATGACTTGCATAACTCCGTGAATTGGCGGCGACGTGATATTAAAAAGCAGGTCTGTTGTAGTAAATTCAGTTCTGATATTCAACGTTTGATTGTTAATCGAAGTAACGCCACCTTCTTCGACTGTCAAATGCCCCAAGACTGCTTCAACTTTAGCCATAGTTTCGTTACTAGGAACATGCCGTATATGCAATGTTTCTGTAACATTTCTACAACCTGGAGCTACTATATCTACCGTAATGCTATCAACAATTAACGAGTAACTTTTCCTGTATAGCTTGTACTTGACGTTGCTCATAAGAACGTCTTCCTGAGTGAAAACATCTTGCTTCCGCAAGTGATATTTAGATACCGAATAAAACAAATAGCCGTGCTTCGGTGGATCAACAACATGATAAACTATGGACGTTGTCGGGGACGAGACGGGATCGGTCTGGAATCGTAGGTGATCCACCGTCAAAGCGCCTTCGTCCCTTTCGTTCAAACTTAACAAATTTAGGTTTATCGCAAACAAGCGACATTTCGCAAAGCTCATTCGAAACGTGTAAAGCATGCTCAAGTTTAAGGTCGTTCGAAACTGTCAAGAGTAATTGAAGAGAGAAACAAAAGTTATAGATGAAAGAAGAATGATTTGTTTTTAGCTCCATACCTGAAATTCATCGAAGTCCGGCCGGGATGTGATGTGTCTATATCGAACCCTGCGCTGACGCAAATCATCGCTGGAGAATATGACGGTGTTCTCCCATCGTCCCACGTCCTTTTCAACTTCGATAACCCCGAACTGTGGGCCCTGCTCAATTTGGTACTGAGCAGAATCGATTGCGTTCGCCACGTTCGATACGAAGCTCAAGTTGTACGGCGTGATGATCGAAGATGTTGAATGCATCAGGATCAAGCCGGTATTGTTCTGCAATCTCCAGAATTGCGGGAAGGCGGAGATACGAAGTTTTCCTGCAGCGCTGGTTTCTATACCATCGGACACTTGTAAGGTGATGTAGGATTCGTTGGCGGCATTTGGATGGTGCACGTAAGCCACATCGTGATTGTCAACATCTTGACGCGTGAACGATGATATCGCTACAGAAGGTTTGTGGTTTAGTTCGAAATGGCCAGGACCCGCGTCCAATATGTTTATAACTAAGGTGTTCGCACTCGTATCAGGATCGTACACTTGGAGCAGGTCGCTTCCAATAACTTTCTTTGTGCCCTGTAAAATATAACCATAACATTAGGTAAGCTACCACTGTTTTCTATTTGAATAACGCTATAAAAACTATTCATAAAACAAAGCACAAATAGGTTGTAAATCATTAGTATCGGCTATTAAAAAAATAACGTAATAAAACCAGTAACATTCAAAAATTGATACCATTATTTCTTATAAGAAAAAAATAAGATCAAAGAAATAGACAATTCAAAAGTTGATTTAGTATTGGAGCTTTCTGATTTAAAATAATAGTATATTGATTGTTATAAAAAAAGATAATGTATTCTTCAAAATCTAATTTCTAAATTTATATTAGATAATTCTACTTTTTTCACAGTTTGTATACAAAATATAACAAGATGCACATATCATCAAAGATCTATTACCAAAATGAGTTATTAACTTTTGAAATCATTTTTTTTTTGGAATAATTGAAGTGTTAATAACAAATCAAAAACTGTATATTAAATAAATAGCCAAAGTTGAACTCAAAACATAAATATTTGAATGATAATTGACTTAAATTTATTTAAAAAAGAAAATAATAGAAGACTTACCTTGCATCAAGCTACTTCATGCCACAATGCCAGTTAATCACACATCGCTATTCTTTGCACTGTCATGCACATTAAAAAAAACCAAAAAAACGAAATTATAACAAATGTTCACTATGCATAGCAAATGTAGGTTGCACTTAATAACATGCTGTGACTTACTTGGGCTACTCTAAGAACGTCAGTGGAAGAAATTTTAAGAGTAGGTGGGTCATTAACAGGTGCAACATTAATAGCAAGGGTAAACTTGAATTTCCCTTGGAGATAGTTAGGCAAAATGAATAAATCACCGGCCTCGAAGTACACTTCCAATCCGATATGATCCGCTCTAGATTCGGTGCCATCGTGGACGTAGTGAACTTTGTCTTTAGCGACGTCAGCTAACGTAAACACATTTTCTGTCTTCGGCCAAACATCGACGGATATACTTCCGTGGGTTGGAGCTTCGACAACGCTGAACATTATACCGCTATCCTTAATACCGTATTTGGGATAGTCTAAAATTACATGCAGGTTGTTGGTAGTTATCAAGATGTTTTGTCCTTCCAAGATCTTCAACGGTTCCAAGGCTAACAGTTCCAATTCGGTGGCGAAGCTCGGCTTGGAGAAGACTTTAGTCGCGTTTGAACATAACTTGTTACGACAAAAACATTTGAAGGAATCAATACCCATCTGGTAACAAGTGCTATTGTTTATACAAGGATTACTCAGACAAGCAAACTGCCAAACACATCCCGGTAATAAACCTTCGCTAATATGGACATCAGCCAATCCTTTTACTTTATCACCAATTGATAAGTGTCTTAAGCAACCGTTCAAACTACCGAACTGCTTCAAACCCTTTGCAACGGCTCGCGATTGCTTGCTCTTCTCCAAACCTCCAATGTAAAAAGTATCTGTTAAAAAGAAGTACAGCTTCTGCGGAAACTTCTCAATTTTCGTCTTCTGGTCAACCCTCAACTCAGTCATGTTTGAGTTCATTTTCAACGCTATCTTATGCCAATGTCCATCAGATACATACTCATCATTAACAATTTCTACAACAATATCATCATGCTTCCACGTGGCTTTCACTTTGCCTTCCCAAATCTCCAAAATGAAATGATCCATCTTCCATCCAGTATTATAAACGACTAATCTCGTTGTAAATACAGTTTTTAGCTCTAATTGTAACTTCATGTTATCCGAGATTGGATGTGTAACAGCCATAAAAGAGCTGTCTTCAACAAAACTAATTGCTCGGTCGTTCGGTGCTTCAAATTCGGCAGCGCAATTCCATGTGACTCCGTGAACTGTTGATTGGGATTGACGGTTCCTAGCTTGCTCCAGTACAGACATTCCATTGTAAGAAAACTGGAGAAATTTCAGTTATTAATACTGCTTTGAAGCACAGTTCTATGTATAACTTACTTCAGCCAAACACCCTCTGAAATTATTCATGTGACCAAAAAATAAATCTGTCCTGTTGCCAAGACTACCAATAAATATCCCATAGTGGATATTCAGTTCAAAGAAATCCCCAGACACATGCTTCCTGTAAGCAAACTTTTAGAAAACTCACTCAAATATTAAAGCCAATACACTTACTGGAATTTGTAGATGTCATTGATAATAACAGAAAAATTACCATCTTTTCTAATGATATAAACATTGTGCCATTTAAAGTTATTCAATTTAACACCTTCACAGTATAAATCATTTTCTCCAGCACCCAAGTTTATAATAATTTTTAACATCCCATTGTCAAGTGTAATTATACAGTAGTCGGTTGTACCAGCAACAAGGAATAGCAGGGTGTTTGGTAGATGGGTACGAAATTTGAAATGAATATCAGTGGAGCTTTTGGCTTCTTTCAAGGGCACAGAAATGTAGCTTCCCCCATAAAACGAGGCTGAAACGTATTAAATTATATTTACAAACTAAAAATAACCCATGAACAAAGTGCACAGGGTGCATGCATACCTTGATCCAAACATATATGAAATGGTAAAAATCCAACAAACACTATCCAAAACATAAACCATTGGTAATGCATTTTTGTCATGTTATTTCATTACTGCTTCCATTTGTGTCACAACCGTATTTTATTATTATTTTGCTCGTACATAAACACCGACATCAGCTATCGTAGAGCGCCGCCATACTAAAAACCAGAAAACTTAAGAAAACTTCACTTCAACTGTCAGAGTAATCATATTCTATACACGTTTTTTTGTACACAATTATATAATTGATCAATAAACTACACCTTATTTTTGTATGCTTAGTATGCTCATTACATCTTCTATTACAATATTTCAAATTTATATAGATCCAGGCTTCAAAATCAATGTTACTTTGGTTGCCTTCTCTTCTATAATGTAACAAGATAGACACTTTTTATTTAAAAGCATAATTTATTAATATATTCATATTCTAAGTTTCTAAATCCTAATCCTGCAATTATTTTTATAATTACCATTTACATATGATAACAATAACTTTTCACATATTACTCTAGCTTTTTTAAATCTCTTTCGGCCCTTTTTCTACCCCTTTCGGTTTTAACAGCCCCCACAAATTTTGTTGTTTTTTTTGGGAATTGAACCAACGACCTTCCGTATCAGATTTTCGTGATACTTAATCTAGCTTATTTCTAACGTATTTCAGAGAAAGCTTAACTGGAACTTAATAATTTTTAAGTGCCAGTTAAAATAAGATATTTTAAAATGTATTGTATAATATTTTTACCACAATATCATTATTGTTATGTTTGAAGATGTTTAATTTTGTTCTTTTTGAATGTTGCAATGAAGATAGTTATTTAAATATATAAAGTATTCAATTTACAATTCATGATTATTAACTTACATGGATAAAACGAAATATTTGTACTCTGCCTGTGATTTGGACAAATCAGTTACTTTTCTTATTAATGCAAAAGTTCTCATTACTAAAAAAAAATGCAACATTTTTAATCAATTTAGTTTGTTTTTGAAAAAGACAAAATTCTATTACATAATCGACTATACTTTTTACCAATTTTATAAGTTGTACGAATGATACTTCTTTTCTTAATGAAATAAGAACAAAATTTGTGGAACAAAGTAAATCAAAATATAAATTAACTCTTTCAAATTTTCTTTTCTGTTAGTTATTTTAGTAATACAAAAATAATCAGGTCTATTACAAGTTGTAATGTTTTTGCTATAAACTGGTACTATTTGCTTTATAACTTGCTTTAACTGTGTGGTTATGATCGCCTGTATCACAAAAATCTAATACGAAAGAACGTTGGTTCAACTCCCAAGAAACCAACAAAAAATTGTGGTGGCTGTTAAACCTGAAAGGGGTAGAAATAGGGCCGGAAGAAAAAACTAACTTTTGCTTTAAAATAATAATATATTTAGCGAAAAACGTATAGGATTTCCAGTAAAAAATAAAAATCAATTTTCAAGTTAGTAGAATTGCCTATGTTATATAACATGTAGCATAAAAAAAAATATGACATGTATGAAAGCTATTTCATGAGTTAGTTTGGTTGCATATGTTATACAACCGTTTATAAAATAAATCAATACAGTCACTTATACAACATATACTAGTTAGATTTTTTTATATAACTTATTACATAACGTTGTTAGGCGTATATCATAAAATTTACTTACTTTAGTTTGAAGACACGTTGTAAGAAAAACAACCTATTGGAACTGTAATATGTATTTGAACTATTAGAATCACATAAAACAATGATTATGTTACATAAAAATACGATTTGAAATGAATCCTATTTTGTCTTATCATGTTTTAATTCTTCGATTAATATCATAAAATTATTTAAGTGAATCCATAAATCTTTTTTTTTAAACAGTATATGAAGATTACTTGTATAGTAAAAGTACATACAAACAAATCACTAGAACTTTTAATTTCATCTTCTTTGTTTTAACTCAATAAATTAAGTTACACTTAATTCTAATTAGATATAATCCACAATGTTATTTTTATTGAAATATATATGTTTAAATAATTCTAAATCATTTATATGGAAATTTAGAAGGCACTAGGTATATTTATGAGTCATATGGTGATATAATAGTAATTGATGTACCATTCATAATTTCTATTAAAATAATTGTATACTCGCATAACGCACAGGATACGGCTGTATAACTTTGATACAAACATGTGCAAAGGCAGATGTTAGTTAAAAAAAAAACGTGTACGCTCCAAACGTATGTTAAATGAGTGCTGACTATACATATTAATATTAAGCTGCTTTTTAACTACCTCAAATACTATGTTTGTAATAGTAAATTTTATTCATACAATAATTAGTTTATAAAAAATTATTTATTTATTTTATATATAAAAATTATTTGTTTTTTTTTTTAATTTAGTTTATTAAGAACTAGTTTAAATTAATTAAGTTTTTATTATTATTCTGTAATTGAAAATTATTTACACACATAAATTACACATGACTTAACATATAATTTTTCAAAATTTCAAACATATTTTGGACCATAATAATAATAAGTGTTTTTCCTCAATGATCTTGTCTCCATGGATTATGGTGAACCTTCACTTTCCTGGGACGGTTTGTATAACAACTGCAGTTGTCCCCGTCGATTGCACAATATTGCTTCAAAATTTACCTTTACATAGGGTGACCAGACGAATTGAATACAAAAAAAAAACGGGACAAATCCCGAAAAATCTGGTCACTCCACATTAACATCACAGTAACAATTATTATTTTGTTACAAAAATAAGTGTACAACGTTGAATAATTAAAATTAAAAAGAAAAAACACACACACATTTTTTCATTCTTTTCATAGATGGAGCGACCGAACGAAATCGCCATGGCAACGCTGCAGTTTGATTACATAAGGGTTCTCCCCTTGCACGACATTGCGTAGCACCGAAATAGCAATTGTGTGCAAGAAAAATGAAAAAAAAAAGAAACAATATAATAATCGATTCTTCCCGAAAAAAAAAACATGATAGTAACCTTGGCCTCGGCAATTAGCTCGGACTACGACAACCCCGCGGATTATTGATTTTTTTTCCCCCAACTGCTTCCTCGCTAAACGCGGATTACTGGACTGATAAATGATGATCAGTGAAACAATTAATACACGCGAAGCTCTTAAATTTATTTCAAAAAATATATTTATGTATATATATATATATGTATTCGTTACAATGATTGGTATTACGTCCGATCTATACAAAATATTCCTCATCGTTTATACAGACATAATTGCGTCGGCCAAAGGTTTCCCTTCGCTAAAATGATCAACGAAAAGACAACAATTTTTTTGGAAAGAATAAGTCTTCGAGAAGCCTAAGAAAATTGTATTTTATTGGAGCTCCACAATATATGAAATTCAATATAATATATATTTATCATTTGCTTCGCTACTGTTTACAATTGTAAATCATCACTTTTTCTGCTTCTCTTTTTTTTAGAATTGCTCGAAATATTCGAATAATTAATAGAAACAAACAAACTAAAGAAGGGTTAATACTGGTGTGTCTAGTTACGACGCAATGCTCTAAAATAACGGTATAATATTTAATGATAAAACGTAAACGTAAAGGGGACGAAATCATGTTCTGCAAGTACGTAGAGTGGAAAGTCGCTTGTTGCCATGTAAAAGAGTGTGAGAGAGAGAGAGACAGAGAAAGGGCTGTTTGCATTTGCGCGTTTCGAGGGGATGCAATATCGATTCCGTCGAGCTCCGAGGGGGTTGAGATAGAGTAGAGTGGAAAAGAGGAGGCCTATCATGTGTATTTTAAATATTTCTTTAATCAATGCTATTTCCTACAGGGACCGTACCTTCGAAAAGTACACGACTTTGTATTATTTTCAATCCTTTTTATTATTATTATTATTATTTAGAAGGGATATGATATTGCCATTTATACACGTTTCTCTATTGCATAAGTACGTTAAAAATAATAATAATTAAAACACAACTGAATACAATCTGCCTCTATTTCTCGATTGCCCTTTTGACTCGAATGCACGTGAAGCGCTCGTAGCAAATCTCTTTTTTTTGCTCTTCGAAAGGTCAGAAGAGTCGAGTTAAAAAAAAAAGGGTTTCGCGTTTGTTTAAAGTAGAAATAGGGTTTTTGCTCTGGATGCGAGTTCCGATCACCTAGTAACAAAATTGGTAATGTTTTAATGAAGCACTGATTTTGATTTGTTCATGTTTATTTTACAAAAAAGAGAGATGAAAAAAAAAAATTGTTGTTACGTAAGGCCTGATTGAAGCGGCACGTTTTCTTTTGTTGTTGTATCTAAAGGCACGGCGATGTGGGCGTGCCCGTTCACGCGAATGGGCGTGGTTTCTTGTTTCTGTATTGGCTCCGCCCACTTCGTGGTACCGTTTATAGGTATAAAAAGAGTACTAAGGCGGTGCGAGGTATTTAATTGGACGTAACTGCTCGCAAGTCGGGCAGAACTTAGGTAATAATCACACGCATCCAGGACACAACCTGAGAAGAAAGAAATTGGGAGAGATAGAGAGAGAGAGAAAAAAATATAAATATATTTATAATAATAATAAACTATAGCTTCTTTCGATATTATTTCTTATTTTTGTTTTGCAAGTTCACGTATTCTTTTAATTTTTTTTTTGTAGCCTTTTCCGTGTTCTCTCAGTACTTGGAAAAAGGATAATAAATTAAAGGGGTGCAACGTAGTGCAAAAAAAAAGAAAAATAACATTATAGTACACACAATAATAGCGGGTGCTGTAACAAATCTAATCAAAAGGTGGGAATTGCACAATTTTACAAGAAGATACACAGCATCCCGCGCGCATAGAACAAAATCATATCACTTTCTTGTACGAATTTTTTTTTTTATTTTCATTTCTTCTTCTTCTCCATCAACCCGACTTTCAGCCGGCCGAGTATTTCTAATATCTGCACACTTCCATTTCAACTCCGGCTGATCACATGAACAACATTTGAAAAAAATCGACAAAAAAAAAAAAAATAAAAACTTACGTCAATTGAAAATAAAAATCATTGGAAATTATGTAATAATAGTAATAACAGCCGCCTCCACTAAACTAAAATACGATATAAAATGACTAGAAAAAATCAACTATTACAGAAAGACAAAAAAAGTGCTCTTGCTAGACTTAAACAATGTCCATATTAACTTGTTTGCGTTATCAAGTATTTGTTAGTATCATTAGTTTTTTTTTTCACTACATGGTATTAAGGCATTTTTTGTGACTTTCCCCAAAGTTGCCACCAGGTTAATCTTGTCTATAAATAATTACATAAGAGATACTGGAATCCTTTAGTTTTTAACATAAATGGTTTTTATTAATTATTATTTATTTATTTATTTTGGTAGATTTTGTTTTTCCTTCGCATGTTTGTATACATAGAAGCTCGATATCAAATAAAGCTTTTCTGACGAAATTTTTGCCCGGAAAGAAAACAAAGAGAAATAAGAAAACGGAAAAAAGGTGTGTGTGTCTCTTGTGTATCTATACGTGTATGTGGTTGTGTCTTGTGGTTAAATTTAACTCCCTTATTAATTTTATTTATTTATTATTAGCATTCATTTTTTTTCTTTTTATATATTTAAATTTATGATTTCAGATCTGTTCAGTTTCAGTAGCAAAAAAGTGATTCCTGATATAATGTTGTATTATTTATTCAATTTATTTTCTTTATGCACGATTGCTTTTTCATATAAATTTATTTTCTTCTCCATGGCCTTCTCTTGTTTTGCTTTCTTCTTTTGTTTTAAATATATATATATATATTTACAAAGTTTCATTAATATTAATTAATTCTTGTATTCATTAATTCTCGACTTATCGAGTGTTTTTTTTCTTTACAGACAAGTTTCATCGTATTTTGTTTCATATATAAAAGGAAACGAACAAATTGGAAATCACAAGAAAAAATAAATAAAATAATAACAATTTTGGTCATTTCGCGAGCTACAAATGGTAACAAGAAGGGCCTTAACGGAAAAGATTGTTGTTTTTTTTTATAACAGTCAAATGTATGTGTGTATATATATATAATTGTTTACTTGATTCTGCTTTGTTTATGATCATTCTCGAACGAACGAAACGTATAAATGAAGTTCTTTTTAACTTTAGGTTAAACAATTATCCTACGTGTTGTGTTCGCTTTCTCACCACCGTTCATCCCGCCTCAACATCTATGTTACAAAGAAACAATTTGTAAAAATATTAATTTCTTATTCATCATTCTCACCATCATCCGACACATTCATCAATCATCGTCATTATTTATTATTATTAACTTGTTTTTCATTTTCTTTATTTTTAATTCATTTTTGGTACGTAAAATAGGTGCTCCTTCGGCACATCCGCCAATTCATCATCATCTCCGACTCCCGACTCCGTATTTGCAAAAAGGAAAACGTTTGTACACAAAAACCTTAAACCTTAAAAACTCCACCTTCCTCGATACTCGCAATTTGTACATAATTCAATTCTAGAACTAGTAAACAGATATATAATTTGTGCTAAAATATATACTTTACAAGTTATTTTTTTTTTGTTCTCGCTTATTATTCATTCATTATTATTAATTATTTATTTAGTTTGTTTATTTTTTTTTTGTCTCTTTCATCGTTTTTACCAAAATAGAATCATTTTGATAGCGCTTTCACTTTTGTGTACAAAGTTTTATTTTTAATTAATTAATTTCTTTTTTTTTTTATTACTTTTTACATATTTCTTCATTTTTTTTTTGTATTGTGACCCGAGGACTAAATCCGGGAAATAAAAGATACTTATTTTTCTGTTTTATCGTAGATATCTAAATATATAAATATGTATAAATAAATAAATTAGTAGAAACAAACTGGTAAGGACAAAAAAAACAACGACACTGGAAAACAACTGAACCTAAGGTCTAGAATTAAAAAAAAAATAAATTAATAAGTACTAACGAATTCTCGTGACTAGGGTATTTTACTTAAATTTTTCTTGGGGGGGGGGCGGAGGTCATTTTTTCTTCCTCTTCTTTTTTTTTCAGCTGACGCATTTCGAAAACTTTAAACGGAATTTTTTAAAATTTTTATCACATATTTTGTTTCGCTAAACGTCGTCCCCGCGCTCCGTCACATCAGCCAAAAACAATAAATATGGCAATAAATTAGGTAATAAATAAATAAAAGTTATGTACACGTCATAAAAAAATATACAATCCGATGACCTAAATTCTTCTCTCGAGATTATTATAACTTTTAATTTTTGACTTTTTCGTACTTCATTATATTTTTTTGCTTTTTGTTTATTTATATGTGAATGTGTGCTCTTTTTTCTTGCAAATACTTTTATTTTGTTTATTATTATTTTTAATATTATTAATATTTTTTTATGGAATGTACATATTATCTGGGTCATTTTTTGAAAATGTTATCCCAGAATCCTAACGTAATGACTAGAAAATTAATCGATATAAACACTTTTTGAAATTGTACTCTCGGAGAAATAATCCTGCTTCTTGACTCAGAGTTATTAAAAAATTTCATTCTTGGTTGTATGTTAGTTTTTTAAAGAAATAAAGTAGAACTAAATGGAAACTATATCACTTGGGACGCAAAGACTTCGGGCACGATACGAACTTTGGTAATTGCAAGACGTAAGTAGTCGCGTCGCGGTCGATAATATTCACGTGTCAATATGACATCAATTGAGTAAAGAAGCAATGGACGTATCGTGCTTGGAATCGATCTGTTATTTCTGCTCTTTTTCCATCATCTTATCAAATTATGTATTTTATTTTTTTTTTGGCGTCTTGTCTTGTTAGTTCTCGAAAATGATACCCCGATCCGGATCGGTTTTGGGTCAAATACAAGTTGTCAAAAGTCGGTGGACGCTACACATTATAATCTACTATATATCATTATGAAACCTAGGAACGCCATCACTCGTCGGGGGGTTTGGGGGGTTTTGTTTTTAGTAAAACGTATTTGAAACCAAATTGTAAAAAAAAGATCGTTCACAGCATCAACAAATGGCGATCACGTAATGCATGTCACAACACGTCATCTTGATCGTCCACATCATTGTCTAAATCAACATCATGATCGGGATCATCATGCTCCATTCCCGGCGACATCTGCTGATGCATCATGTTCGCCACCGACTTCGGATCCTCGTCCTTCCATTTGTCCATGGATCTCCTCCGCGCGTTCATGAAGAAGTTCCCCACCGTCGTCGGCTCCAATCCCAGCTGTCTCGCGATCGTCACCTGCATCTCCTTCGAAGGCCTCTTCGTTTCCTGCACCAGACAAAACCAAAGCCACCACGCGCGTAAGTAAATGCCTACCAGTAAGCAAGAATCATGTTTCGCCTAACCGTCATTACCTTAAAAATAGCCTGAAGGGTACGACGCTGGAGGTCGGTAAAAACCAACCTCGGCTTCTTGGGTGTAGGTAACTGTTCTTGCTGGCTCACGGTATCTTCTTTCCTCTTGCAGCCTAGAACAGAATCTGATTTGTATCAGACCGGATAGAGCGATTAGATTGTTGTGGAGGTAGATACACATAATATATATGTTTTTCTTTCATATTTTTCTTTCTCTTTTCTTCCGAAGAATCTTGGCTCGGATCTTTCGGGAATACTACTTACTGCCTCGTTGTGGTATCTGTGCAGCTGCATTGCGATCGCCGTTGGTTGCATTCGACGAGGAAGAGGTAGAGAGAAAAGAACAAGCATAACATTAGTTTCACCTGTGATATGTGCGGTATCGTATGCGTATGCGATACGAGAGGGTCCAACAACCTTGACATGTGTTAATGTTAATCGATTCATGTCAGTTGCTTTGAAACGAACTCCGGGAAAATCAATAAAATGTAGACCGACTAACCGGTGCACAACAGGAATTAGACCAATTGTTAAACTTCCACTAATTAAAACACATAGTAGTACATCGATAGACAATGAAAAGAAAACAAAATAGATGAGAGGAAAGAAAATAATAATAACATAACAATAGCAACAACAACAATGACGGAGTGAGGAATTAAACAAAAATCGAGGCATATTTACTTAGAAAAGAAACGCGCACAGTAATGTGGTTTTGATGGCGGATGCGCCGGGTAGGAAGCAGTCGCTCTCTTTGATTTTCGTTTTCGTTTCTTCATCGCGGCATCAAAGAAAGAGATTTGCCAGCAACATAAAGCATTTTTCATGCGCTCATGGATTTAAACGTATTTGTTCATACTTTATTTCTGGTTTACTAAAGCATCTATGACTTGGAGGAAATAATAAAGAAAACAGAATTTATTATTTGTATTTGATAGAAAGAAATAGAAAGATAGATATATAGATAGAGACAGATAATATAGAGAAGAAGTTTTTTTTTTTCTTATTTCTTTTTAAATATTTTTTCTTTTTTTATTCTTTTTTTTTTTTGGATAATTTTAAGGGATTACATGCCCGAAACATCGAGACAGACAGACAGAAAAAACTCACAAGCATGAAGATGAGGGTGGTTTTCTTCGCTTGGCGTTGACTGCCCTCACGTTTACATTGCGCGTCTGGCAGTCTGCAATGAAAACAAGAGAGTAGTCAACAATGGCAAGAAACATCCCAAAATGAGGATCCCATTACAATATATACACACACGTAGATATGTATTATATATAATTTCGCCCGCCATTGAGTGACTGACTAAACTTTGCAAAGCTCGACCTGCAAAAATTGGTTCGCATTAACTGATAGGATCTGTCTGTCTCCGTGTGGTTTTGGTTTTTGGTTATGGTTTTCTGTTTCAGTGTGTTTGTTGTGAAATTCACACGTAGCTCGTCCGCGAGTGTCTGGGGTAGAGGGGTTGGCGGGGTTCCGGCTTGCGTGGGAGGAAAATTATCTAGTAAAAAATCAATACTTTACATAACTAGCGAATAAACGCGCCATCGATATTGGTAATATTATTTTCCATGTGGAGATTGTGTATGTCTATAGACGTCTACATATATATGTATATATATATATATGTATACGTATACATATATTTATATATATATATATAGATTTTTTTCATGATAACGTAAAAGCGACGTAAATCGATAATTCCGGTCGTTCAGTGTCAATGCGGGGGAGTCCAAATAAAAGGAAGCCCTATATGAATTTGGGAAACAAACAAATTTTCGAATTCCTCGTGTACGTGAAATGCACATATACACGTGCGCATCCATATATGAATATGTATATATATACACACATACACACACAAGCATGCACACACACACATACGGATCCCTTGGAGGGTTTCTAGTGTCTATGACGCTGAAGGGGAATGAAAAGCATCATGGGAAACTAACAGTATGACGCTTTAGTAAAGGGTCTTTTCCTAAAAGCGAAATATATTCTATAATGAGTCACCCAATCCATCCCTCTCGTTTGCTCTATTCTCTTGCACTCCCCGTCTCTCTGTCTCGCATACAAACACACGCACACATGTACACGCTCTTTCGCTACCCTTATTGTATGTATGTATATGTATACATACATATATATATATATAAGTATATATTTAATTCAGAACAAAAGTTGCGAGCTTAGAATCTGAATATTCGCAAACTGGTTTCCATTTTAATTTAAATTCACCTCCTCTCCGCCTCCTTATTGCTATCATTATTATGCTGATTACGGATATCCGAGTTCTATGGTAACTCGAGGCCGGAGGAATTGCTCAAAGGGAGAGCCTGTATGTGACACGGAGTATATGGAATAAACACACATAGAGAGAGAGAGAGTTTGTTGTCACTAGTTTTTGGGGTGTGCGAACAATGAAAATATAAAAAAAGAATATAATAAATATAAATAAAAAGAAACGAAACGAAACGAGAAACCAAACATAACAAAACAAAACGAACATAAATATAAACGAAAATTTAAAATGAAAAACAAACCAGGAATATATTAAGAGAACACATGCGGGCAAAAGTTTACCGACCTGCGAGTCGAAGAGCGGACATCCTCTGAAATTCGGGTTCCTGAAGCCACTTCCACATTCTCCTGAAGGTCTCGCGGCCCGATTTGAGCTTGGACCAAGGCTTTGGATTCCTGAGGAGGTCCGAGAGCGTCCCCTGTGACCGGCACAGCACCCGCTGGGCAAATATCGCTTGAGGTATGCTATACCGTTTCAGTTCGGCACTAATCTTTTGCGCCAAGTCTTTGGTGTTGATTTCTTCCACGTCCGAGGTTATCGCCGTCACGCTAAGGGTATTCGGAACACCTTTTGATGGCAACTGCTGCAGCTGAGTTTGCTGCTGCTGTTGTTGTTGCTGCTGCTGCTGTTGTTGTTGCTGCTGCTGTTGCTGTTGTTGCTGCTGCTGTTGTTGCTGCTGCTGCTGAGCTTGTTGTTGTAAGGTGATAACCGGCGGAGAAGGCGAGCAGTCTCGTTGAGGTGCTGCACAAGGACTTATTTGTACAAGGGCCGAAGGATGATGTTGTAACGCGATGCCATTTAGGGTAGCACCACTGAAGCTCGTGACCAGCGAGCCACCAGGTGAGTTTAACGATCCCGACGGAGGACTTAATTGCGGGCTGGACATGGACCGACCCATGTGTTCCCTCTGGGTGGCATACGGCGAGTCGTACGCCGGCGGTGACATGCTCTTCTGCGGCGAGGGTAGTCCATTCTGGCTATACGAACTCTGTGGGCTGATGGGACTGGGCTGTTGCTGCATACCCATGTTCGGGGAGGAATAGTTGTGCGGGGGAGTCATGCCCATGTTGGGCATCGTGTACGACGCGTTCACATTTACCCCCAGCCCCAGGTTGATGCCGAGGCCGTTATTCTGCATCACCGTGAAGGAACCGGTCACGTTGCTAGCGTGCCCGTAGGCAAACTTGTCGGACATCGTGGAGATTGGCGGCAGAGGTTGCAGTGGCGTCAGCGTCGCATACGAGGAGTTCGGGCTGTAACCTGGTGGAGACATTCTTCCGTTGACGGAGGTGAGTGTCTGGTAAGTGGGCTCCGGCTGGAGTGTCCGGTAGTCCCCGCTGTCAATCATATTAGCAACGCTCACCGAAGTCGGCGACAGCTTGCCAGGACTGAGGAGCTCCGAGTCGCGGGAGTCCTCATGGGGCTGCACGATGACCGAAAGCGAGCCATCGGCTTCTTCTTGTTTTACGAGTCGCCTCTCGACGACAGCACGGGACAACCTCATGCGGATGGTCTCCATGCCACCGGAAACTACCACATGCGCACCGCCATCAGGAGAATCGACCGCCTGTTCCCCAAGTGCTTGTTGTTCTATCATTTTTCCGATATTATCCATCATCTTGTTAATCGAATCACTACTACACAACGCTCCACTCACATGCCGACATTGCAGCTCTCATGATGTAGCCCTCGAAGAAGGTCGCACCGACGTTCGCCGTCATTTCACTATGTGACCATAACACTGGCGAACGGACACCATGGAGCGCACTTTGGTTTTTGCACGAAAACGCCGCCGCCGACGCCGACGACGCCGCCACTGCCGCCGCCACCGGGCAGAGCGTCCCAACGCCAATCAAGCAGACACAGTCGCAAAATGAATCCAGCCTCTCTGCCATCCTCGCACTATCACCATCATCTTCACGGTATCCACACGAGAACTCATATTCCTTCCTTCAATCTATTTGCTCATCATCCCCTGAATTTCGATTTCTCCTCGAGAAAATACCTCGCAGCCGGTCGATACTGAATTGAATAAGGGGAGCGCGCGACGCCAGGTGGTTCTGCGCGTACGACCCCTCGTGCTGCGCTGCGTTCCAATCCCTACATATACAGCCCTTATCTAACAGCTGCTGTGTGCTCTATGTACTTCTTCTTCCTACCAAAACTTGCACCGCGGACGACCAACCCCGTTCAAATACCCCCGATGCCAGTTGATGTCGGTGGTATACCGGATACTCGCGCACGTTCTACCAATTCCACGCTGACGGTGGTGGACTCACTTCGAAGCACAGGACAGATTCGTCCTCTCTCTGTGTGTGTGTATATATATATATATGTTCGTATGTTACACCTTCCTAATGTTCTTTGCAGCTTTTGTTTACATTCACGGTACGTGGGTGCTGTAAACCCGACCACCCGAAGCTTTCCAATCGCTAGGTATGAGTACCTTATCTCCCTTCGTCGCGGCACGTGTGTCCCCTTTGGAAATTCAAATTCGCCCCTACCGGCGTTCTGACATCCTATGACATCAAACCAATTCGATCCTTTCCACCACGCGACTGTTTTCACGAATATCGACTATTTTCACAAGCTCTCGCACACCGCACTCCCACACCACTACCAAATTCACCCAATGAAAGCTTTCCCCGCGGATCCGCGCGCAACATTTCCATTCGGAGGAATAAACAGCAATACAACTCATATATATGTATTCATTCTCTAGAAGCAGTACTTTTCGCCCGCATTCTCATATTTACTTGTTTTAACATAAACAATAACATCCGAAAATTGATAATTTTAAACAACGTCAGTGTTCTAATAATCTCAACAAAAATATAAAATCAGCATTTTTGTTCAAAGCATAAACAAAGATATTCTTACAATTCAATCTTCAGATAATTAGCAGAATAATCAGTTTTTCATAGATTACGAACCACATAGAGATTTTTTTCACGTTTTATATTAAAAGGTAAAACATATATTCTTTATGAAATTTCTAAAAAGTAATTCTTTTGTAAATTCACTTTGAAAAAAATGTTTTGTTACATTTTGTGCCAATTATTTTATCTATTTATTTTTAACAAAATGTTATAGGAAATTTAAATATTCTTTTTATTATCTGTTATTTTTAATATCAAATTTATTCTTTAAAAATAAATTATATTAAAATAATTCTACTAGGCGAAAAGGTCTATGGTCAATAGCCTTTTGTAACAGATTTTTTTTTAAAATAAATATTCTTATTATTAATAATTTACTTGTAACAATAATGTAAATGCAACCGAAATTGCATTCAATAAAAATATTAACTTATTATTAAAATATTTTTGTATGGAATTGTACGTTACGGTGATCTAACTATGTAATTGATAGTTTTTAATAGTGTTTATATAATATAATTTACATTTGTCACGTTTTCAAGAGGGCAGCTGTACAGCTGATGTTGCGTAATGAAAGTGGAGTGAACTGCGTGTTGTGCTGAAACCTAGCAACGGTAACCGAAATGAAAATGATTAAAATATACATATATATTTATATACATGTCTAGGTACATACTTTTTCTAATTTAATCATATCTATAATATGTTCAGAAATACGCTTGCATCAAAGATGCAGATATATAGTATTGTTATTCTTTAGAATATCATGAAATACGATATGATTTGCAGTTGACCTTTGTCGTCTCGGGTTACAAAGGAAGTTTGGAGGCAACATAAAAATGTAAAGGAAACGGAAATATGAAGCTCTTTAAAAACGTGCATTTCAATTGTTTCGTAGATTATATAGTAGACGAATTTTTTTTTTATCAAACGTGATTTTTTAATGTTACAAAAGATCAGTAAGTAGACTAAATCTTTGTAAATATACATGATAAGATAATTTTAGAAATAAATGTTTTATTACCTTCGGACCATAAGACTCTATCCAATTTTAAGTCGTTTTTTATGTAAAAAAGGTGCGTCTTATGGTGCGAAAATAGGTAAATACAAAGTTAAGATTTTTTGTTTCATGTGGATGAAAAAGCAAAACATGACATAAAGAACATACAAGTTACATAATATTGTTATTAATAAATTAGCAATGATTAATATTATTTGCCAACAGATTCTTAGATCAACAACATAATTATCATTTTTGAAATTTGAAAATCGTGGAGTACGCTAAGCGCATGTAATTAAATTGTGCCAACTGGTTCAAATTCAAACATTGTACGTTCGTATGGTTATATGTACGTTAATTCGGATTAATAATAAGGTATGTAATTAAATACGTACTATGACCTTTATTATACAAATCTCAAAGAAATTTATATATAAATACGTATTTTTTTTATTATACGTATTTATTTTATATATCCACTTAAATCATTTCCAAAGATTTTTTTTAGTTGTCTTTCGTATTTTTCAATTCCCGTTGGGTTTATAGGAACAATCGTGTTTGTAGTTGTCGTAGCCTTTTTGAATAAATCAATAACCGCACAGCTTCATCTAGGTCGTCTTTTATTCTTAAAACTTATTTTATATTATATTTCCCTCATATTTCTTTATACCAATTCCAAAAGATAATAATTATTATTCATATTGTAAATATATTTTGTTTATATATTAATTAGTTTATTTGCAAATGCATTTTTGTCTAATTTTATATTTCTTCTTATTTTTCGCAGAATCTCAACTTGTTTTTTCAAACTATTCATTAATACAACCAATAAAAGAATTCTTATATTATCAAAAGTTTTTCATCAACAAATGAAAAGAAACATTAACTACTCATCATTATTTCATGACATTTCACAAACTTTTGTTACTGGATTATTTTACAAATTAAAGATGTAAATATGTAATATTTAATTGGATGAAAATTTAAAAATTTTTGAGTCCCAAAAACATAGTAGGTTTAAGACGCTTCTTAAATCGATTTTCGATTAACGCACAATTCTGGTATCTAACATTGTCTTCGAATCTCAAAGAAGTTTACACATCAATTCAACAAAATATGCATTAATCAGTCCAATAAGAAGAAATCTCATCAGGACCATGGCTTCACATTTCTTAAGTATAATTTTAACAATTAATCATATCTTATTCCTTAGTTTTCAGAAAAAATATAAAATTATGAATTTTTTGCCGGTCCAATTTAGGCAACTTTGTGTTCAAAACCATATGATTAAAGATGACTAAAGACATTCAGTATTATACTATTTCTTACTAATAATTCAATTTATAAAATTATTTATTCTATAAAATATAAATACACTTGTCTTAAGTTAAATTGAACTGTGGATTTATTCCCCGGATTGCAACATGTCACAATTAATAAAAATTGGCTTTAAAATTTCCTGGAAAACACTCATACCTACAATTTTATTTATTTTTTTACATGGAATTGAAATAATTTATTTCTAAACCTAACATATTCTTAGTTAAATTATGTACTATTATAATATGTAAGAAGCTTTACTGAAACATTTATAATTTATTGTTTTCCCACACTACTCTTACACATGTCATATAATTCAATAATGCAATAATTACTGCATGAACATTTCTATATATGTAATTAAATAATATATGTTATTTACAAAGAAAATAGGCTACATTACGACCTTGGATCAATAATAATTAGCATGTAAATTCTACTATCATTTAAGTTTTTCTTAATATATTGAATCTGCTAAATATTATTATTATTATAATGTAATGAGAGATAAAGATATTTCATAAAAAGTTAATATTTTGTATTTGTTCTTCATGTATTTTTTAACTTTAGAATAACTTCGATTATTTTTTAATTTTTACAAGTAAATATGTGTAATTTCAAATTATTTCAAATATATATTCAGGTAATTATCGGACAACATAAAAAGCAGTAAAAATTTATATATTAATTTTTTTTTTATTAAAATTTTTAATTAATTTTATTAAAAATTTGTTGTTTTATTTATTTTACTTTACTTCTACTATGTTTATATAATTACATGTATTTTCTCCCAAGACAAGTGAAAATTGCTATAAAAAATATTGATTTTTATATAATAGAAATAAAAGATATGAGAGTTTGACTGATTTATTTATTTTGCGTATTGTATATTATGTACATTTCTTTTCTTAGTGAAGAAATTGATAATTGCAAGAAAATTTTTGAGGGCAACGTCCCTTAGTTACATAATAATAGTGTACAATGCAGGTGTTAATCAATTTTTTTAAAGTTAGATCCAAAGGTTTGAAGCGTTCCAGTCGTTGGGTTGCTAAGCTGTTGTCAAGTTGATTTATAGCTAAACATGTGTGTGGCATTCAAGCCTATCAAAAAATAAGCAGATATATATCTCCTACTCGATAGCTTTGTATACTATTCTCTATAAGAAGGTAGTTGGATCATAATTTTTTATTATGTGTTTAGACCAACGTTTCTCAACCTGTGGGACTTCTTTTTTTTACACCTCCACACACTTTTATCAGTTTAGCCAGTTTTCTCCTACCTAGGTAGGATCCAAAATGGGTTACGAATTGACAAAAATAGGATTCTTCAAAACACATTTCAGTACAACCAAAAATAGGGACAAATCCTGAAAAATCTGGTCATCCAAAACTATCACCTTGTTTTAAAACGAGGAACTGGTGAAATATTTTTAGTAATTGACTATAAACATTTTGTGTCACGCAAAAAGGTTGAGAAACGCTGCATTAATCCAGCAAGTTGAACTTTCTTGTTGGAACTGAGGCTAGTCTCTTTACGGATAATAGCAATTTTTCATTGTTTCAGTAATCATTATCAATGAAAAACACCTTCTCCACAGCAAAATAAGTACATAGTTCACAATTTCGTGCGGAATATGCTTTTTATATTATTACAATGGAGTATAAAATAATGCAAAAATAGTGTGGGTTTTAAAAGGAAGTTCATGAAAAAGCAGTACACAATTCCCCAAAGGAGTATAGTTTGACAGGGGCGGATTTAGGATTCATGATCAAAACAAACTATAAATACAACTAATACTGATATGTAACTGGCAAACAACAGAACCCAGCTAAATGTGGAGGAGTTTCCAGAAGGCAGATCGTTATTAGAAGAAGAAGAAGAAGAAATACAACTAACCCTAACTTGTACTATGGAGGTACAATTATTACCAGAAGAAGAAAAACTCAAATTTGAATAGGCTTACAGTGTTAGTCGAGGGACCCCAAACAATATTAGCCGAGGGCCCCAAAAATTAACGAAACGCCCGTCTTAATATAATGAATTTTCTATCAATTTTCATAAAAAGTTTCAGGTAAAAACATAACATATTTAATTTATATATTTGTATCATGAAGAAGACTCATAGTTTTTTTAATTTTACAGCACAGATGTTACCTCTCCATTCATTAAAGAACATAATTAATAAAACAGCGAGAATAAAAAAAAATTGTTAATTAGACTCTGATAAACACAATTTTGTTAATATTCAATAGAATGAAATTTTAAAAAAATACCATTTTTTTTTAGGAAAATTTAAAATATTTCATGTATTCATTTAGTAGAAGTCTACAAATAATGGTTGCTGATAATTAAAATTTATTGTTCGTAACAAAAAATAAAAAGTTATTGGGATAGGAACACAGAGGTTACAAAATTATTATATACAACGAATTTCATTTATAATGAAAGACATTTGAATAAAGGACAACACAAAATTATACTTTCAATATTTGTTTTTATCTTGCATTGATAGTTTATTGTACATCACACGAATAGCGTTCTAATTAATTAACAACAAAAAAAAAAGTAGTATTTCGTAATATAATAAATCTTTGTTCTACGCGTGCGATTACATAACGGTATTCAGGTGTAAAATGGAAGTCGCAGTCCACAGGGTATTGGTTCCCTTATGGTAGACTACTTTATTGGCAGCCAAATTTAGTCATATACAATGGTTATTTGACGTTGGAAAATGTCACAGCCATAAAATTATTAATCATGATATACTGTATATATATAAATAATTGAAAATGTATGAAAAAAAAAACAGATGTAAACCCTGATTTAAAAGTCACAATAAAGATCTAAATTCCCCCTCAGCGCAATTCTTTATTAAAATATATGTATATGTTCATAAATTACAAATAATACTGTTGGTTAAGCTTTACAAAAACGTCTCAGTAATCGAGCTTAAATTAATATTGGAAGAATGAACCACAAAGAAACACAGGTGTAACAAGCGAAACATAATGAATAAAAAAACAATAACAGAGACACGTATCTACGCACAAGATCATACAGTAACCCATGTCTCGAGGTTTCGGTTGCGACTGTTTAAATAAAAGCATATAATAAATTGATAGAGACATTCACATTACATAGTTGAGCATGGAAATATTTACAGTTAAAAAGTAATTGATAATAAATAGAATAAATAAAAAAGTAGTAAATACAAAAATTATACTCATACGAGCCACAAAAATAAACTTAATAGGCTCACACAAAAACGTTTAAACAGAATATGATGCGTGTATGAGAGATACGTCATTAACTATTTATGTCCTGCATCCCTAGGTTAACTTCATCTCCGCTCATGTTATAAAATTGAAGGCAATGCGCATAGGAATTGAACTCATATAGTAAACATATAAAATAAAATCAATTTGCAGAATGGAACATTTTCGTTTTGCATTAGAGCATATTGTACCACTTTCACTTTCCAATATTTTCTTTTAAATGCATAAAAATAATATAGATTCTCTGTATTTTCCTTCATTTCCTTTTCTTTTTTTAAACTATGTATATAGTACATATATATTTATATATATAATATATATCCAGTATCATTAAATTAATAACAGTCTTTTTTTTAACGAAACAGCCAGACTAATTACTGTTTATATAAATAAAAATTAAAATCACGTCATTTTATAATCAATAACATTTAAATATTCAAACTTGCTAGTGTAATTATTTTTTTTTTCGTTTTCATTTAAATATATAGATTTTCTTTTGTTATATATATAATATACATTCTTTTATGTCCAATTACATATCTACATATTTATATATAAATGCAAAGATAATTTTGCGAATAGTACTTTCCAAATAAGTAATTTAATAACATTTCGTAATGTTCATTGTGGATAATCGAAGATAGCAAGTTTGAATGTTAAACTAGAGTCTGTTAGATGTCCACTGTTCGCAGACTAAGTGAACTTACTTCATGTTCACAATCGTGACTTGATCATGTATGACGACTGCGTTGTTATGAAGTTGGCTGGTCGAGGTGGTCGCAGATTCTGATGATTCGCTGACATCTGCATGTAAGATGTATCCATTAACATCGTTTAATCGAATGTGTTTACTTTCGTTGGTTAGTCTTTCACTAGGCGACCGCTTCACCGAAACTTTGACCGTTGAACTTTGACTTTTGTTGGAGGTGTTCTTCTGCGCGCCGGATTTTGATGGTTGGTTTGGGAGCTGGCTGGTGGGTGAATCAGGGAGATTTTGTCGAGCGATTCCTAAGATCTCGTTGCGCTGATGGTAAAGATGCTTATGATGCAACATGAACGTAGTACCCACTTTCCTGGCTGTCCTTGTGATCATGCTTAAAGGTTTCGGATGAGACGTGTAAACGGGCGTCCTATCTCCGAACGACGGTATTTTCTTGACAAAAGCAGCGGAACGTCGTTTATCTTGATTGTTAAAGAATTCTTCGTCAAAGACTTCTTGTCCGTATGCGTAGCACTTTCGTTGCTGTGGTTTTGCTGCGGCGTCTCCACCTTCTTTTGCGAGCCTCAAAACAGGCAATTTTGGTGGTACCTGAAAGTGATGAAAATACAATTTTATGACTAATTATAACTCTTCTTGCACGGAGTCAAACATAGATACACTTGATATGGGGAGTATGGTCCTTACATTTCGAACTCCTGGTGTCGTTGGACTCATGGGCATGTGAAGCACAGTCGGAGGAACCGCATTTCTCTGAGGTTTCGTGGCAGTCAATGGTGAGATAGCTGCTGTCGAAGGCTTCAATATATCTACTTTAATATTTGAAGCACTTTGGTGCGGCGATGGCGCAAGTTTCTTAAAAACACACACAGAACATTAATAAAAAACAACATACTTTGGGTAAATAAAAAAGGCCCAACAATTGCTTAAATATTTTCCCAAACTAGAAAACAAAACTAAAATTTGCAATGAACCAAACAAAACAGAAATCATAACTAAAGTAACAAAACATTGACATCAATATTAATATTTGTATTGTTAATAATAATAATAATAGTAATAATAAATAAAATAATAAGAACAAAAAATAAATAAAATAAAAAAATAAAAATTGATGACGATCTTTAAAGGAGAATTTCGATACCTCAACTGTCGCAGTTGAAGTGCTCGGGATGTTCAAGTTGGGGGGTGGTGATGGTGATGGTATTGGTGGTGGTGTTGGTGGTGGTGGTGGTGTTGGTGGTTTGGCCTCCTCCGATGCACATGATTGTCCACATGGGCAAGAGTAGACAACTTCTCTCGCGCAGTAATTATGCTCTTGAAATATTTGAGTTTGACGCTCGGTCAATTCTAAAATACTAAAGAGAGAATCTTCATCAAACTGGTTAGTATCATTATCAGGTCGGTCGTCGAGATTTGCCACAATATCATGATCAGTAATAGGTACACCTATGTCACTTTCAAGAATATTGCGCCTTGTTGATGTTTGTCGACTGTCGAAACACTCTACGTCGGCTAACAAATCTTTAAGAACTTGTTGATATATTGGCAACTTATCCAGAGAACAAAGTCGCGCCGCGGTATTGCCATCATCTTGGAAGCGGAAGAGTTTTTTATAAAGTTCATTTTGGAACACGAAGTCTAAAGTCTCTTCGCTTCCTATGTTATCGTCTTGTCTTTTGAGCACTGGACGTTCATCAACACGGTTACTAAATATACGGGTAGTGCGCATCTTAGATAGAGATGATGTATTTTTCTTTCCCTACCGCACACTAAATGCATAATGGAAAAAGAAATACTACGCATTAGAAATCTGCCCTTATCAGCATAAAACATGAAAAGAAGAAACTTACAGTCTATGGCTGTCTTCTCTCGTCTTATCCAATCTCTCAACGAAGGTGCGAGTACTCTTTTTGCTCGGCCGTTTAGCGATGCTTCCAGCATCCTATAATATACAAACAACCCTCTTATAAGTATCATGCGTGCACATTCCAAATCAAATTCCCTCGTTTTCTTTAAAAATGGGTACATTTGCATAATTGTCATTAGTACATAGTTTGGAACTACTGGTAGTTCCACTGACAGATGTTAGTTAGTTAATGGGAAAAGATCCTAAGTACTCGAATTATTATTATTTTTGTTGTTAATCATTATAACATTGTCCAAAATACAAAAACAAAACAAAGAAACTTAATCCAATAGTCATCTTTTTTTTAAAGAAAATTTCATTTCAATTTTATTTGGAGGCCTTTTGTTATACATCTTCATATTGACAAAAAACATGGATACATGGACACAAACAGTCACAAACAAATTGTATTGCAAAATTGGGTCGGCCAGAAAATAAAATTGAAGGAGTACCAAAAAACGTAAACTTAAGTTGCTAAACAGATAAGGAAACAATATCTAAGAACACATATAACATTTACTCAAGAGAAAAGAGAAGTCAAGAAGTAGTGAAAGATAAAAAAAAAAATATTTAAGCAATTATTCAGTTCACAGAGTCCAAGTGACTTGCATTTGTCCTTCACATACAGTAAATTACTCACCAAAATTGATTGAATTGACGTTTCTTTCCTATTGACGGTGGCTTGTAGGTCGATCACCAATTTATACTCTTTCGATTTACTGGACTGCCAATGATTTGTATGCTAAAACAGATTCATATTGATATTATCAATTTTCATCATTAAAGTAAAGTAAAATACTGATTGTAATCTGTTTAAAATTAATCATAGCTTTAACTTAGTTAAGCTAAGGGGGATGAAATCCTTGTCCTTTGCCAATTTGTACTTACGTTTACTTTCGCGCTCTTAAGTTCAGCAGTCGATTTCGCAGTCTTATCGATCTTCTCGTCCTCTTTGGTTTTCCTCCCACTTTTTTTACTCCTTTTATGCTTCGAGGAAGAGGACGAGGGGGCGGTATGAGATGAGGAACTTTTGGGAGACACTGGTTTGGCAACAATAATTGGGGGAATAAGTGGCTCTGCTGCTGGTATCCTGGTGGGCGGTGTAGTAGCTGCCTTCTGTAAATGGAAATTCTTATTAAATGCAAAACTGGCAACAATACAAAATGCTTGTATAATACCGCAAAGAGTGGAGGTGGAGGCACAGATGGAGGAAGCCCAGTTCTTTTCTTGTTCTTTGCTGGCTGGTATTTCTTTTTTAACAGGCTCGTGCCCGGTGGTATAAAATTGGGCCTGCCACTCTTGCTGGTTGAAGATCCTTTCGTTTGTACTTGATTTGCTTGCACTATCAGTTTATCATGGTTAGGATTATTACAATGCTTGGGATACACACATGGTAATAAAACTGTACCACACTTTTCACACTCTATTAAAACTTTATTATCTAACTTAGGAAACTCCCCATACAGAGGAAAGTCTCGCCGAGGTAGTAAAGGTATTGTTTTATACTCCAATGCACTAGGTTTTGTTGTAACTATAAACAGACAGGTTAAAAGAAAATTCATCTACCACCACAAGCCAAACCCTACTGGAAATGTTTTTTGTTACTAGGGGTGTCCACTCTTTCCACGATTTTCCTGAATATTGTAAAAGTTCAGGTATCCCACTTGTAGACATTTTTTACCTGCAACACATGAGAAAGATACAACTAATTAGCGCACAATTAGATACTGTTTATAGGCGTCTCGTTTTTTTTCAGTGCTTGTGACAAGAGTTCCAAGATTTTTCTGCTGTCGGACAGGGAAGTGTTCATTATCATTATTATCAGGTTTATGTGATGTAAAGCGGGGGTAGGTGGGGGTAAAAAAATCAATTACTGTTGGTGGATGAAAAATGGACACCCTGTAATAGGAGAAGCATCTAACCTCTATTTTTTTGTACGTTCACTCGCCTCTTTAGAAATTACTAATATTCCAATTATAAAATATATTTTTGTGCGATTTGCCCCCTTCCCCCCCGGGTGTTGTTGGGCCGTTTCCGAATGTCGTGTCTTTGAGGGCCGTAGGTTCACGTCCTCGGCGATGTGGAAGGAGTCGAACGAAGTGAGATAAAGTAATGAATTAAAAAGATACGTTGATCGTGTTCCTAGGAGGGCCGGCTAAAATCACTACTACGAATTGACAGCTGTTCCACGAACTGCTCCAGCATACTTTGCACTCTGAATGGAAACGGTTGCACGGCTTTACGTATGTCGATCTCGAGACACTGTACTGTCTGTAAACTCTCTTCTTTTCTCTTCGCCGAGCGCCAAACGGAATTGGCAGGAATCAGGGGGGGACTTGTATTTACTGGGATCCTCAATGAATCCCACGGCCTTTTAACGACGGTGCAGTTGACACTGTGCCTGTGCCACCACTACGCAGGACCGTACCAGGATCAACATCGCCGCCGACGCTGTCATGAGGTTCAACTTCATTAAGAAAATATCAATAATTACAGGCCATCTCCAGACCAGCCAACCCGCACGAATCCTCTTCGATTTTGATCAAAGGATTCAACAACAGAAGACACCTAAAGGAACCTCGCAAAATCAACACTCACCACTTAGGGAGGGTTGCACCGGTAATCGCAAAATGTACCAAGGTTGGCCGGTCGTTAAATAGCAGTTTGCACGGCTAACCAAAATTACGAAGGAGTTACAACACCGCGTGCTTCTGCTTCAACCTTCCAACACCAGCACCAAATGACCCATTTCTGCTCGCTGCGCGCTATGTTTTGTATTTGCTCTTTTTCTTTTATATTATCTGTCTCCTACTAATTTCGCCTCTTTCTTTTCTCGCGTCTACCCGTCTTTAGGAAGAACCGTAGCATCGGAAGCTCTTCCTACAAAGATGCAATCAATGTCTGCAATATATGCGCGATTATTCGATTCCTGGCTGCACGCACGCTCGCACAAGTTACATAAGCTTTCTTTCCTTAGCTCAATTAACAATATTAATAACATTACCCTACAAATTCACATCTTGATGATAATGCGCAATTCCATAATAGCAAAAGTAACAATTATTAATAAATCTATAAAAAGATCAATTTCTTAAATTGCCCATACAAGCAAACAAAGGGTAATTAATTAATATTGTTACATTTTATTGCAACTCGTAAACAAACTTCTTACTTTCTTAAAATTATCGCGTTCCTTATCGTAGTCATTGAATGCAATCAATCGGCGCGCGAAAAAAAAACAAATCGCAAGTTTATGTAAACAATTTAAACTTATGAATTGGAAATACACGTATTGGAATTGCAACACAACGAAAACGTTCTAATCATGCCTTAGTAATTCATATTATACGGGTTAAATGTTGACCTTTCTATTGTCGTTATCGTAAATATTCAACGTTTTCCATCTATATACAAAAGAAATATTCAATTCTGTAGATCAAACGAGAAGGAAAAATGTACGTTCTATGAACGTATTGAGTACGTCCGTACGAACAAAGGCACAAGCAATAATCTAGTGTTAAACAATTTGGGAAATTCTGAACTACTATTAAAATACCAGCATTACACTAAAATGAACTTAATTGAAAATCGAAGTAACGTTTTATAATTGTATATAAATTGAAAGAATATGTGTATAAAATATAATTACATGTTGAATAACAAAAACTATAGAAACTCATTTTTGTACTTCGTGCAGTATACGTGCTTAACACTTGAAGTATCACTGATCACTGCTTTTTTTCTGACAGTATTTCATTTCGCTAATTCTTAGGTTTATTATCGAATTGTATGCTACTATGAATCATAATTATGCTTGTGAACAAAAAAGCGTTAGTCAGTCTGTTTGCTTATCATAAATGAAAAAATGTATACAAAAGTATCATATACAGTAAGCGCTCAGTTAACGTGCATCCTTGTAGCGTATTTTTGGTTGTGATACAATCATATTTCACACATGATGTACCTGGTAATCCTAATATTATATAATCCTTATATTATATAATGGGCGTGCTCCCATCACGTTTACTTGATTCTCAACTTTGGTGACTTTAAATATGAGCTTGTATCATGGTTTTTGATAATAGGTAATTAAATATGTACGACTTAAGACAAAAATGTTTGTAGCAACGTACAATGACTGTTCATATAAATGGTTATTACGTTCGTGCGAACGGAGAGACCAAACATTGTAGATTCGCTATACCCAAGATTAAGTTTGAAAGCGTAAAGCAAAACAAAACAGAAAATGTTATCTTTATACTTGTATAATTGTATTTTAACACCAGAATAATTAAGGTTTTAATACAAACACCTGAGGATATTTAGATTCCAATATAAATCTACAAAAGTTATATAAGTTATTCGTGATTATTAATTATAAATAGATATGTTGTATTCATGTTCATGATGACATTTAACTCGAGGTTATCCAGCAGATTTCTATGGAATTGTGGATACACTTGAACAAAATGATAACCCGAAAGTGTTAGTGTTAAGACATGATATTGATAGTCAGAAAACTAAAGAATGCTATAAAGTTGAATATAGTTCTAGGAAAATGAACCATCGAAAAAAAAGGTATTTTTAAGATAACTGCAAATTATAGATGTCCTGGTCATAACTGTATTTTCAAAATAAGATAAATGAAATTCACATATTTTCATAGAAACAATCGAATCGAATTATAACAGTGTAAATTTTACCAAATTATTAATATTTTGTACTATAAATAAACAAAATTTTGATTCTATCAATCAAACAACAAAGGCCAAGAAAGTGTATAAGATTTAGTAACAACTAAAGATTAACTTGTTTTTCTAATTAATTGTTTATTTACACAAATTCTAATTTTAATAATGATCAAAACTACTTTCTCTATTTTAAAAGCATACATTGAAAGTGATTGTAACATTAATGAGTTATTAACAAGTATTTTAATTAAGAAAAAGTATAAGAATTCACTTTATAGACAATTATAATTAAAAGTCATAATTAAATAAAATACAACAGCAATTAGTGTGAGACTAATGGAAATAAGTTCATATTTTCTGTTCTTTTTATTAATTAATTTATATTTTTTTGTATTGAAAAGTAAATAAATTATAGTAAATTAAAAAAAAAATTGTTTTCTCAGTTTATTATGAAATTTAAGACCTATTTTTGTAATAACAATGTTTATAGAATAGTAAAAATAAATACAGGACAGGAAAATTTGTAAGTAATTATCAATAAATACTAATTAATTATTGAATTGAATATGTTTAATTTTTCATAGTTTTTGTCAAAAAGGATAATTTCAAACGATAAAACCAGGATTATTTCAGCTTACTGAATAGATTACAAATAGATTTATTACGTACTAACACGGATTGGATTAAAGAAACTAATATCAAAAGAAAATGTAAATAATCTTTATGTATGAATATGACCTTTTCTAGAATGACCATCAAGATTAATCAAATTATATTTTCTATGCCAACTAATGGACGATGCGACATTTGTTGCTATTCAAGCATCTCTTTGTATATTCATTCATACGTACATCAGACAGTGACGTCTTTGCACTTTAAAAGTCTAATAACATTCCCTTGATTACTAGGAATGATGAAGTGCATTCATTATTTATTGTTAACATCATATACATATACAATAAGTTTAATATTTCATCATTTTGAAATGATTATTTGTGTTTTCAAATCTTCAATAATTGTATAGATAATTTAATTATTTTGACTATATTTCGTTTCAAAAAATATCATCACCTTAGAATAAAATTGAAGGTGATTGTTATATAGACAACTTTACATACATGCATTCAATTGGTTTTTATTGAATAATAATTGATTGAAGCCTGATACAACTATACTTATATCTTGGAATTAAAGCTTTACCTGAATTTATGAAATAAATTAGTCGTTATTATAAACTGAGACTTAAGTCATTTGACTAATTATTAGAACAGGACCGGCTTTAACAATTTTCTAAAACTGAAAAGCGTCGAAATCAATTCGTTATTTTAGAGAAAAACATTTGGTTATATGTAGAATTACATAATTTATACAGTTATCACTCAAATATCGCACAAAAATTTTCGAATGTATGTTTCATCGTTTATTAAAATTACTTTTAGGTACGTGTCTATTGTACGAATATTTGTACGTTACTAGAGGATAAAAACGATTATTTATGTATAAACAATAATTTTGTCCATTTTTTTAAAATTTGCTCAATTAAAAATTTGTTTGTATTGAAATTTTCAAACCGTACTTTAGTGAATCCGCATTGATTGAAGCCGTACTATGCGAGGTGTTGCTGTAATTGTAAAAAAAATACAAAATTTTGTAAGCAAAATTTACCTGTTGTTTTTTTAAAATAATAATACAAATTTATTGTATACATATAATAAATACGTCATTTATTATTTTTGATTGAATCATTGAATTTAAGTACGTGATGCAAATAACGTTCATTTCTTGCGTTGCACAAAATTGTTTATACTAATAAGTAAACAATATTATTATTGGTATGTGTAATAAACTTTTGTTGCATTTATGCGACTGTAAACAAATCTGCAAAATAATTCCGAACGCATTTAGAAACAGCGAACTTGGAGAGAGTTTGAATTGATTGACGAATTACAGTTGCACGTCCGGTCTCAAAATCATTTCAACAAGTTAATAATAGACGGGGACAATTTAAATAATAACACTTTAACGAGCAACCATTGGTAATTGAATATATCAACGCGTATTCACAAAAGCAATCGTTGCTTCAACATGTTCACTAATAGAAAACAAACAATGGTATCAACTTACTTCGGTGAAGATATCCATGGTTCAGCATTCTTAGCTGCCAGAAAATTGAGTGTTGAAGTCTTGCAAAAGTCTGTCAATGAAAGATTTCAATTAAATTATTATTATAAAGAAACAATGATTGATATGTGCTTCAAGGAACATCAAATATTTACATTACAAAGTGCATTAGGATTGTTTATTTACAAAAAGTTACGCAAATCTCACCTTGAGATCCTTCAGGCGTTTTTAATCCAGTTTGAAATACAGATTCAAACTTTTGGGTATGTTGGATCATCGAAGATCAACAGATTGCATCTACGATCACCAAGAGTTTCATTACTATTTCTCTGATAGTTGGAAGCGATTTCGCGTTCGATGAGTCGGCAACTATCGGATTAACTCGTCCATTCCCCCTATAAATTGCGCACAATCCGAATCCAGCCGGATTATCTTAAGTAGTATTTGGATTACATGCAAGAATGTTGTCTAACTTACCTTAGGTTACTTAAGCACCCTTAGGGACTATACTTGTAGAATCTACACCATTGCTAGTACTAAGAGTAATGCATGGAAGTACAAACAATAATTAAACGGACAACAAATACAAAAAACGGTGATATTTTTTGATGCACTTGTATCAATAAATTATTAACCTGGCGTTCGCACTCTTAATTAGCAAAAAATTTGCTTCTCTAAAACAATAAGAAAAAAAAAGATATTCATATGGAAAATCATGTTTGCATAATTTCGAGGAAAGGTAATAATAAAGTCTTCGGATATTTTATTGCAATTTTTTTTTATTTTCGCTTTTTTTTTAGTTTATTTCATATAAAAATTATATTACCTAGTAAACAGTAAATTTCTTTTTTTTTATAATTTAGCAATAAGAAAATATTCGTCTTAGATATTTCCCTATCGTAATAGTAAGCACAAGACTTGATCCTAAGATGTTACATAATTAGATTTTGAATCGCAGGATTTAATGAGTGTTTGTATATATAAATAAGTATTATATATACATACACGTATTTTTTTTTTGTAATTGGAAAACATCATGTAATAATTGCAATATATAATAAATATACGTATAAAAACATGTTACTTAAACACCTAAAAAAATCGTTTTGGGCTATTGGTTGTAATTCATCATCTCTGTACAAACATAAATTGAATCCTGAAAACTAATAACTAAAGAATTTTCAGTCCAAGGAATTTACAAAGAAATTTTCAGGTATTGTCATTACGCAAATTGTCATACATATCATTGTAGTTTTGGTTGTTTTGTATACATACACACGCGGCGAAGTCCCATGCGCATAACATATATAGTAGGATATTGTTTTAATATCAGCGTTAAATAATAAACCTTACTGCAACTATTATCACAAAAAATAATAATAAAATAAATTAACAAAATTCTAGATTTTGGCATTTGTTGATTTCTAACACTTCCTCGTATTAATTACGTCTTGAATATATGTACACATATAGTATATTAAAAAATATATATGTGCACATATATATCTAACGACACACGAAGAAGGTTAATAATAATATTCGAAACAAAATTAAATATGTTACAATGCAAAATTGTAAAAACAAATTAACAAAGCTCTTTTTAGATAATTAATAGTAAAGAATCAATAAATAATTGTTTCCCATTAGTTTCAATTTTTCGGTTTTTTTTTATATAAATTTAAAAATTTACTATATATAAGATCACATATTTTGTCCATATTAAAGTTTTGCCGAATATAAACGTATTACGGTATGTATACATCAATTTGTCATCTAATATATACATACTCATAAACATTTATATAAAAATTCATATATTTTTTTTTTAATTGAAAATACATTATTTCTTTTATTTCTCTAGTCTCTTACTCTACCAGGCACTCTGTTTTTATATAGTACTTTTTCATTTATATTATGCAACAATATACAATATATGACACGAAATTATTAAATTTTTCTCTCTTTAAAGATATTATTTTTAAATATACCTTTATTTATTTTATTTTTTTTATATATATTTATATAAACATATCACATATGTAGGATATTTTTTTTTGTTTTTATTTACTACACACTATTTTCATCAGTTTGAAAATAATGTCCATATTACACATATTTTTTTTTATATTTATGATACACCTAATCTGTTGGCTAACACAGTTTTTAAATTGTGTTTAATTTTTAATACAAAAAATAGGTTTCGTCTCGAATAATATTATTTAACTGGGCCAGTCAAGAATGAGGTGCACTGCACTTCATTGTTAATGGTGAATAGCCTCAAATATAATCTATTGTGGATAAAAACATGAGCTCTGGTGATAGCTATCACATAGTATCACTATATAACAGTCAACAAGTATAGAGACACTATAAATAATTACGGCTAACCTTAACAAATAAATGATTTTTCAATTAATATAACCTTAGATTAGAGTATTTACAATTTATACATTTGAAACTGTACGTATGGATTATTTGATATAAATATGGTCAAATTTGGTCATAAGGAAGGCCTCTTGTGTGGGCAGTTATCAATTCACTAATGCAATAACTATGTGTTTCATAACCAATTTTGACAATGTTTATAATGTTGTTTCAGTAAATGAATGTTATATTTTCTTTTGCATTACAAATACACATTGACTTACGTTGCTTTTTTAAGGCGCTTAACTGCTTTTTCTGGTGGGTTAGTTGGTGAAGCAGATCTGGGCTTCTTATTATTTGACTTGCACATGGCACAGTGGAACACCTAAAACACCAATTGATTTTAGTCACAGTCTTTGAACTTCCATCAAACAAAACTCACATCAGGTATATTGGATTTTTTAATCCTAGCACAAGATAGATGTATCCATGTATAGCATATGGAACATTCAATCATTGGTCTACCAGCAAAGGGTTTGCGGCAGAAACATGTAACTGTTTGGAAAGAATCATTATCATCTGAGTCTTCCTCTGCACTGGGCTTCTCATCATCATGACCAGAATGAGTTGTTTCCGAATTAACACTACTTCCAGAACTATCCAATGGTGGACTTTGGTTAGATACATTTCGAGCTTCCTGAAATTATTGGCACATTTCAATATCACTGCACTGCTTCTCACATAAACACATGGAGTTAGAGGTATATTATATTAATGTAATGGTTTCTCTAATCACCTCCTTATCTTCAGTTTCATAGTTTTCATACTGCAACACATATGTGCAGAACAGATAGAAATCATCTCTGGTTCTAGGCCTTCTGATAACGGATGGTTTCGGTGCTTCGTCGCTGGTCTAGAAACAAGGGGAAAGGACGAAATTAAATCTTTCGTATTGGAAACGAAAATTATAACCTAAAATAGGCATACGACCAAAATAAAAAAATACTCACAGATTCTTCTGCCATTGCAATGCCAGGGGCTGAAACAAAATTCACAATTAACTTAAATTCTTTGCTGTTCTCCAAAAAAGGCAAATATTCGCGAGAACGAAGACTCATTAGATTTTTGGATAAAAAATGCTACTGTAGTCAAAACAAACTTTACCTGATAATTCTATGTTGGTCATTACCTAACGAATACCCAAATAATGAATGTATTTAAATTGATTGTCATTCCAATACACTATAGGCTTTAAGACTATTCAAAACTGTTTACACAAATCTCGCAAAAAATACTCTCAGTACCTGTGCAGGGTAGATGTCATACAGGGACAATTTTATATATTTGATAGTACGTCGTTTCCAAGTATATTCTCTCTCTTCGTCGCACCAACGAAGCAACATATGATTATAAAACGGTTACGTGAATAACATTAAGCAGTGTTGCCAATGTTATCAAAATGTAATCTTAATAGAAAAAAATTATAAACATTGAAGTCCAATCGGACTATAATGTTCAATTATAAGTTAAATACTGTCGAACCATTATAAAAGTGCAGTTTACGTAAACGGATGAATGTAATATTATTTTATATTAAGGAAATCACATATATTCCAACAGTTGCTAGATTTAATTTAAAGGATATGGCAGCACTGCTTTGTTCCTGCGCGTTAAAATCAAAAGGATAATGGTAAAATCGAATTAAAAGTAATTGAATGACCAACGAATTTGTATTGTATTTTAAAAAAAATGTATTTGGTATTGTTTTTAAAATATGTAAAAAATCTAGGACAAGCACTTTACATATATAAATATAAGTATATAAAATACACGAGACATTTACATCCATTAACTAACAATAAAAATAAATGGTAAAACAAATGAGAAAGAATAGAAAATAAAATATAAAGATTCCCTGAAATTGCATTTATTAATTTTTTTCTGGATAAATCAGTCTTGAAAAAAAAAATAGATATTTACAATCTTTCAGCAGGGATAGGTAACACATTGGAGTGCATGTTGTTGATGGTGTTTAATGTCTGGTGGATTAACCTGAAGCTGGGTCTATCCGATGGTTTCTGCGCCCAGCAAGACTTCATCAATTCGTAAATCGGAGCTGGAGTATTCTCTGGGCATAGAAGAACGTTTCCGGCCTTCAAGAACTTAACAACTTCCTCGTGGGTCATGCCGTAGTAGGGCTGCAGCGCGAAAGAAAAGATCTCCCACAAGCAGACACCGAACGCCCAAACATCTGATTCTGGGGTGTATTTGTTGTAAAGGATGCTTTCAAGAGGCATCCATCTCACGGGGATTGCATCATGCTCGTCGCCCTTATAGTAATCTTGCAAATAGATTTTCTGGGATAAACCGAAGTCAGCGATCTTAACCACCATATGCTCATCGATCAGGCAGTTCCTAGTAGCCAAATCGCGATGTACGAACTTCCTATCAGACAAGTATACCATGCCAGCCGCTATTTGCAAAGCGATCTCCAATAAATCAACGTGTCCTAGTTGGTTGTCTTTGAAGATCTCCCGTTGCTCTTCATCCATTCCGCTCCTTAACACGTAATTACTAGGCGAGCATTGCCGTAGAAACTCGTTCAGATCTCCTTTTCCCATATACTCAAACAACAAACACATCGGTCTTCCAATTGCGCACACACCCAACAATTTTACTATATTAGGATGATCGAATTCAGCCAAGAGACAGGCTTCTTTCTCGAAATCATCCTGCAGATCTTCAGATGCATCGTCCTTGAGCATTTTCACAGCGACCAGAGTGAACTCCTCGCCCGGCACCAATCCAGGAGCTTTAGCCTGGAACACTCTACCAAAAGCCCCTTGTCCCAAATCTTTAATGTAAATGATATCGTTCCTAGGGAATTCTAGCTGCTCTAAATTCGGATTCAATTGAGCACCAGTCCTGTGATATGCCATATTACTTGGCAACTTATCTAAATCTATGGTAACATCTTGAACACCAGTCGGATTGTAGCCGAGATTGTGCTTCTGCATTCGGTGGCATAACAAGATAATCAAGAACAATATTAATAAAGTAAATAAACCTATACCGGAGGTAACCATTACGAATGTCGGAGTGAATAGTTTGTCCATGACAATACCATCATCGACAATCTCACGATGTATCGTTGCGTTTCCGCAACTTGGAATGTTACAATGCTGCCATCTGACACTTGCGTTAGTGGTGAAACACCAGGGAATGTGCTCTTCGCCGCCGGCGTTCCTACAGAAGTTTTCAGCTCCTTGGATTTCAGGCAGGAAGTGAAGTGGCCTATCATGCTTGTGCGGAGTCTGGGAATCCCAACGTTGGCACTCCAAACCTTCCTTTGTCATATTCAACTTGCCCTGATAGAACCTACCAGTATCCTTCACACAGTCAGCTGCAAAATAAACTCTTGAAATACTGAAATTACAAAATAACAAATATTTACTTGTCACATCTTCAGGTTTGATTTCCATTATGCCCACATAAGAGCAAGTTGCTATTTTATCTTTGGGTTCATATTTTGGCAGTTTATCACAATCAGGTAATTCAAAATGTTCCCGTGAGGTGAAAAAGATACCCCTCTTCTTATTATCCTCAATCAAAGCCCAATCATTGTGGCAAAACTGTTCCTTAACAGCTATACAATCTTCATAACATAAAGGCAATGCACTGTCTGTATTATAATTACATTTTGGGAATGCATATGTGCAGAGGAGTTTCTGTAAAATCAATAATCTTATAGTATTGAAATCTTATTGGAATAAGTTGAATTTACCTCTGCTGAGCTGCGGCAGGGCTCTTTCAATGTGTTGATCATCTCTTTCCATAAATTTGTGGTTATTAGCTCCGTGGTTAGACTCTGAGATGTCTGACTCTGTGACATCCAGACCATTGTGGTACTGTTCAAGTATCTATTGCAGATTTTTCCATTGTAAGGAGCACAATAACCGTCCAGATCTTTGGTTGCAACCAAACTTAGAAAGCAGAGCACAATATAAAAGGGTAACATTGCTGTGCTTTTATAATCCATATTATAGTTTAATCATGACTAGTGGCTACTTTATTTTTGTTATTGTTACGTTGATCACAAATATTTAGTTGCTTCTTTTTGGTAAAATTCACATGGTTGTAAAGCAGTTAATGGTTGTTAAAAAAAATAGTAAACAATTCAAAGTACTGTCAAAAACATTCTAAATAAGGAGCGGCCATTGTAAATATGACAATTCGAAAGATTTTCATTGCCAACACAAAATAACCAAAAGGAAAAGAAAATGTTACGACACTGCACCAAAAAGAGAGCGGCAAATTTGAAATTCGTTATTTCGGTGATTAGAGAATAGAGCGAGTTTGAAGGACGAGTTTTATTAAATATATTAGTACAGAAGTAGAAACAATCCATATAATTTATCCGTTTATAATAATAGTAATAATATATAAATAGAATTTCCAAAATAATTGAAATATGCTTATTGTTAATTATTATTATTTTCATTTTTTTTTGTTATATTATAATCGTTATGTTTTTCATTTTACTTTCATACACATAAAAGAGATCACAGATAAATTTTGTGTACAATAAAAATAATAAGGTTAAAATAAGTTATACAAAACAGAAGAGAATAAGTTTTGTACATCAAAAGTGGTTAAATTGGTCGGATTTTTCAAATTTGGCAGACCGACAAGTGTCTAATCTTTAAGACACACTTCTTTTTCCTTCATACAACTCATTGATCACAGGAGGAAAAGCGTTAGTTACACTGTATACATTCTAAACTCGTAGTTCGACTTGCATCAAAAGGTTAAGGATCAAGGCTACCCTCTCCGATAAATAATCATTGCACTGTTCGCGAGAAGAGAGTGTCCTTAGACTTTAGATACTCGTTTTACTTTAATAGAATTGCTAATTGGCTAATGGCGTGTTCTTGAGCTAGAGCTGCGAGTTCCTTGACCCACTCATCTAAAAGGACTGCGCACACAGCGACTCGCTGAGCGTCATTAAATTTCGGATAGATGACGCTCTTGCTTTCATCAGTTTGTTGTACTAGCTGGATACTGGTCTCTTGGCTCGTGCTTTGCCGTTTGCCAAACATGCTCGAAATCGTTTGGGTCAAGCTCCTGCGGGAACCGTTCCTCTGGAAGGGCTGGTCGTCGTTGCTCGTTGTCGTCGAACTTATGGAATTCGATCTGTCCAAAGCCACTTTTTTAGCTTGTACAAGGCGCGTCTCCCGTTCCACGAGGAAATGTCTGGCTTGATGGATCAATTGAACTTTCTCAGGCTGCTTACTCATGAACTCATCAATTTTCTGCTTCAGCGATCCTAAAATCTAATAAAAACAAAAGAACACATTACTAAATTAATCATATCGCTACAGTTAAATAAGGAATGAAGATTTTTTTTATTTAGACCACTATAGAATTACTTGAAATAAAGTACAGTTGTCCCTCTTATAACACGGTATCTTTACAACACGGCACATACTCTTATAATATAAGTTTAGGGAAATCACGGTTTCACGGTGGAATATCACAATTTTAATATCAACATAACTCAACAAAAAATAATCAACTACGATTACTTTTCATTATATGTATATCATTATAATATTTTTGCAAGATTTAAGAACGTAACACTACGGATTTCCTCTTAGTTATTAAAAAACGTGTTATACAGTGGATATCTGTAACTTAGTTGAAATATTCTATCTCATTATACGATAAGTGAAGTAATCGCAACGCAAAACATGCACATTTTGTTTAGGTGGTGGTGTTTTGAAAGATGTTTTTTTTTTTATTATTTATTTTCTGCTGCATATAATTCTACTTAATTAAAAAAAGATTTTTTAACTTAGCGACAAATTAAGAAAATAATAATAAGATTTGATATATTTGAATGAAAGATAAGTCTAATAAACATAGGACGGGTGATGATCATCGTGGATATGTGCCTTACCTACAATATCCTCTCAGCAGTCCATTCATACTAGCCTGTTCTTCAAAAATGTTTTAAAGTTATTACAAGACGATGAACTTAAAAATAATTAAAACTATCTCCAAATTTACATTCTGGACATGCTTCATATAAATGAATAATGCCTAAATACGCTTATTTGCTTAGTAATGATTTTACGGTACTCAATTTCGAAGAAGTTAAATACAACTCACCTGAAATAGTGATGGCACATTTGGTTGAAGAACTAGGCTATGGTCAAGCAAGTAAGTTCGAAGTAGGGGTTGCGGATAAACTGCTAATCTCGATATGAGCCCGGTCAGGTGCAGATTGATGTAGAGCGAGTTCGTCAGCATGTTTTTCAGTTGTTCCAAGATGATTGTCAGGAAAGGTCCGGCTGTGCCGGAATCGATGTCGGCGAATACTTGGTTACTCATATTCATTCCGTTTTTGATTTGTTCGTTCTGCGAAATTTGCCAAACAGGCGTCGAGCTGTTATCCTCAAAATGACTCTCCAATTTTACCTTTAAACTTTCGTAACCACTGCTTTCACCCAAAGACGGCAAACTCGTCGAATTTTCCTCTGGAAAAACAATCAAGTTAACAAATACAATTACTATATAAAATATAGACTCTATACATTTTGTATTCTACATTTGATTTATATTTAATTTTATATAAATCGTGTAAAAGCAACAACGTGTTAAAAAAAATACCGTGTAAAACGAGGGATAGGTTATTTCTAACATTTAGTTTTTAAATCGTGTAAAAAAAATAATGAAATTAATTGATTCACATTCATATTGACGTATTTGCCATTTTTGTTTACTGATAAACGCAACTGTTTTAATAAATGTTATCATTGTTATCCAAGTCAAATTAATGAGAAAATCAATATAATAATTCAATTCATACGTCATATCTTGTATTTCGAAAAAATTGTATGGGTGTACATGAGGTCAATGAGAGCCACATTCTGATTTCTCGTATATTATTGAGATAGTTACATATTTAGTATTAAATAGACGGATTTCAATTTTCAATGGGAGCCGCACTTAATACAACGAAAAACCTCATTTATCCACACGTTATATATCATAATTATAAAGTTTAATTTTATTTTCAACTTCATTTTGTATGTAAATTCAATGATAACTACATAATACTATAGAAAAATGATGTTCCAAAATTAAGTATGAACATAAATTTAACTGGTAGTTAAGTCAAGGGACGGCAACCCGTGACTCATTCACTAGTTTTAATTGATGTGATCAATTTTATGTTTGGAATGTGATTTTATGTGTATATAAATAAATGTCATTAAAAACGAATGTTATCATTAGATTTATAGTTTAAATGTGTAAGTGTATGAAGTTTCAAATTTTTGCTGGGTAAAAAAAGTTTAAGGGTTTTAATTTATGTAATCAATTTTATGTTTGGGAATTAAGATATGCTATAATAATAGTGTGAAAGTAAAAAGGAAGCTTACCAGAATTTTCTAAATTTTCGCAGCCCGTGTACGAATGTGTCCAAGCGGTGCAAGCCATCTGGCAGCCGTTGATTTTGTTTTTGGCGTCGCAGAGGTATGCATGGTAATTGCCATAGAGACTAGTTTGGCCACCATAGTGATTCCAATTGACGGGACGCCCATCGATGTTGGGTGTGAGCAAGATATCTTCGCAGCACATGGGCGACAAGTTTAGGAACTTTTCTGAGCTCTGGCAGTGTGGATCCAGAGGGAACGTAAGCTTTCGTTGTGAAATCATTAAGTGCAGACAAGGTTGCAAGTGATGGAAGACTAGTTTCAACATGACATCCTCACAATTCAAATCGATTAGCGTTTCAAACAGTGCTAACGAGACTAAACTAAGTTGCGGATCCGTAGACCGAATCCTTTTCATTAATATATCTAATAACCTTTGCCCATCGTATTCTACAGTTAATAAGAACCTTAACACCGGATGCAACAAACCTGGGTTTGTGACAGTACGTAATATGCGCTCTAGGTATGCCATGACGGCAATTTGTTCGTCTACTGAATTCTGCAGGAGCGCTGGACCAAGCACCGGGATTAGGAAGCCCATGTAGATGAACTCCTGCAGTTGTTTGATTATAAGTGGATCAGCCATTTGGCTTACATTATTGCTAAATTCCAAGGACGTTACGAACGTCGATAAATCTTTGATTTCGTTCACGTCGTCTTGGGTTAACCGGTGCCAATCAGGCACAGCACCATCCAGAATATGCGGCAAAGCCGAATAAAGTCCCCCCAAACCGGAGGTTAACATTACAACAACGTTCGAATGCTCCAAAATGTATTCCCTAATATTGCTGTTCTTCTTCGACAAAGACATGCACAGCAACAAGGAATCACGCGCCTGCATCCCAATGTTGTCTTCTCGATGCATAAATGGTATCAACAATGCAAATATTATAAACCTAAAAGATAACCATTAGGAATATCAATATTTTACCGAAAATTCAAGACTTACTTTGGTTTCTCAATGTGTTTAGGAAAAAATAAATCAACTAAGTCAATATTTTGCATTAACACTATACATAATTGGTATAACAAAGTAACTAGGTGCTTTTCAATTTGCTTTGGAAACAACTCATTCTGACAAGAGTGCAACAACTTCATCAGTGGCTGCAGAAATGGTTCATGCATTAACAGAAGATGTCTGGATTCCTTCACCAGCATCTCATACAATTTCAATTGTTCCAATTTAACAGCATGTGCATATCTGAAGATCAACAGGAATATTTAAACATTGAAGCATAAAGTTGATATGAAATACTTACTTCCCTGTTCGAATTCCCCATTCAAACAACTGATTCAAAATGTTCTCTGTCATCAAGTAATCTAAGCACTGAGAAGTTGTAGAAATTGGTAACGTCATTTGGTCAACTTTCTTCAGATCATACAGGAGCAAGGACACCATTTGCTCCAGGTTATTGACAATGCCCAAAACATCATCTTGGCTAGGCAGTTGCTAAAAAATAAATAAATAACATAAGTATTTGCTTATTTGATGGTAGAAAATCTAGGTTACCTGATTCCTTTTTATGATTTTCAATGCCTGCTGCCAATGCTGTCGGAAACTGTCATAGCAGGCAGTTGGATCACATTCCTCCTCTGTGCTCACCAAGGCCCTCTGCTGCCTGCCTGATCCTATAAAGCTATTGCTGATAATCCACTCCATTCTTAATCAGAGAGCCTCCCAATATTCCATATTAAATAGTCCTGCAGACAAAATAAACCATACACTGGACAGTAGAGATCCACTTATGTAATGTTTGGTCTGTCCATTGAAGGTGTTGTGCATGCGTCAGCAGGCGAGCAGCTCTGTTCGCCTGGTCTTGCAGGAAACACAAAATTTCCAGCGCACACAATTAAAATCAACACATAATGATAATAATAGTACAACCTTCTTTTTTTTTCTATAATCTGAATGACTATTCAATGACAGATTGATGACAAACACGTAACCAGTGCGACCAACGCAATGAAACTGAAACATGTGCCAACATGAAAGTTTTTTTTGATCTCAAACCGGAATAGAAAGGAAGGAATCTTATTGGAATTCTCATTTCCATATGTTTAGCATCAACATCTTGTGCAGAATTCTTAATACTTATTAGTAAATCCATATGCTTCTCCAAATACGATTAATAAAACAATGAATGAATTATATAATATAATAGTTATTTTGCTTCATTCATCTTTATTAATGAATTACTTATTATAGTACAAGAAATTATACCATTATTTCTTTTCAACTATCATCAAGGTTATTTATTGAACCTTACATGTGGATCATTTAATTGTATACCATCATTTATCGCAAATGATTACTTTCAGATCGGAATCGTCTGTTTCGCAATAATTGATTGTAATTCTAGAAGATAATGATAAAGTATATAATTAATTGTATCACAGCAATTACATCATGTTACACTCATTATTTTCCAACAACAGAATACTAGATTAGTTTTATTTTATATAAGAAAACATACATATTTGATAAATATTATATAACTAAATATCTATAAATATTTGCTTATATTTATTACTACTATTATTAATAACTACATACAATATTTAATTATTTGGTTGCGTGACAAATCAGGACTTTTTTTTGATTTTCAACTGTTTTGCACTGTCTCTCCCGTATGATGTAAATCATAAAAAGTCTCGTGTTTGGAAGTTGTCATCAAAATAATACTTTTATCCAATAATGACAAGTATCTTAAATATATCTTTAAATTAAATTAACTCCATAACTTAATAAACCAAATATAATAAAATCAAAACACTTTTTTCTCTTTATTTTCTCTAATTCTTACAAGACAACAAGTAACTAATTTAAACTAATTATAACAATATTTTCAAAATGTGACCACTTTCTTCTTTGTTTTGTAATATTTTTCTGGAATATAATTAAATACAAGTAATTATGTACATGTTTTCTATTTTCAATTAATTATGGAATAATTTTATATTTTTTCTTATAAGATAGTTTAAGATTATTGGATAGATATTGTTTGCAAATATAGAATATTTTCTGGAATTGGACAAACATATTACAGTTTCTAAATTGAATACAAAAAAAATATAATTAGTTAAAAAGAAATTGAATATGAAATTTAAAAAAAAATACACTTTCTAATATTTTTTAAATAAGATTCTGTATTGAGAATACATACAATATTTAATTATTTGGTTGCGTAACAAATCAGGACTTTGTTTTGATTTTCAACTGTTTTGCACTGTCTCTTATATGATGTAAATCATAAAAAGTCTCGTGTTTGGAAGTTGTCATCAAAATAATACTTTTATTCAATAATGACAAGTATCTTAAATATATCTTTAAATTTAATTAACTCCATAACTTAATAAACCAAATATAAAAAATTCAAAACACTTTTTTCTCTTCATTTTCTCTAATTCTTACAAGACAACAAATAACTAATTTAAAATAATTATAACAATATTTTCAAAATGTGACCACTTTCTTCTTTGTTTTGTAATATTTTCCTGGAATATAATTAAATACAAGTAACTATGAACATGTTTTCTATTTTCAATTAATTATGGAATAATTTTATATTTTTTCTTATAAGATAGTTTAAGATTATTGGATAGATATTGTTTGCAAATATAGAATATTTTCTGGAATTGGACAAACATATTACGGTCTCTAAATTGAATACAAAAAAAATATAATTAGTTAAAAAGAAATTGAATATGAAATTAAAAAAAAAATACACTTTCTAATATTTCTTAAACAAGATTCTGTATTGAGAATACATACAATATTTAATTATTTGGTTGCGTGACAAATCAGGACTTTGTTTTCATTTTCAACTGTTTTGCACTGTCTCTTATATGATGTAAATCATAAAAAGTCTCGTGTTTGGAAGTTGTCATCAAAATAATACTTTTATTCAATAATGACAAGTATCTTAAATATATCTTTAAATTAAATTAACTCCATAACTTAATAAACCAAATATAAAAAAATCAAAACACTTTTTTCTCTTTATTCTCTCTAATTCTTACAAGACAACAAATAACTAATTTAAACTAATTATAACAATATTTTCAAAATGTGACCACTTTCTTCTTTGTTTTGTAATATTTTCGTTGAATATAATTAAATACAAGTAACTATGAACATGTTTAATATTTTCAATTAATTATGGAATATTTTTTTCTTATAAGAAACGAAAATATTGGATAGATATTGTTTGAAAATATAGAATATTTTCTGGAATTGGACAAACATATTACGGTTTCTAAATTGAATACAAAAAAAATATAATTAGTTAAAAAGAAATTGAATATGAAATTTAAAAAAAATACACTTTCTAATATTTTTTAAATAAGCTTCTGTATTGAGAATAATACTAAATGGATAATTTAGTAAATAACGCAGGTTAGATCTATAAGTTATTATGTTTTTTCTGACATCATTCCTGTAGCTCCTTGCTTGTTATTCCACATATGTCTCCAAATTCTCTTTCCCTGGTAGAGCAATATTCACACCTTCGAGAAACGTTAATATTGAAAAAGCCGTTCCTGGACTGTCCTATTCCAAAATCCAATAATAAATTGATCTCTGCACGTTGATTCAAAAAACCCTTGGGTCAAAGCTACATCGTTTCGCCATATTAATAATACTAGATGACAATTCGTCAGGTGAGTAGAGAGTTGTAAAATTTAAACCAAATGTGAAAAACGAACCCTGCGGCTTGAAATACTCGGTCATCATTTTAATTAGTTCTTTATAACTCATTGATTCTGGATTCTTTGGTGAACATAGATTATAGAGCAACGTATGTTGCTTCGGACAATAAGTTCAGAAGTATTACGCGTTTATTCACCACTTCTGTAATCTCAAAAGTAACGAAATAATTCTCCATTCTTCTCAGAAACAGTGGCCATTAACCGGTGCTTACATCAATTTCTCCATTATAACCACGTGTTTGACTTTTCCTTCACTCTCTCTTCTTAACTAGTTAACTTGAATGAATTTTTTTTTAATTTAAACTGTATAAAATATGAAATGGTATAAATTTCTTAGAAATTCATTTTTATATTCTTCATAAAAGACCTTTTATATATAATATACATACTTTGCACTTGTCAATAAAGGTTGTTTGTAATAAATTTATTATTATTCATAACATAACTTGTTATTAGAACATTTTATTCTAGTTTACAATAAAGACATTTATTGATTATATTATGAACGAAAAATATAAACCTCTTCTTTTTAAATATTATAATTGTAAATTAAACAAATAATATTTCTAACTGTTAATTATAACAAACAAACTTGTCGGAAGAAAAATAGGCTACATTTTGCGTGTATCCATAATTATTGTATTTCAACTACTTCTGAATCCTGGTTCATGTCCACGCAAGTATATCTCATATCTGAAGTTGTAAGCTGCCATTTTTACAGAAGCGATCTGTATAGCTTCTGAAAACATCAATGTATTGTCTTCCTCGAAGACTCAATCCTGTATACTTCCTTTCCCGAATCTAATAATGAATTAATCTCTGCATACCTCTTCATATTGCCTTGATTTGCAGTAACCCACTCTTGTACACTTTCGTACTTATAAAATTGATACCGGTATTTGAATCTAATTCATTCTTCATAGATTTTCGTTTCTGGACAACTTGGGAGACAAAGATCAAGGAGTAATTTGTATGCTGTTTGATAAACTGTTTATAAATAGGTTACGTTTCTTGAACTCATCAATAATATTGTTAGCTATGAAATAGTTTTTCAACCTCCTTTTAAATATATTCCAATCGGTAATGCGTTACATAGTTTGTGTAACATTTTACTACTTATTACTTGGTAACTAGTAACGTTTACAGGTGATATATTTAAACTTCAGAATTTACAATTTTACCGCAGATGCAAATAACTTTTTAAATTTGCTTTATTTACTTTATTTGCTTAATTTACTTTATTTGATAAAAAAAATAATTTTGTAAATAAAAAAGTAGAGGTTATATCAAATATTTATATTTGTTAATATTTGTAATTTTTTGACTGTTATAATAAATATTGTTATTATTATTATTATTTAATATTTTATTTTATACTTAAATTGAATGGAAAATCCTGTATTTTCTTTAAAATGTGTCTAAGACAAAATAATTATTTATTTAAATTTGAAAGAAATAATAGGATGAAATTGGGGTATACAAATAAGACAAGCAAATACAGTCCAACTCACATATACTTGATATTATAACATCCATATATATATTTTTATATAATTAGTTACTAATCAGAGAGTCGTAACTATTTCAATGTTGGGTTTGGGTAGGGTTGAATTGGTGGAACAGAAATAATTCTGGGGATGGGACAAAGGGATGAACTTTTTCGAAATGTTTTATTTTGGGGTTGGGGAGAAAGGGAATACATCTGTTAAATATTTAATTACTTAAAATTAATATAATATACATTAAATTGGAATGTTGTTCGCATCTTAATTATATATAACATCTATTGATGAATTTGTACGACGATCCGAGTACAATCTGTATTGACTGCATTAACAAGAAAACAAAATTTGAAAATAAAAGAAAGAAACGAAAAAAAGTTAAAAATAAAGAAATCATGAAAGTAGAAGGAGAAGCAACGAAGGGTTCATACCAAATCGCTGACAGCGTGACGGTTTTTCTTTGTTTCCAAGAGCGAAATTAAAAAAAAAAGTAGAATTAAAATAAAAATAATAAAAATATATAAAAGATATGAAATTACAATTATCTAAATTACAAAAATACATACTTTTTCCCATAATTCTTCATATTTTTTTTCCTTATCACAGCCAATCAGAAAGAAATTAATAAATTTTCTTTTGAATTACTTCTCTTAAAATATAGAAAATATACAATATGTACTTAATTTAAATTATAGACTACGTTTAATCGAGGATAGGGATGGGTTTATTTTGTTTTCTTTTTTTTTAAGGAAATCGACGGTCTCTGGTTGGGGGATAGGGGTGGGATTCGGGATTATTAGAGTATTAGAAGAATATTATTTTGTTCATTTGTACAAGTTATTACATAATGAAATTTTGGCATTAGATTCGTTAAAAAATCTAAACGCAAAAATATTATAGGAGAGCAAAAGTAGTCTTGTTTACCTTACATCCTATATATTTTGTCGTCGATAAAAATCATATTTTAAAGACCTGAAATATGTATACATGTATACTACACAGGATGAGTATTCAAATGTTTTTTTTTTCGTTTGTTTGTTTCTTTGGTTGCCTTGAAGAGACATCCCTCAAGTATTACTCACCCAAAATGAGTATACATGTATCCTTTTCTTATCACAAGTATATGTAATTAAAAAAATAGAATTAATGAGAGTCCAACATAAATATAACTTTATGTCATCTCCAATTGAGCTAGAAATTAAAAAAAATCCTAAATTAATCATTGAATGAGTGTCTGAAAGATAGGGGAGAGATAGATATAGATTAGAGAGCAATCCTCATACGCAAGCCATCTTTCATATCGAACATAATCTTTGAACGAAATTCTACGGTGAAGTTAATTGAAGAAAAATACATGATCATGATTTTCCTTATATAATATTTTCTTTCTCTGAGTTTTCTATTGATGATAACACACATATAATATATTGAGATATATATATATTAATATACGACATTTAGAATGACTTCTTTTTAGATACTGTTTTCTGTTTTCCTCGAGAATTTCATCTCGTTTTGCATTTGAAATAAACTGAAATAATCCACCCTGTGTACGCTTTTAATGCACATCGGTATATAACTATTTGGTACAGTCCTCATCAAAAAACAGGTACACTCGAGCCTACTTTTGAAAATTAAATATAAGTCTTCTTGATTTTCTGTAGGGTGCCGTCATTGGCAATATTATGATCTTTGCTGGCATCTAGGTTATCTTTCTTTGGGGGCGGCGGCAAAGAATTTATGACATGGTTAATGGTCTTAGGTCTAGATAAAAAATTACTTTGCGTTCCGCTTAGCCTATAAAAAAAAGGAAAAAAAATCAATTAGCCGACTTACAAACAAGATATATCAACAAAAGAATACCCTTCCAAATGGTTGCGTTGCTCTATAAATGGTGTGTCTGGATATTGAGATGGGGGATGAAATCGCCGGGAAAATATGTAACCTACAANNATATCATTGTCAATGTCATTCGGCACAATTATCTTTGGCGACATCTTTCTGGTATCTATAAATGACGAAAGGTAAGATCCAGAGACCTATTGATATGATGAACCTCTTACCTTGCGGAGACCTGCACTTGGATTCGTCTCCTCTGAGTATATCTTGGATGAGATCGCGTTTAGTGTTGTGTCTGACTTCGTCTAAGCTGATGCAAGTTTCCAATCTAGTATTCCAGGCGCAATGCGGATCTTGAAGGTGGACACACTCTCTGCAGTTTCGCTGAGCTGAGCAGTGATTCAGTTTGGCCAATCTGACTTCGTCACGACCTACTACAACCACACTACCGAATCCTGGAGCAATCTTCAACTGTTTAACTGCTGCACCATTAGGAAGTATTACGTTCTCGGAGATTACTACAGTTTTTGCGGTCTCATTAACGGTGGGGATGTTTACGACCTTCAATACTCTTCCATTGTCTGTTCCTACGTAGAGGACATCAAACACTTCATCGTTAACAGTTTTTACTTGCGAATCAACAACAACGGCGGTTAATCTATAGTGGAAATTGACGCGAATTAGGAGAGGTTTTCCGAACATCGCTGGGACCGCATTTTCCATCAGAGGATGCGTTTTTATGAAGTTCACGTGATTTTCCTGGAGCAATCTGCTGTCGCGTACACACTGACCAGGCCGAGGCTCAGGTACCTTTACAAACAATAAGAACAAGAGTAGTAAACAAAGAAAAATAATTACATTTTGAGGATAGTACTTTATCTTTCGAAACTGGTAGCCAATTTGCGTTGATACTATCTTGATGTTTGAAGCTACCCTCAAAGGATTCCAATACATCGTTCATGTTGTACGCGCAAATCGCAGAGCCCCCGATGGCATTACTTGGAGTAGTGAGTATTCCATAAATAATATGAGAACTCAGATCAGTTCCATATTTCCCTTCGATTATTTCACTAGTGGATTCTGGAAAAAGCAGAGCGGACGATTAGGATATTGGGATTTACTCTTATTTTGCGTCGCTATATTACGTATTTCATCGAAGTAAAACGGATATTCCCCAGGCACAGAGCAATTCAGTCGGGTTTTAAGGAAAGTCGTCCATCCGTTCCTGAATTGATGCGGACCACCTTTGTCGTCCTTGCATACCCTAGCGACCCGCGAATATATGACCTAGGCAGAATAACGGAATGAGATAACCGAATCGAGCAACGACAAACAAAACTTTACTTTTCCACAATTGATATATTCGACAGCCGTTTCTCTAAAGAAGAAGAATATGAAATCACCGTAAGGCACAGAGCTAACGAAGTTTGGAGCTGTAAGAGAATGAGGAATGAGTGACTGCAAGAAGATTAATTAGTTTGAAATACCATTAAGCTGCTTGAGATCAGAGTATTCGGTGCGCTGCGGCTGTCTGTAGATCAAGGGATCGCCACCAGAGAAATCTGCCACCGTTGCGGAGTACATTTGGCCCTTGCTGTAAACGGCGGTGCTATTGTGTTCAGGATTGTAAGGACAAACGCCGATGCCTTCGACTTCTTTCACAACAGTGTATTTGCCGTTCTGAAAAGATCCAAATTATTATTAAACAGTTTGATTATGGTGCTTGAGGTTGTTTCTTACAACATGCGCGTAGTGTCTGCAGCAAGGCTTATAAGAATTGGTACCACATATCAAATGTTGACCTGGCTCTGTCTCCACGTAAATGCGAATGTAGTTCTGGCAGTCGTCCTCAGACTTGCCCTTTACACTGCACATCTCTGAAATCGCCTCAGATGACTGCCATTCGATCCTAGAGTCCTTAATCTCGGAGAAATCGTAAACGCTCAGGTTATAGATATGGTTACGTCCACCCAACAAGATAGAATGCGCATCTTGATTCAGGATAATGAAATGGTCCGGATAGGTAGCGTTTCCAGCGAATTTGATTGTTCGCAATTTGCTGATTTCGTTAATCACTTTCTGGGAGTTATCCGGCGACCAGGCATGGCAGGAAGTCACCACTGCGATGATGATTATTAAGTACATCAGTACTTCGTGGCTCCGGGCGCTTCTTCTCCATGCGTTCAACATGACTCTCTAGTTGTATTTTCCGTACCACTCTATAAACGCCTAATACTCTTCCGTCATTTCCATACTGCAAACAGAAAACAAAAACAAACAAGTTATAATACTATTCCATGCGAAAAGTGAACAAAATTAGTTAATAAGTAATAGATGCAATGACACACGACACGCTTCGCTGACCAAGGTTCCACTTTCAAAAATCTGGTATCGAAAGGATCGGCCCACCTCACACGCAAAGTTTCCCAGAGGCACGTGCATGAATCAACAATTACACTCCAAAGAAAACCTCCCTAATTAGACTTATCATCAAATCGCATAGTATTCCTGTCCGGTTTTCCCGTTGCACGTAATAATAGCGCGAAATATTATCATTTTGCTTGGATAAAACCCGTAATGTGAGCGCGAAACCGTTGTTTGGAATGACTACAGATAGTTCAGTAATTGCGTGCATACACATCTCCGTTTCAATTCTTCTTAGTAGAATTAAGAATTTTCATATATCGATAAGCTATTTTTTTTAATTCATCGATTTCCATATCCCCTTTGATATTTCATGATTTGGCATTAATGTGTACAGAAATGATGTCCAATTACAACGAGCTAATTGAATCATTCCATGAGGATACGCTTTTAATGCTTTGTGGATAAACATTAATACCATCAGTCAAATTATACCGGCATAAATTTGATTACCAATCCAATTATATTAATGTATTTATCATTAGATCATTGAAAACAATAAATCAAATTCAAGCAAGCTCACTACATTTTTTGTTATGTATTAAAAAAAAAATACAAATTACTCATATGTTTACGTAGTTTGTACGCTTTGTGTGCGATATTCCATGAAATGCTATTCTAATTTTATATAATTAATTCCATCAACATGAAAAATGTGCATTCATTTGAAATAATACATGATAAATATTTGTGCAAATGTAATGTAGAAAGAGTGTGTCTGTAATGTTACTAGTCAGGTCACGAGTTTTGCTGCAGTTGACAAATGTGCTATGCCAAGAATAATATAATCAAGTCACGAGTATTTATTTAAATTTATAAGAAATTACACAACCAATTTCAAATCTGTCGTTGATTCAGTAAAGCGAAACGATTTAAATCCATTAGTGCAACCAATTGTTAATATTTTTATATATATATATATATTAGATTAATTAGAAACTTTAATCTGACGACGAAATTGTTTGCAATAATTTTTAATGTAAGTAAAACGTTTGTCAACTTTGGAATTCTAGGAATGTTCATGCTTGCATGGTAAACATCCACCGGGAATGATTATCCATATAATGATATTCGTGATCAAATTTACTTATTTTTCTTACTGAATGGAATGTAAATAAAAAACAATACATAAAAATATGTTAACTTTATATGGCGATTGGAACAAGTAGTAAATAAATTTCTTACTGCTTATATTGTTTTCTTAAAGTAAATCCTGATGTCAGTATATTTGAAACTTAGTTATTGCGCTAATTATATGTAAAATTTAATGAGAAATAATAATTATTTTTGTACCAGTAACAAAATAATAAGAATGCATTTGTAGTTTAGAAATAATAAAATGCTGCATAAGATTTTTTTTTTCTTCAAGATTACTTGTGCCTAAGGAAGCACTTGAATAATATTTCTATGGCTAGGTCATCTTGTAAGAGAAAGATGAAAAATGCGTAGATGCGGCAACAGCTCGGAGATAGGGCCGTCGTGTGTGCTTGAGGTTCAGTTTGATGCACCTGAATAGTGCTCCCCAAGAAAGGCATATCAAAAGAACGGACGATTCCATCTCTCTTCAGGTCCATTGGACAGAGAGATGCTGCAGAGGAGCGAAACTGAAAACCGGAAACCGTCGGCCGCAGTGCGGTGTACGTTTCTGTCGCCGGCGGCGCTGAAAAATGCTCACATTGAAGTGGAGACCCACATGCATCAATGGAAAATCTGCTGCTTAGAAACAATTAGATGAACAGTTAAGATTGCAACCGCATCTCAGGCAGATGCAATTTCCATGCGCGTATTGATGGAAAGCATCTGCTTAAAATCTATAGAAGCAGGTAGAAATTGCATCTGCCGAAATCTGGGGATTGTCGTAGAGGTTCCAAACATCTGTTGATTTGAAAATAATGAAAGATGAAAAAAAAAGTGTGTCCCACGTGGCATAGAACAATGATAACTTTCACAACACTAGTGAATCAAGAGGTTGTGTTCTCTCTTTTTGGATGTGCAAATAATTTTCTTGTTTCTCTGACGTTGTTTCATGGAAAAAACAGTAATGGAATGACAAGGAGCGTGCAACTGATCGGCCTTCGATATTTATTAGTTTCAATTACCTCATTTAAATTACACGTATGCACTCCCTTTTAATTCCATTATTTATAAGTGTGGAGGGAATGGAAGCTGAGAAGTATCGAGAGAGCTCAGTCGATAGTAGAAATAAAAAAAAAGCAATAGCAACTAGTAAAGTAAAAAGCAACGGGTAAAGCAAAAAGCAACGAGTAAATAGAGGCTTGCAGAGGCCGAGGACTTCTTGTGATGCAGCTGCTAGTACAGCGGACAAAAGAGCTCGAAGCTTTTCCAACTTCGAGCAACGTCCATCAGCAACAAATAGATGTTGGATGAGAGAGAGAGAGCGAATCGCGATGATACGCCACTTTCGGATGTGTCAGAGGTAGTTTTTAATTACTGCCGGCCGTTTTGACTCCAGATTGATGGTGGTTGAGAAGACAATCGAGTGGTTGGGTATTCATCCACGGAGGACAGGTTTTGCTGCCGCAGCGGGATTGGAGGACGTCCGGCCCGATTGTTCGTCCTCGGTGGGGGCATAATTAATTACCTGGCAATTAGGGAATGTAATTGAACTTTTGATGCAAACGACCGTTCAATTAACCATACATCAGGTGTAATCTACCATTGATGCGCTGGATCTCTTCGAGATTGCGGATCTCCTTTTCACGTCGCCATTGTATGGGAATTAATTGCAGCAGATACATGCATCCCAACCGTTTGCACTAAACAACCGTCAGCATCTTAGAAATAAAGAAGCAGGAAAATAAGAAGAATAAAGAAACGAAGAACAAACAAAAAAAAAAGGCAACGGCAGTTCCATCTTCATATCTACATCACGATGTTATCTGCGTGAAAATAAAAATCCCTAATTAAATAGAGACATGTGATATCAGTATGACGATCTCACAGTTTTGAAACAAACCCAACCTTTTTCAGTATATATTTAATTGTCTTTTTCTTTCAGATAACTACATTTTTCAACATATTTAATTGTATACACAACCTCAGTACTACATGGAACTGCATTTGATACTCAATTTTTAAAGTTTGGTTTAATTTGTCGTATGAGGATTATCCACAAATTTATATGACCTTAGTACCGTTAATACTAATGTAATCATTAGTTTATTGATATTAACATGCGTTACCTTTGTTCTACTATACATTATTAATCGTACCTGATGAAAATCAATATGAAAACCTACAGTTTGTAACATACAAGTAGTTAGTATGAAATAAAATTTAATGAAAACACCAACTCTATGAATAAACTGTTCTACAGCGCAATGCATCAAAGCTTTATTGACAAACCTCGGGGAAGTCATCAGGAATATTCAAATATTTACCGCGTCTGAAAGAAATCATGTTCGCATATTAAAGAGAATACGAAACGAACTGAGCAATTCAAACGATAGAAGTTGCTTTTGATGATGTTACATATTTGATGTTACAATATTAATTAAGGACATACGTGTAGTATTTCATTTTGTTGTTTATTGATTGTTCTAAAAGTATTACGCATTTAGCGTTCTGAAAATTCAATAAATGAAGAAAAACAGTTGCAAATATAATATTAATATTACTTTTTTTCTTATTGAACAAATTTTATTTAAAGTTGTTTTCAATATACGCTGTTGATCTTTTCAGACTTTATTGCATTCGAAAAGTTCTGAGGCGAGCATTTTCCAAGTGTTTATTTGTTCTTGCAATTGTTTTTTTTATTCCTCGTTGCGGAAAACGTCCTTCTGGGCGAATCGATATCGCTGCGAATAATAAAATATTCGCAAGTATGAAACTTTGCTCACGTTTTATCTAGGAATCTCCATTTTTTTTGTTAGACGTTACATTTAATAAAACTTTAGGATATATGATCGGGCAACTTCGGACAATGGATGAGACTTATTTTCTTGCAAACTGATATAAAAAAAAAACTGTATGCATTGAGCGCGAATTCTAAAGGTTACATTTCAAAGTATTGATGCTTTATGCAATAGAAATCTATACATAGAGAGAGTAAAGTAATTGGTGACGTGGCACAAAAAAATATTGTAATTAAATTTGTAGAAATATTATATAAATTATTATTAAAATCATTGAGTTGTGAAATGCAAACTATTTTATTTAGTGAAGCTATATTTAAAGTAAGTAACGAATATATTATACACGTACATGGCACTTTCACCGGTTTTCGAATCACCTTTGTTATGCAACGTAAGGAAACAACTGCATGTACTGTTGCTCTTGAGACTTTCAAGAACTAAATAGAAAATACGAGATCCCTTCCCACCCCTAATCACGGTTGAGTGCTGTTTTTAAATTTAAGTTTAAACTAAAAATAGGGGAAAACTCTTGGTGTATACATTAATAATTCACTTTATAAAAACTACTAGAAAAGGTAGATTTTTGATCTAAAATAAAAATTATATTACCAATTTCAAGAAATGTGCGACAATCTCTCGCAATCATGTTTTTTTTTCTCAATTTGAGAAATAGTTTTGTAATGAATCATGCCCTATTTTGTACGTAATTCATCGAATGAGATCGTTTACAACTTTCCAATTACAGGCAGCAACCGAAACGGGAGTACAGTGCAATTAAGATCAAGACGAGAAATCAAGATCGCTGTTGCATCCGAATACAAATATACAAGTTGGTACAACATCCATTTTTTTTTTGTTTCCTCGAAGTACCAACTTTCAGAAGTGGGTTTTAAACAATGTATTGTAATATGGACATAAAATAAAGTATGTGGACAAAGTATGACAAGTATAAAAA